TGCGAGTCACGAATAAATATACAATTGTATGAATTTATTTTATAACGCTTATTTTAGGTACATTAAGTTGGGTCAGATTTGTTTTTGACTTTTATTTTTGGTACATTCTATTGTATTGAAAATTTGAAAGTATTAAAAGATTTATAAAAAAAACGTTTTATGTAAAGCTTTTATACAATTTTGCACTAAAATAAAAAATAGGTTTTCTTTTAAATATATAATAATGAACTATATATAAATAAACATGCCGATGAAGAAAATCTTCAAGGCCAAATGTAGATTTTTCAAAAGTAATGTCCTTAACGTCCTACTGTATGTCAGCGTGTGCTGGAAACAACTGCCACCAGCAGATCACTGGACTCTTTCCAAACTAAGTGCTTGTGGAGGATAAAAGGTATACACTGGCCTAACATCATCGTTAAGTGATAGACTACTGGGAGAGATGGAAATGGAAGCAGTTCCCGAACTAATCGAGAACAAGAAGATGGCGCTGGATTGGGAATGTTGTAGGTATAAAACCAGATGGAAAAAGAAAGCAGGGAAGGCCAAGGGAGACTTTGAGGCGCACGGCGGGGAAGCAGCTCGCAGAGGCAGGACTGTCATGGGGGACTGCCAGAAAGCAGCTGGCAGAGGCAGGACTGTCATGGGGACTGCCAGGAAAATTGACGGAGACCGAAAAAACAGGAGGGAGATTTTTGTGGCGGCCCCATATCCCTTGGTACAAAAGTAAAAAAAAAAAAGATTAAAATAACCATTAACAAAAGCGTGGGTCACTATTTTATCTAATGAAACCTTCACTCCAATATAGAAGCTACCCATGCTTTTCTTTATAGTTGTATTAATAGTAGTGTATTATTTAACAATTAATTTTCTCATTTTTAGTGTATATTTATATAAATGCTTGTTATTTATTAGTATTTCTTTGGTACATTGACTAGGATTTGGTTTTATAAAATTTATTTTAATAGATTAAATTGGCAAAGACTTGCTTTAGGTTGTGGGATGGTCGCGTCTCTCCATCTAAAAGCCTAGGATAATCCTCGAGAACATTCTTTGTCTAGCGTGGGCGTTTGATGAAGGCGTGTTTTTACAATCTATTTCTTGGGCCCCAATGTTTGTGTGTGGGAGTGTGGCCCCATCTTGTTACCCCGGTTTTAAACAACTTTTTAATGCGACGATTTTGATCCGATACATTTGGTGCTGATGACAACGCAATAGTGTGTAATTTTTCACCTATCGATATGACAGTAGGTACTATAAAGAAATTTGAAGACTGCTTTATTCAATAACCAAAAGGGAGAAAACAGGATTGAATAGTAACTAGGTAAGTCAGGTGACTGATGCGAGTGCTGTAAGTGGATAAGTCAGATGACTGTGTTGTGCTAACGGATGTTTCATGCCTGCTAGCCGACAGCAGATAGAATAATGGGCAGATAATTTAGTACCTAAGCCTCAGTTTTAAAGGTTTTAAAAGCAAATGAGCCGACCCGCGGCGTAGCATACGCCGCTATTTCATTAATTCGTAATTTATGAATTCGACAATACCAATGCTGCGACTGAAAATATTTGGCTTTAAAACACTATCAGTAGCTCGTGAAGGACGATTATCCCCCCCTCTCCCCCCCCCCTCCCCCCCCTCCCCCCCCCCCTCCCCCGCCCCTGTGAATACAGCCGCCCGTGACGACAGTTTACAGACAATGAAAATATCAAGCAAAACTTTTTACCTCCCCTTAGTTTCAAATCGTTTAAATTATGCGCCCCTTATAGCCGTCACTAGTTCGACCCGGCCGCACTACGATTGTAAACATTCGGCGTGAACACAAGCTCACCAGACTGTTGGTAGTGATAGCGATATGGTCTGTTGCATGGTGTCCACATAGAAAATAATATATATAGATACATATTTATAGTAAAACAACGCGTTAGAAAGAATAAATGCCGTAATAATAGTTTTAAAAATATCGTCTTAATATAATAACCTTTACAAGAATGGGCTTTAGATATTTTAGTGCGTTCAAAAACTTGTCGTAAAATATACGGTAGGACTTTAATAACCTAGTAGTAAGGCGAGGAAAATACAGTTGATAAAGGGTTAATACAAGTTTTCTTTATCCGACCGGAAGTTAACCCGAGGCCCCGACTGACCCCCCCCCCCCCCCCCAACCAATGTTATTTTGTCCTGTTGGCAGACGAGCGTGTCCCATGTCTCACAACATAACTGTACTACGCAGGCTTGCATTTATAATTCTCGTTTCAGTTAGCGCGTTTGTTTTATATCTGGCTGGGAGATTTTTATTTGATTAATTTTTTTGTGTGTTTATAAACTAATTTGAATCATCCGCCGCCTCTTTGATTTCTCGAGCTGATTGGACGAGAGCCCGGATCACGTGACTCAAGTTTACTTGAGCAACCAATCGAAACGTCGCTCTCATTTCTTCCCAGCCGTCTCGCGCATGCGCGAAATGGCGAGCTCGTGCACACGAAAATCGTAATGAAATTTTGAAACTTGTCTCCCCTTCAACCCTACTCTCTGCCCCACTCGACCCCCCCCCCCCCCCACACGCCACTCGTCCACCCAGCAAATACTTTTTAAATATGATCAAACTTTATCGCGCGGTTTATCGGGGCAACTCCGCGATCGTCTTGTATCCATGGCAACGGTTGGACTCTTTAGCATCCGTGTCAGATTTAATTGGAAAAATAATAATTTCGGATCTAATTTTTTTTTAGCGCAACTTTACAACGAAGAAAAAACAACGACGTGATGAAAATTAATCATATGCTGAAACTGCATGTTTTTAAAAAATCTTAAAGCCATTCGATTGTGTGAAGTAGATCGTGTGACGTGACGTAGGTCATGTGAGGTAGGTCGTGTGACGTGACGGACATGTGACGCAGATCATATCTTGTGACGCAGATCATGTCTTGTGACGCAGATCATGTCTTGTGACGCAGATCATGTCTTGTGACGTAAATTGTGTCATGTTACGTACGTCGTGTGGCGTGACGAAGTTCATGTGACGTAATGGATTGAACTACAGTTCCCTTGATTATGATAGAACCTAATGTCAACGCTCAGATCAGCCAACTCGGCGCCGTGCAAAACTTTCGCTCAGTCTAAAGGCCGCATGTGTGGGGGACCGCTTGTTGTGTGGGGACCGCTTGTTGTGTGGGGACCGCTTGTTGTGTGGGGACCGCTTGTTGTGTGGGGACCGCTTGTTGTGTGGGGACCGCTTGTTGTGTGGGGACCGCTTGTTGTGTGGGGACCGCTTGTTGTGTGGGGACCGCTTGTTGTGTGGGGACCGCTTGTTGTGTGGGGACCGCTTGTTGTGTGGGGACCGCTGTTGTGTGGGGACCGCTTGTTGTGTGGGGACCGCTTGTTGTGTGGGGACCGCTTGTTGTGTGGGGACCGCTTGTTGTGTGGGGACCGCTTGTTGTGTGGGGACCGCTTGTTGTGTGGGCCGCATATTGTCGGGGCCACAAGATGCAGAGCCGCATTTTTTGGGCGACAAATAGATTTAAGCTAGATCGTCTCCACTTACTTCACCACAGCCACTCCGGCTAAAATCGACATGTACCTCCCCTCCACCTCACATAATCGACATTAGCCGTCATTGCCCCATAGCTTGCTCCAATTATTTTACAATTAGATGTGTTGCCGCTGTTCTTTACTCGACTTTAAAGTTTAGGGATTACATTTTAAGAACTCTAGAGCCTGCAAGTCGGTACGATAGATGAAGTAGAGTTCACCTGTTTCCCACACATCGCCAATAAAGGCAAGGTCCACACTGTGTCAAGTCGCCTCCCGTCTATTGCTGGGAGATCTGGGACGTCTTAAGGATCGAACGCGAGACGTGTGGGACAGTGGCTGTGTGCTCTAACACCCAACCACGCCAACCCATAAAATAATTTCTCGAGGTTAAAAAAATCTTTCTTCAAATGCTTGCCGTTTGTCTTTCCAATATAAGCTAAATATGCTCGAACATGGTCGTACAGGGGTCGAAAGTAAACTCGATGCCAAACACTAGCCTAAACCCTAATCTCAATCCTAGCCAGCCTAAACCCAAACCCTAATCTCAATCCTAGTGAGCCTAACTAAACCCTAATCTCAACACAAGCCCAAACCCTAATGCTAGTCAGCCCAAACCCTAATGCTAGTCAGCCCAAACCCTAATGCTAGTCAGCCCAAACCCTAATGCTAGTCAGCCCAAACCCTAATGCTAGTCAGCCCCAAACCCTAATGCTAGTCAGCCCAAACCCTAATGCTAGTCAGCCCAAACCCTAATGCTAGTCAGCCCAAACCCTAATGCTAGTCAGCCCAAACCCTAATGCTAGTCAGCCCAAACCCTAATGCTAGTCAGCCCAAACCCTAATGCTAGTCAGCCCAAACCCTAATGCTAGTCAGCCCAAACCCTAATGCTAGTCAGCCCAAACCCTAATGCTAGTCAGCCCAAACCCTAATGCTAGTCAGCCCAAACCCTAATGCTAGTCAGCCCAAACCCTAATGCTAGTCAGCCCAAACCCTAATGCTAGTCAGCCCAAACCCTAATCCTAGTCAGCCCCAAACCCTAATCCTAGTCAGCCCAAACCCTAATCTAAACACTAGCCTAAACCCTAATCTCAATCCTAACCATAGCCTAACCCCTAATCTGAATCTTTACACTGGACCAAACCCTAACTTCAGTCCCTATCCCTTACTCCATATAGATCTCCTTTAATACCGCAACTAAAACTAGACGCTCCAATGTGCCGGAAGATTACAATTAAGAAGCCAACGTGCAAACACTCGGAGGGTCAATTCTAAAAGAGGGAATTTCACCTGTCGCCTGAAACAACCACCCCCCCCCCCCCCTACTGCACCCTGCAAACATGTTAACTTTAAAATGAAATTGTATGTTACAAAAAGCGACTGTGGAGTTTGCCCGGCTAAAGGTTCTATTTTGTGAGTACATGTCTGTTTCTGAGACACCATGAGGCCAAGCAATAACGTGTCTACTCACCTGTGTGTTGGTTCTGTTGCTTCACGAGTTTGTCCTTCAGGTGTCTGTGTTGGCCGAAATGTGCGAAAAGTGTCCGGCGCTGTTGTCGTGCAGATTGAGATCCCCCTGTGGACGCCAAGTTTTCCGTGGCTGTGGTGCTCACGGCCCGTCCTCGCGCTGTTTTATCCCCGTCCCCACAGCTCGCGCTGGCCTCCCATTGGCTGAGCACGCCGCGAAAATTGACAGATACAAGATGGCCGCCACTTGGTCCCACCCAAGTCGTCTGTCGTTGTGACGTCACGGATGTGGGAGAATAAAAACTTGTTTGAGCTAGTAGATAAAAACTTCTCCCACCTCCCCACCACAATCATCCCCCCCCCCCCCCGCCACCATTTCTTCCATTTTGAGAAGTCTAATCTACATCACACTCCCCGCCAAGTTAATGGCAGCACCCCCACGTCATCTCATGTCTGGGGGTGGAGGCTCACGTACGCCTACAACCATCCTTACACCCACCCTCCATCCACTCCTCCATCCACTCCAACATCCACCTCTACACCCACTGCTTTGACCACATAGATGGAGCAAGTTGTTTTAAGAACACTATTATCACATTGAAGCCCCCCCTCTGCCCTTAAAGTCCCCCCCTGCCCTTGAAGTCCCCCCCCCCCGCTCTTGAAGTCCCCTCCCCCCGCTCTTGAAGTCCCCCCCCCCCCGCTCTTAAAGTCCCCCCCCCCCCGCTCTTAAAGTCCCCCCCCCCCGCTCTTAAAGTCCCCCCCACCGCTCTTAAAGTCCCCCCCCCCCCGCTCTTAAAGTCCCCCCCCCGCTCTTAAAGTCCCCCCCCGCTCTTAAAGTCCCCCCCCCCGCTCTTAAAGTCCCCCCTGCCCTTAAAGTCCCCCCTGCCCTTAAAGTCCCCCCCCCGCTCTTAAAGTCCCCCCTGCCCTTAAAGTCCCCCCTGCCCTTAAAGTCCCCCCCCCCTGCCCTTAAAGTCCCCCCCCCTGCCCTTAAAGTCCCCCCCTGCCCTTAAAGTCCCCCCCCTGCCCTTAAAGTCCCCCCCCCTGCCCTTAAAGTCCCCCCCCCCTGCCCTTAAAGTCCCCCCCCCCTGCCCTTAAAGTCCCCCCCCCCCTGCCCTTAAAGTCCCCCCCCCCCCCTGCCCTTAAAGTCCCCCCCCTGCCCTTAAAGTCCCCCCTGCCCTTTAAGTCCCCCCCCTGCCCTTGAAGGCCCCCCCCCCTGCTCTTGAAGCCCCCCCCCTGCTCTTGAAGCCCCCCCCCCCTGCTCTTGAAGCCCCCCCCCCCTGCTCTTGAAGTCCCCCCACCCTGCCCTTGAAGTCCCCACTTTGACCATATATTGACGAAAATGTTTCATCGTTTGTTTCGTTGAGAATGATAAACTCTAGCTTGTCGGTAATGATTGGAATTTTAAAACAATCTATTCATAAAGTATAAGGTATTGTGATGTGATTTAGTCCAATCTACTTGTACCATTTTAAAATAGTGCGATATAATCTGACTCGCCGCCAAGAACATATCACTGAACATGTTCCCCATGTTTAGTTGTGGTTGTGGTTGTAGGTCTACCGGAGTAAGTTGGCGTAGGTCTAGAGGAGTCAGTTGGCGTAGGTCTAGAGGAGTCAGTTGGCGTAGGTCTAGAGGAGTCAGTTGGCGTAGGTCTAGAGGAGTCAGTGGGCGTAGGTCTAGAGGAGTCAGTTGGCGTAGGTCTACCGGAGTCAGTTGGCGTAGGTCTACCGGAGTCAGTTGGCGTAGGTCTACCGGAGTCAGTTGGCGTAGGTCTAGAGGAGTCAGTTGGCGTAGGTCTAGAGGAGTCAGTGGGCGTAGGTCTAGAGGAGTCAGTTGGCGTAGGTCTACCGGAGTCAGTTGGCGTAGGTCTACCGGAGTCAGTTGGCGTAGGTCTACCGGAGTCAGTTGGCGTAGGTCTAGAGGAGTCAGTTGGCGTAGGTCTAGAGGAGTCAGTGGGCGTAGGTCTAGAGGAGTCAGTGGGCGCAGGTCTAGAGGAGTCAGTGGGCGCAGGTCTAGAGGAGTCAGTGGGCGCAGGTCTAGAGGAGTCAGTTGGCGTAGGTCTAGAGGAGTCAGCTGGCGTAGGTCTAGAGGAGTCAGCTGGCGGAGGTCTAGAGGAGTCAGTTGGCGGAGGTCTAGAGGAGTCAGTTGGCGGAGGTCTAGAGGAGTCAGTTGGCGTAGGTCTAGAGGAGTCAGTTGGCGTAGGTCTACCGGAGTCAGTGTGTGTGGGGGGGGGGTTGTGGTCAGTTAGACGTGTGTGAGGGGTTGTGGTCAGTTAGACGTGTGTGTGGGGGGGGGGGGGGTTGTGGTCAGTTAGACGTGTGTATGTGGGGGGGGGGGGGGGTTGTGGTCAGTTAGACGTGTGTATGTGGGGGGGGGGGGTTGTGGTCAGTTAGACGTGTGTGTGGGGGGTTGTGGTCAGTTAGACGTGTGGGGGGGTTGTGGTCAGTTAGACGTGTGTGTGTGGGGGTTGCGGCCAGTTAACAACTCCACACAGGTCTCACATAGATATCTTTAACGTTCAAAGACGTCATTACCGTAATCAAAACCTAGTTTAAATCTACGTCACCCCCCACCCCCCTACCCCCAGGGCTGCAATCTGTAAACACATTCGCCCCTTGTGTGAGGTGGGACCCCGGGGGTACAACCCTACCCGGCTGACCCTCACAGAACCAGATTGCTGCCCTATCAGCTAGACCCCTGCAGGGGGAGCTTGGCCCCAGCGTGAGACGCCCGGCCAAGGGGCGCGACACGAGAGTAGGGCGAATGTCCCCCCTGTGTCCAACTATAGAACGTGTGAGTGATAGGGCGGACACCTGATGCCCCGCCCCATGTACAACTTGTCGACTGTATCCCTCGATCTGACGGATACAGGGGCTAGTTTTACCTCTGACTTGACGTACAATGTAGCCGTGTGGGCGGTCGGGGGGGGGGGGTGCTTTTTTATTTACTGCTGGACAGGGGGTGGGTGGGGGGTTCGAACAAAATGCTTAGGCCTTTTTAAAAGAACAGTTCTGTTTCAGATCTATGGATGAAGTAGAGTTACCTCGGCATGTCACCCAAAGACTCAGGGACCGTCGCAATATCCTAGGAACCAAACTCCGCTCTCCGCTTTATGTTTAGTTGCTCTACCACTGGACCACCCCGTGTCGTCCTGACAGTACTGGCTGGTGCCGCGAGTAATGTAGCGGCCAGCAACTCGTCTCCAGGGTCTCTTCCAGACTTTTTCTCCGGAAGGGGGGGGGGGGGGGGAGAGGGGGCTCTCAAAATTTTCAGGGGGGGGGGGAGACGAACTAAAATTTTCGGGGGGGGGGAGGGTAAGAACACTGTTAAAAGTATATATTTTTCTATATAAATTCCATTCCGTCGGGGGGGGGGGGGGATAGACACCTCCCCCCCCCCCCGAAGAGCTGCCTGGAAGAACCTCTGCTCGTCTCTAAGTGTGTCCACTAGTTGTCTCCCCTCACAGATTGCCGCGCCCCAGGGGAGCTCTTTCGAATCTTCCCGCTTATCAGTGTCACGTGACGTCATTTCCGCTGGCATCCATCTGTCCCGCCAATTTTCTGGCACTTTCTAAACGTGCATGTTTTTTATGTTTGGGGACATAAAATCTGTTGTGGTGTACTCTCTCACATGCAACCATCTGCGTGTTTTCTTGGAAATTAGTTTGTTGCTGATGTCTGGTGGGTTCAGTTGTGTAAACTTTGTATGATGTGGTGTAAGCCCCCGTCTGGCCCTCAGACCAGTGGAGTGTCTTGGTGGAGTGGTTTGGTGGAGTGGCTTGGTGGAGTGGTTTGGTGGAGTGGCTTGGTGGAGTGGTTTGGTGGAGTGGCTTGGTGGAGTGGCTTGGTGGAGTGGGTGGAGTGGCTTGGTGGAGTGGCTTGGTGGAGGGGCTTGGTGGAGGGGCTTGGTGGAGTGGCTTGGTGGAGTGGTTTGGTGGAGTGGTTTGGTGGAGTGGCTTGGTGGAGTGGTTTGGTGGAGTGGCTTGGTGGAGTGGTTTGGTGGAGTGGTTTGGTGGAGTGGTTTGGTGGAGTGGCTTGGTGGAGTGGCTTGGTGGAGTGGCTTGGTGGAGTGGTTTGGTGGGTGGAGTGCTTGGTGGAGTGGTTTGGTGGAGTGGCTTGGTGGAGTGGCTTGGTGGAGTGGGTAGAGTGGCTTGGTGGAGTGGCTTGGTGGAGTGGGTAGAGTGGCTTGGTGGAGTGGCTTGGTGGAGTGGTTTGGTGGAGTGGTTTGGTGGAGTGGCTTGGTGGAGTGGCTTGGTGGAGTGGGTAGAGTGGCTTGGTGGAGTGGCTTGGTGGAGTGGCTTGGTGGAGTGGCTTGGTGGAGTGGCTTGGTGGAGTGGCTTGGTGGAGTGGCTTGGTGGAGTGGCTTGGTGGAGTGGCTTGGTGGAGGGGCTTGGTGGAGGGGCTTGGTGGAGGGGCTTGGTGGAGGGGCTTGGTGGAGGGGCTTGGTGGAGGGGCTTGGTGGAGGGGCTTGGTGGAGTGGCTTGGTGGAGTGGCCTGATTGAAGATGAGAAACATTGTCTCGCATTATGAAGTGGTTCAAATATTTTTCTTTACTCTCTGTATCGTGTCGTCTGGTTGACGGGGTCTGTGCTAGACCTGATCCCGTTAGCTCCCTTTTGTTGACGGATATAGTCGTCTTGCAGCGGTCGGTGGGTGGGTCCGTGGGGGGTGGGGGTGGGGGAGGTCTGGGAGGAGGTCAGTGTGTAGCCGAGGTGGGTTTATAGACTTCTCGCGTCACCCCTCAGCCCATGTACGTCTCTCCCCCCTATGTGTGCAGGCTAGGACCAGATTTTATGGCTATTACAATACCAGGGAGGTAATCGACTGGACCGTCTCGGCTCTGTGTGGGGCTGACCAGTGGCCATCATGGAGCTAATGACGTCATATCTTTGGTCGTCACAAGGATGGTCGCGTTAATGGGTTGGTCGAGTTTGGCCGGGTTCAGGGTTGTCGGGTTCAGGGTTGTCGGGTTCAGGGTTGTCTGGTTCAGGGTTGTCTGGCTCAGGGTTGTCTGGTTCAGGGTTGTCGGGGTTCAGGGTTGTCTGGTTCAGGGTTGTCTGGTTCAGGGTTGTCTGGTTCAGGGTTGTCGGGTTCAGGGTTGTCGGGTTCAGGGTTGTCTGGTTAGGGTTGTCTGGTTCAGGGTTGTCTGGTTCAGGGTTGTCTGGTTAGGGTTGTCTGGTTCAGGGTTGTCGGGTTCAGGGTTGTCTGGTTCAGGGTTGTCTGGTTAGGGTTGTCTGGTTCAGGGTTGTCTGGTTAGGGTTGTCTGGTTCAGGGTTGTCCTGGTTCAGGGTTGTCTGGTTCAGGGTTGTCTGGTTAGGGTTGTCTGGTTCAGGGTTGTCTGGTTCAGGGTTGTCTGGTTAGGGTTGTCTGGTTAGGGTTGTCTGGTTAGGGTTGTCTGGTTCAGGGTTGTCTGGTTCAGGGTTGTCTGGTTAGGGTTGTCTGGTTCAGGGTTGTCTGGTTCAGGGTTGTCGGGTTCAGGGTTGTCTGGTTCAGGGTTGTCTGGTTAGGGTTGTCGGGTTCAGGGGTTGTCTGGTTAGGGTTGTCTGGTTCAGGGTTGTCTGGTTCAGGGTTGTCTGGTTCAGGGTTGTCTGGTTCAGGGTTGTCTGGTTAGGGGTTGTCTGGTTCAGGGTTGTCTGGTTAGGGTTGTCTGGTTCAGGGTTGTCTGGTTCAGGGTTGTCTGGTTCAGGGTTGTCTGGTTCAGGGTTGTCTGGTTCAGGGTTGTCGGGTTCAGGGTTGTCGGGTTCAGGGTTGTCTGGTTCAGGGTTGTCTGGTTCAGGGTTGTCGGGTTCAGGGTTGTCGGGTTCAGGGTTGTCTGGTTCAGGGTTGTCTGGTTCAGGGTTGTCTGGTTCAGGGTTGTCTGGTTCAGGGTTTGTCGGGTTCAGGGTTGTCTGGTTCAGGGTTGTCGGGTTCAGGGTTGTCTGGTTCAGGGTTGTCTGGTTCAGGGTTGTCTGGTTCAGGGTTGTCGGGTTCAGGGTTGCTGAATGGTTGTTCTAGTGACAATAGAAGGGTCGTGTAGATGTTAACCACCATTGATGATGAACTGAAACTATTTAGTTGCATCACACCAGGTCGGGGGGGGGGGGGGGTGGTTCACCTGAACCGGAAATGTCCAAACCTGCAGCCAGGACACAATGTCATCAAATTAAGACTCGTTATCCTTACGATACTTAAATTACTCGATACCACTAAGGAATCGATATCATTAAGGTATCATTTCGGGGACGAAACGGTAGAATGATCTTTTTAATAGATATTAACATGAAGATAGCGTACTCAATACGGTCCGGTACGCGATACGGTCTTGTAATCGATACCGTCCGGCAGTGTTATGAAGCCGGCTTTAAATAGGACACGTGGACCATAACCGTGTAACAGGTGAACCAAAGGGGCGACCACTGGCTTTCTAATTCCCGGCCGTGTATGATTAATCTGCCCCTGTCATGCCAGCCGTACCGTGCGGCCGGGCGCTCGCCGGTCTCTGCTCGGTGCCGCAAATTGACGAGGGGGTGGAACTGTAGAGGGCGCGCCCCTTGAGGCGGGTAATTACCGGTGGACACCAAATACAGGCAGCCTCATCTGTGCCACTTCTCGACTTTCAGCTTTTGTAAGCTCTGGACAAGATGGGGACATTTTGTCGTCAACATCTCGTGACTGTGTTCAGTCGTCTGCTCTTTTAATCTCCTGACGTCACTGGCTGGATGGATACGCTGACTGGAGACTTTATTAAAACACAGCTTCGGTACGGCCTAGTGGAGTCTATTTCTTGCTAGCTATTGGCTAGGTACAGGCTATTGGAGTCTATTTCTTGCTAGCTATTGGCTAGGTACGGGCTAGTGGAGTCTATTTCTTGCTAGCTATTGGCTAGGTACGGGCTAGTGGAGTCTATTTCTTGCTAGCTATTGACTAGGTACGGCCTAGTGGAGTCTATTTCTTGCTAGCTATTGGCTAGGTACGGGCTAGTGGAGTCTATTTCTTGCTAGCTATTGGCTAGGTACAGGCTATTGGAGTCTATTTCTTGCTAGCTATTGGCTAGGTACGGGCTAGTGGAGTCTATTTCTTGCTAGCTATTGGCTAGGTACGGGCTAGTGGAGTCTATTTCTTGCTAGCTATTGACTAGGTACGGCCTAGTGGAGTCTATTTCTTGCTAGCTATTGGCTAGGTACGGGCTAGTGGAGTCTATTTCTTGCTAGCTATTGGCTAGGTACAGGCTATTGGAGTCTATTTCTTGCTAGCTATTGGCTAGGTACGGGCTAGTGGAGTCTATTTCTTGCTAGCTATTGACTAGGTACGGCCTAGTGGAGTCTATTTCTTGCTAGCTATTGGCTAGGTACGGGCTAGTGGAGTCTATTTCTTGCTAGCTATTGGCTAGGTACGGGCTAAGTGGAGTCTATTTCTTGCTAGCTATTGGCTAGGTACAGGCTATTGGAGTCTATTTCTTGCTAGCTATTGGCTAGGTACGGCCTAGTGGAGTCTATTTCTTGCTAGCTATTGGCTAGGTACGGGCTAGTGGAGGTCTATTTCTTGCTAGCTATTGACTAGGTACGGCCTAGTGGAGTCTATTTCTTGCTAGCTATTTATCTAAACTCCGACCTTTTAATCATCAGACTTGGGAATATTTTCAAACAAAAAAACAATCTTTCCAGCCACAGCATAATTATATAATAGAAACATACATTTCGATTTCTTATGTGTTTATATTTGAGAACTATCGATTATGCGCAACTAAGTATTGATTTAGTTTAGGAAACTACACCGACACTGCGCCCGCCCCCCCCCCCCCCCCCCCGTGCAGATTTTTCTTCCAGCCCCCCCCCCCCCCCCGAACGAAATGAAATTTATATAATATACTTTTAACAGTGTCCGCCCCCCCCCCCCCCCCCCCCCGGAGAAAAAAGTCTGGAAGAAAACACTACCCCCCGTGCCTTAGATCCAACAACTCCTTGAACCACAAGAAATCTCAGCGGAAACTGGCGTACCGTGTAGAGATTAGTGTCATCTCTGTGTGACCAATCATATGAGAGCAGTTGTAAACCTGGGCCTATCAAGTGTACCGGGAACTTAGCCGCGACACTAGGGCTCACGACTTCAAGTTCCCAGATCCTGCACCCAATCTTCACACAGTAGATATCTAATACACGCAGTTGATGCCCTAACATAGCCCTAATTATGCCCCCAGTTTGCCCTTCCCATGTTCCACCTCGCCCATGCCCCACCCTCACCCCCCCCCAGTCCTACCCTGCCCATGTTCCATCCCCACCCCCCTACCCCGCCGTTGCCCCCCCCCCCCCCCCCCCCCCCCCCGTTCTGCCGTGGCCACGTTCCCATGACATTCGTCACTACATCATCACCTAGTCAGGCTCGCCTTCCTATTGGTTTAAAAAACTCCCGTCTAATCGATATTCAATATCTTTCGGGTCAAAGGTTGCCATTAGTATCTGTCGTTAAAGTGCTACATCACAAACAGAAAATTGTTTAGGGGGCCAGGGGTCAATCGTGGCTGCTCATCCATTTCACGCGCTGGCCGGCGTATGCACGTGCCGACCATTTGTTTTAATTATAGCTCGCGCTCATTTGTATTTTACCTCTCTCCGTGACTCTGGTTATTGAGTGGTGGCTTTACGTCCGCGTGACGTCACTAGAGTGGTGCGTCGTGACGTCACTAGAGTGGTGCGTCGTGACGTCACTAGAGTGGTGCGTCGTGACGTCACTAGAGTGGTGCGTCGTGACGTCACTAGAGTGGTGCGTCGTGACGTCACTAGAGTGGTGCGTCGTGACGTCACTAGAGTGGTGCGTCGTGACGTCACTAGAGTGGTGCGTCGTGACGTCACTAGAGTGGTGCGTCGTGACGTCACTAGAGTGGTGCGTCGTGACGTCACTAGAGTGGTGCGTCGTGACGTCACTAGAGTGGTGCGTCGTGACGTCACTAGAGTGGTGCGTCGTGACGTCAGCTGGTGTGGGGATCTGTGGGTGGTGCCGCCTGGTGTGTGTGTGTGTGGACCTGTGGTGGGTGGGGATCGGTAGGTGTGACACGGTTCTATTTTGCACCGGAACTTGAAAGGTTACGTTTTTTCAGTCGATCCTTTTCATCTCTTTCCAAACAAGGAGCACACGGGTTTCTAAATATATCCACGGGATTTCCCTCTCACCTAGCCCGCCTTTATTTGAAGGCCTCTGTTCTGTTTTTATCAACTGGGTGTCCGGGCCATTCACTCCATCACAAGTTGATTCAGTTGAAATCGATGGCCATTTCCTGTGGAGTCCCTAATGCAGGACTCATTGATGGTTTATACTCGCACAAGACACAGATTCCTGTGTATTGATAGATGTCGTTTCTTTCAAATGGCTGGGTCCAGTGCTAGAGCCAACCAGTGCGGTTGTTTGGATCTGGGGGAGGGGAGGTAGAATCCCTCAGTGGCGTGGGGAGTGTCCTCTTTGGGGGGGGGGAGTGTCCTCTTTGGGGGGGGAGTGTCCTCTTTGGGGGGGGGGGAGTGTCCTCTTTGGGGGGGGGGGGGTCCTCTTTGGGGGGGGGGGGTGTCCTCTTTGGGGGGGAGTGTCCTCTTTGGGGGGGGGGGGGGAGTGTCCTCTTTGGGGGGGGGGGGGTGTCCTCTTTGGGGGGGAGTGTCCTCTTTGGGGGGGGGGGAGTGTCCTCTTTGGGGGGGGGGGGAGTGTCCTCTTTGGGGGGGGGGAGTGTCCTCTTTGGGGGGGGGAGTGTCCTCTTTGGGGGGGGGGAGTGTCCTCTTTGGTGTAAAACAGTTGTAGTTGCGGCCTCGGGTCACACAATGAACACACTCAGCCGATCTGTTTGACCGGACTTCTATCCTGCCATAATCCTGCCCCTAACGTTTAACGGAATTTAACCCCAACCTTTAAGCCGCCATTTTGTTTAACCCTCAGCCTGAAGAACGACCACAAGCGCCACCTACCCTCAAGCCAAAGTCCAAGCAAAGTTTAAAACCAGGTAAGTCTTGATGCCAGAATTTTTTTTTTTTGGGGGGGGGGGGGGGGGAACCTGAAAGTAGAACAGGAGGCATGGCACATGGGGCATAACACATGGCACGGGGGGCATAACACTTGGAAACGGGGGGCATAACACATGGCATTGGGGGCATAACACATGGCACGGGGGGCATAACACTTGGAAACGGGGGGCATAACACATGGCATTGGGGGCATAACACATGGCACAGGGGGCATAACGCATGGCACGAGGGAAATAACACATGGCACGAGGAGGAGGCTTAACTTTAGGCCAGTTTCTGCCATTTTGCAAAAACTTTGCCTACACGGACAAATGATTGCGTTACTGATTGGTTGAAGGAATTGTGTCATAACTAGCTCAGCTGAGGGACTGAAAGGAATTGTGTCATAACTAGCTCAGCAGAGGGACTGAAAGGAATTGTGTCATAACTAGCTCAGCTGAGGGACTGAAAGGAATTGTGTCATAACTAGCTCAGCTGAGGGACTGAAAGGAATTGTGTCATAACTAGCTCAGCTGAGGGACTGAAAGGAAAAGCCCATTAACGGTATCATTTATCATATTTCAATTCATCAATAAGGGACTGAGGTATACGAGCTAAAGTTCAGTGTTCGTGCAGCAGATAAAGTATGGGAACAAAAACGACAACTGTTTGATTTTCACCAAAATGTGACAAGAGTACTTTGAGCACTAAAGACATTTTGACTGGAGCATTCCGTTTTCCCGCGTTCACAGCTGTCGTCTGTTTTCGTGTAACGCTTCAGTGCACCTAATCACGTTAGTCTGGGAGTTGCCCCCCTTCTCTTCGTCTGACCTGTGGCGCGAATGTCGGTCAACCGTTCTATCAAGACTTGCTAGTTTTTAAAAGATTTTTTTCAAATTTTAAAACATAGTAGCTTTTTATTGAGTACATTAGGTCCCGTTCTATCAAGACTTGCTACTTTTTTAAAAGATTTTTTTTTCTTCAAATTTTAAAACATAGATCTAGTAGCTTTTTATTGAGTACATTAGGTCCCGTTCTATCAAGACTTGCTAGTTTTTTAAAGATTTTTTTTTTCTTCAAATTTTAAAACATAGTAGCTTTTTATTGAGTACATTAGGTCCCGTTCTATCAAGACTTGCTAGTTTTTTAAAGATTTTTTTTTTCTTCAAATTTTAAAACATAGTAGCTTTTTATTGAGTACATTAGGTCCCGTTCTATCAAGACTTGCTAGTTTTTTAAAGATTTTTTTTTTCTTCAAATTTTAAAACATAGTAGCTTTTTATTGAGTACATTAGGTCCCGTTCTATCAAGACTTGCTAGTTTTTTAAAGATTTTTTTTTTCTTCAAATTTTAAAACATAGTAGCTTTTTATTGAGTACATTAGGTCCCGTTCTATCAAGACTTGCTAGTTTTTAAAAGATTTTTTTTCAAATTTTAAAACATAGTAGCTTTTTATTGAGTACATTAGGTCCCGTTCTATCAAGACTTGCTAGTTTTTAAAAGATTTTTTTCAAATTTTAAAACATAGTAGCTTTTTATTGAGTACATTAGGTCCCGTTCTATCAAGACTTGCTAGTTTTTAAAAGATTTTTTTCAAATTTTAAAACATAGTAGCTTTTTATTGAGTACATTAGGTCCCGTTCTATCAAAACTTGCTACTTTTTAAAAAGATTTTTTTTTTTTCAAATTTTAAAACATAGTAGCTTTTTATTGAGTACATTAGGTCCCGTTCTATCAAGACTTGCTACTTTTTAAAAAGATTTTTTTTTTTCAAATTTTAAAACATAGTAGCTTTTTATTGAGTACATTAGGTCCCGTTCTATCAAGACTTGCTACTTTTTAAAAAGATTTTTTTTTTTTTCAAATTTTAAAACATAGTAGCTTTTTATTGAGTACATTAGGTCCCGTTCTATCAAGACTTGCTAGTTTTTTAAAGATTTTTTTTCTCTTCAAATTTTAAAACATAGTAGCTTTTTATTGAGTACATTAGGTCCCGTTCTATCAAGACTTGCTACTTTTTAAAAAGATTTTTTTTTTTCAAATTTTAAAACATAGTAGCTTTTTATTGAGTACATTAGGTCCCGTTCTATCAAGACTTGCTACTTTTTAAAAAGATTTTTTTTTTTCAAATTTTAAAACATAGTAGCTTTTTATTGAGTACATTAGGTCCCGTTCTATCAAGACTTGCTACTTTTTAAAAAGATTTTTTTTTTTCAAATTTTAAAACATAGTAGCTTTTTATTGAGTACATTAGGTCCCGTTCTATCAAGACTTGCTAGTTTTTTAAAAAGATTTTTTTCTTCTTCAAATTTTAAAACATAGTAGTTTTTTATTGAGTACATTAGGTCCCGTTCTATCAAGACTTGCCACTTTTTAAAAAGATTTTTTTTTTTCAAATTTTAAAACATAGTAGCTTTTTATTGAGTACATTAGGTCCCAAGTTTCTGTGACCTCAAGGTGCGAACGTTCCAAGTTGCGAACGCCGTGTGAGAATACTTGGTTCTATCCTCAAGGCTAATGCTGTTATGTGGGGGGGGGGGGGGGGTCATCTTATTATGTGATAATAATGGGAAGTTAACGATGTGAATCCAAAACAATAAATCACCAAAAAAAAGTAAATAATTTTCAGTGTCTGTTTAGAATCATGCGAAGTTGTATTGAAAGTTTTTAAAAATATTCGCATTCAAAGTTTCAGCCATTTACGGCTGTGCCCAGCAAGTTGGCACTATCCACGGTGTGAATATAAATGACGATTTATTTCACCAAAATACATACAGCAAACGTCGATTACAAGTCTAGGTTTTATAATTGTTGGGTTGGGCTGGGGGTGGGGGGTAAAGTACTTGTTGTGTGGGGCGGGAAATATTTTTTTTAAATTGTGCATGACTTATCTAAATAGCCTACACAATTTGTTGACTGGATGACTTTGAACTTGTTGACTGAATGACTTTAAACCTGTTGACTGGATGACTTTAAACTTGTTGACTGGATGACTTTAAACTTGTTGACTGGATGACTTTAAACTTGTTGACTGGATGACTTTGAACTTGTTGACTGGATGACTTTGAACTTGTTGACTGGATGACTTTAAACTTGTTGACTGGATGACTTTAAACTTGTTGACTGGATGACTTTAAACTTGTTGACTGGATGACTTTAAACTTGTTGACTGGATGACTTTAAACTTGTTGACTGGATGACTTTAATCTTGTTGACTGGATGACTTTAATCTTGTTGACTGGATGACTTTAATCTTGTTGACTGGATGACTTAATTTATTTTCCAGAGTTCAACCCCTTGATGGGAGATGTGGGCGGAGCCTGCTTCCGCCCCGCCAGGAGAGGGGGAGGTGGAGGATGAGGTTAAGAAGGCTGGACTGACCCTTGACCTCACACACTAGCATACATTAGATGGGAAAAGTCACGTGCCTGTCATCCAACCTTTGACCCCTGCCGGATTGATCATCTCTTTAAATATTTGAAGCTAATTTTCTAGAAGCTAACAGTCCATGTGATATTGTCAAATACATTACAATTATATCTCTAGGCAAAAAAACCCAGGCTACTTATAATGAAATGTCCACAAATTCGGGTTTGATCATGTATTTTAAAAATCATTATTGTATAAACTGTTGGCTCAACTAATGTTTGCAACAATGTTGGTGTAAGTATGATGTAGCGGGAGGTCAGAGTGCAACTTTTCCTTTCTTTGTTGTGATGTGTGGAAGTCAGTGGGTTAGTTACAGCCGTATCGGTCAAAGGGAGAGAACTTAATTTTTACTATCAGCATTTAGTTTTCTTGGAGTTGTTTACCTTGGTTGATTTTAAAACACTATACATCTAGCTAGATGCTAAATATTAATATAATATTAACGTATGTTGTTTTGTTACCTAGATGATGGTATAAAATGAGTTTAAGCAATACATTTTCTAAAAGAAATGTAGAGGGTGCTAGTTTGTTGAACATGTCCATTTTCTTAGAATTTATATTTTGTTTGATCTCGCAAGAGGCGTTTTTTTTTGTCTTTTGCAGAAATAATGTAAAGGTACGTAATTTGTTGTACTTATTTTTATCGAGTTTTTTCATTGTTCTCTCCCTTTCGGCAGTGACAAATGGTAGGAATACAACAGGCTGAATGTTTGATGAGCGTCAGTGGGGTTGTGGTTGGTTAATTTTACCTGTGTGGTTTAGTGGTTGATTTTACCACCTGTGTGGTTTAGTGGTTGATTCTACCACCTGTTGTATTCCCGCCAACTTTGTGCTGATGACGTCATTTGTTTAAAGGCAAAAGCCTGACACGTGACTGATGGAAGAAACTGCCAGTTTTTATTTTGATCTGTTAAGTTGTGGGCTGTGGGTGGAGGGGATGGTTTAATTTATTCTGTCGCTTGGTTCTGAACAAAAAAATATTTTGTGTGATGTGTGACGGGTATGTTAAAAGAAATGTAACATTTTATCTATGAAATGTTTCTTATTAAAGCTGTCCAGCAAACTGGCCTTATTGTTACATAAAGCAGAATGTATGGCCTGGTCACATTACACCATTTCACATCAGATTCAATGGCCTGTTCACATTACACCATTTTACATCAGATTCAATGGCCTGTTCACATTACACCATTTCACAGCAGATTCAATGGCCTGTTCACATTACACCATTTTACATCAGATTCAATGGCCTGTTCACATTACACCATTTCACATCAGATTCAATGGCCTGTTCACATTACACCATTTCACATCAGATTCAATGGCCTGTTCACATTACACCATTTCACATCAGATTCAATGGCCTGTTCACATTACACCATTTTACATCAGATTCAATGGCCTGTTCACATTACACCATTTCACATCAGATTCAATGGCCTGTTCACATCACTGTTTTATTGATCTGATTCAGAAATCTGTAGATCACAATATGTAAGATTCATTGGCCTCTAGAGCTCTCTACATTTAACATGTGATTCAATGGCTTATTCACATCACTCACCATGTGATTCAATGGCCTGTTAAGATGACTCCATTACCTCCATGTAAATGTTTTCCAGGGATGAATGTTATATTTACCTGTCTCACAGTTGTTGAATATCAAGTTTGAATGTGTAAAACAATGAAAATAAATCATATTATAACAATCTTGACTTTGTACACTATATTGAGTTGTATTACTTGTATGGTTATAAGAAATCAGTAGTCGCTGCCAAGGAAACCGTTTCCTTCATAACATTCAATAAACTCTACAAGATAGAAACTGTATTGTGTGCGGTACAGCAGAGTTTCTATTTATAGAGAAATACCTCAACAGATCTATCAGACTTTGAAGCATCCCAGGCTATTCTCCTCTACCCAGCATATCAGACTTGGAGGCTAGAGTCCTGTGAGAACTGGGTATATCATGGAATAAAAGGAAGGTCTACTGATTGCAAATGTATATATATATATATATATATATATATATATATATATATATATATATATATATATACATATATATATATATATATACATACATACATACATATATACATATGTCAACATATATACATATGTCAACATATATACATATGTCAACATATATACATATGTCTACATTTATACATATGTCTACATATATACATATGTCTACATATATACATATGTCTACATATATACATATGTCTACATATATACATATGTCTACATATATACATATGTCTACATATATACATATGTCTACATATATACATATGTCTACATATTTCACTGTCAACATATTTCACTGTCAGCATATTTCACTGTCAGCATATTCCACTGTCAGCATATTCCACTGTCAACATATTTCACTGTTAACATTAAGCTTCTCTCGTGTACTCATCAAGGGAGGGTTAACATTCACCTGTACGGTCTGTAAGTTGGGTCTCCCCCCCCCCCCCTTACACACTGGGGAAAATGTGTGGGGGGGGGGGGCAGGATGACATGGTACCCAAGCAGACTGGGGACAGGTGAGAGAGATGACAATTTGAGGCACTACCACACTACCGCACTACCACACTACCGCACTACCACACTACCGCACTACCTATCTAGTCGAGCTGGATGATGTGTTCAAAATCTGAGACTGTCTTCACATGTCCTATGCCGAGGTCACAGAAACAGGTGAAATCTACTTCGCCTGCATCGTGGACCTTCAGATTCAAAAAGGGAACTTTATTAAGTCAGGGAAAACTTTCAAGGAAAATAAATTGAGCCATTGAAAATGTTTTCAGACTGCCCACATGTAACCAGAACAGATTTCACTGATGAGAAATAGAGTGTGAATCTTAAGGATCGTGCACAAATTATGCAATACAAAAATATGACATTTCAACACACTTTAACCTCTGTATAGTAGTGTATAGTATAGAAATGTAACATTTATATAGACTACCCCCTCCACACACACCATCCTCCCCCCCCCCTCCCCCTAGGAGTGGGGATGTTATTGCTAACCCGTAACACAGAAATCGGACATTTTAACTCGTCTTATGCCCTGTCCTGTGGCAAAACGTAGGACTGCAGTCTATAGACAACAGAGTTTCTTCCAGGCATCTCTTCGGGGGGGCTTTGCCCCCCCCCCCCCCCGAAATTTTTTTACCGCCCCCCCCCCCCCCCGAACGAAATGAAATTTATATAATTTATATAGAAAATATATACTTTTAACAGTGTCCGCCCCCCCCCCCCGAAGAAAGTTTACCGCCCCCCCCCCCCCGAAGATTTCAAGTGCCCCCCGGAGAAAAAAGTCTGGAAGAAACACTGATAGACAAGGACATCAAAACCCGCTAATGGACACGCTTGGGCTGGACTGGAACCCACGGGGGAGAAGAAAGTAGGTAGACAAAGAACATTTTGAGGACTAAAGAAAGCGACGCCAGGGCATCGGGATTTAATGGACTCAACTGAAGACAACCGAGCCCGTTGGAAACGTGTTGTTCCTGACCTGCATACAGATTAGATTTAATTAAAAGCCAAGTAGAATCTAAGTCATTTTCCTAAATGGCTACGTAGTGATATTACTTTTTTTTTTTATCCCCACATCCAACTTTTCTGAATCTGAGAAATTGTGCTAGTGTTTAGCAGACTGCTAATTTTTTTAAAAAAAACGTAACTAGCACCCCATGTCATTTAACATAATATAACAAAATGATTACAACCACACCTACTGCACAATCGCTGAAAAAAATAAATTCTAACTGCGAAGATTAATATACCGGTCGCACTGTTCAACGACGCAGTTTAAAATCCCGAACCAGGTTTATTGACATTTGAATTTTTTTTTAGGCCAAGTGTACGACACGTAAATATGTCATATTTCCGGCAATAATTTGCATATCTTAATTTAGAATTTTGAGCATTTAAAAACAGTATGATCATAGATCTAGTTTTATCACAACTGTCTAGTTTAAGCCAAAATGTGAATTTGTTCTGTCGTGTTCAAGTTTTTAAAACAACGCTGATTTTTTTCCCCTGGCATTCGTAGTCACTGTGTTAATAATAATAACTAATTTATGCATTATCATTAATGATATATTACTGTTCCAGGAAAGCACCGTGACCACAATTAGATATTTCCCATGATGCTCTAGTCACGTGATATTATTACGGTCGCAAATTGGATCTAATTATAGAAGTTAAATGTTTCGTTTGTCATGCGCAGAAGCAATGGGAAATCCCCGCGGAAAGACATCTTTATTCGTTACTGCAGCGTGCCCTATAAACTTATTTAATACATGGTATTTTAACTCTGCTTTATAATTTATAATGTAATTGCAAGTGTTGCACATAAATATACTTTATGTGACTTTTTTCAACACAGCTTATTTAAATCATAGTAATACTATTCGTGGAAATTACACATAGGTTTTTACTCATATTTCTACGATCTTACTTTAGTTAGTGTTTCACGGAACAGTTTGGGAAACATTGAGTTATTGGCCAATAGAATCACGTGATTTGGGACTTTCCCATGGAGTTGGTGCTTTCCAGAATTCTGTGGAATTGGTATTTGATTTTAAAACATTAATTCTTGTGAATTGCTGTTTTCCTTGACATTTGTTATGGACGTAAGATAATTATTCGTTTATAACTTAACGATCTTTGTTTATAGACATTACAAAACATTATCCAAAATGGTGGACTCCATAGCGACCTACTTTTGAGTTATTCAACCCTTCCACCTCAACAACATGGACGAAAAAGAACAGGCTGACCGTATGGCCGCAGCAGAGGCCCTTTTTATGATCTCAACTCGTGTTGATAAGACCAGACCAATTTCTAAGAGAGGCAGAAAAAAATTGAATACTGCTCCAAATGTAGATACTCATTTTAAAAGGGTCGATAAAGAAATAGTAGAGCCGACCCCTGTTCGAAGAGGCCGCGGTAGAGGTGTTCGTAATACTGGAGTCAAAAGAGGGCGAGGGGGGAAGAGTAGATCGAATTCTAGTAGGGGTAAGGGTACGGGCAGCGGGAGGGGAAGAAAAGCACATTTTGAAGAGGATTTTGAAGACGAGTTAGATCTATCTGATAAGAAGCCTGCATTGAAATATAATGAACGACGCACCCGTCGAAGCTCTAACTCCAAAGATCTTGACAACAACGACGAAGAAAACTCCAATAGCTATAAATCCAAATCTCAAGCAGATCATCGTAGAACCTCCCTGTCTCCAAAAAACACCACAAAACTATTCACACCATCAGTCTCTCGAATTGACACCCCCAAGTCTCATCATGCTATTGGTTTTACTGGTGCTGCAATCTCCATACCTGAAATTCCTGTGCGAAGAATCTCAGTAATTGAACAGCAGCAAAATACAAGTCATATGCCAGTCTCCAGCCCAAAACAGGTGAATTTTTGCAGTAGTTCTAGATCTAAGTAGTAATAATTTTTTTGTTTTGCTGCACTAATATTAGTTTCCTAATTAAATTTACCAAATATATACTCAGGCTACACCACTCAAGGTTCAGTGGGTCTGCATAAAAATACAATTGGCTCAGTTTTGTTCAGACTATCCATTTATTAATTCTAGAATTATTCTTCCACTTCTCAATATCTTCCTGTAAAGTAGGGAGCTTTGTTCTTGCTGATTTGATACATTGACATATTTACATAATGACTAAATGCATTGGATTGGGACGGAGTGGTCAAATGGTAGTGTTTGACTGCTGACCCAGAAGTCCAGAGCTAGGATCCTTGGCTTCAGTCCAAAGTCTTTGAGTCCACCCAGTCCATTATGGATACCTGACTAATGTTAGGGGAAAGTAAAGGCAGCTGGGTATATTGCTTACCACATTATCCCTTCATATGCAGAAGTCACTGAAACCATAAGATTTAAAAGGGTATTTGACCATACAAATTTGCATAATTAATATTGCATCAACACAAAAAAAACTTTTTATTTAATGGTGAAGCAATCTTAAGATTCATACAATTAAACAAATATGTGGGTAGGGTAATCTATCAAACTAGGTCATTGTATTGTATAATACTACTATTATACTTTGTTCTGAAGCCTTGCAATTAACGTAGCCAATAAAGTATAGTTTTTATATTTATTAAGTTGATTGGCCATTAAAATTCACTATTGGCTTAGTCACTCAACATTCTCATTATTTTAAATATCTACAACAGAACCGTGAGAATCTAACAATAGAAGCTAAATGTTAAAGTGACCACTAAATTTTGTTTTAAATAAATAGCTTCACAGTGGCCTGCCGTCAAGGACCATGCCAGTGTCATCATCAGTGTCAAATCTGCCGTCCATGAACCTGACGTCTTTCACCACAGAGGATGTGGCCAACTTGCCTTCCATTCCACTTGAGATAGCTTCTCTTCATCTCTCATCTCAGCCAATACCAAATCTTTCATCACTGGGGGATATTACGTCTGAGGGGGTGATGGAAGATGATGATGCCAGTGACAGGTGTGTTTTATTGTTTGGTCCCTGATCTGGTAGGCTGTCAAAGCTATTTTATTGTTACTTTAATTAGGTCACTACCATGGCCTTAGCTGTTAGCTCATGATTAAAAAACTCTGTGCAAACTCTATACAAATTTATTCTTTGTTCCATTTCTTCAAATTAATATTTATTCAATGACAAGTTCAATATTTCTCAAATGATAGCTTGAGTTTATGAAGAACAGATACATTTTGTAATAAATACTTTAGTGGAAGTCCTTAAGAAAATATTATAGTGAATGTCACAAAAACCTTGATTTCACATGTTAGTAGTTACTAAAGCCTCGTAGTGTTTTCTTTCTTCTTCTTATTTGGGGCAGTTGTCAATTAGGATAAAAATAAAAATTCCTGAGTTCTAGGTTGTGGATGATAATTATTTATGTGACACATGTCACTTTGATCCTGTCTGCCACAGGGTGGTGCATTAGGCTGTTGGAAATGGCTGATTACATTTTAAGGCATGTTTCAAGGCGTGTCTCTTGTTTTTAATAGTTCCCGTTGATATATTTCTAGATCTGTAGGATACGTACTTCACTATTTGTCTTTCTACTTCTGTTAAAGTGTAGACATATGTTTTCAGGGAAAAGTCTGAAAAGTTTCTGCCATTAAAAAAAAGAAAGCTACATAAACCTGTGACTGTAAATACAAGAGATCTGCCCAGCTCAACCCAAGAACCTCTGTCTCACTCGGATTCTGAAGGTTGGTTTACTTAGGATGTATCTTCACATGTTCAAATGTTGTTATACCTTTGTCTCACTCTGATTCTGAAGGTTGGTTTACTTAGGATGTATCTTCATGTGGTCAAATGTTGTTATACCTCTGTCTCACTCTGATTCTGAAGGTTGGTTTACTTAGGATGTATCTTCACGTGTTCAATGTTGTTATTCATCATTGCAGATTTGGGCAAGTTACACCTGATTACAGAAATAAAATGTTTTTTTTTTTGTATTTTTCCTGCATGGGTACAGAGAGAGATGAAATGGGTCAGTCTCCATCAGACAGGTACGAGGCTACCTCATCGCCAGCAGAACCTGTGCGCGCTTCCTTCACTGTGCAGGCATCACCTGCTATCACCCTGCAGACACTCTTGGAAATCAAAACTGCTTTGACAGCTGACGACGATGGTGACTTGTGAGTTTTATAACATTTTATTACCTGCATGTGAAACAAAGCATTATATCAAATACTTGTTTACATATTTACACTACACTGTTACTATCGTCACTTTAGAAAAATTAGTTATGGAAAACAAACATAGTGGTTCCCTGTTGTTAAATTAGTCCATATTAAATTAGTCCATATTAAAATATAGGGTACAAATGGGTTTCACCTAAATCTAGTCGGTGTTCTCTAGATTGATTCACTACATATTTTTTTTAAATATATAAATTAAGTGCTAATAATTAAGTATCTATAACAAATGTTTTGAAAAGTCATTCTAAATTAATTCACTACATAATTTTTTTAAATATATAAATTAAGTGCTAATAATTAAGTATCTATGAGTACCATGTTTTGAAAAGTCATAAAATTTAATGACAATTTATACTCATAAGCTAATAATCTAATTGTTGAATGACAACAGTTGTAGGCCTATATGTTTGTGGTTCTATTCCTTAGACCCCTTCACATTGCTGTGGTCTAATTGTTGAATGACAACAGTTGTAGGCCTATATGTTTGTGGTTCTATTCCTCAGACCCCTTCACATTGCTGTGATTCTATTCCTCAGACCCCTTCACATTGCTGTGATTCTATTCCTCAGACCTCTTCACATTGCTGTGGTCCATGAGAACATGAGGATGGTGATCAAGCTGATCAACCTGATGGCTATAGCAGGCAAGGGAGTGGACAAGTTTAACAAGCAGCAGCAGGTTGGTACCATCTGTATAGGTGGTGGAGTTCAGCTCTTAGCACAGCTTGTCTGCGTCATTGACTTAGTTCAGTTCTTAGCACAGCTTGTCTGCGTCATTGACTTAGTTCAGTTCTTAGCACAGCTTGTCTGCGTCATTGACTTAGTTCAGTTCTTAGCACAGCTTGTCTGCGTCATTGACTTAGTTCAGTTCTTAGCACAGCTTGTCTGCGTCATTGACTTAGTTCAGTTCTTAGCACAGATGGTCTGCGTCATTGACTTAGTTCAGTTCTTAGCACAGCTTGTCTGCGTCATTGACTTAGTTCAGTTCTTAGCACAGATTGTCTGCGTCATTGACTTAGTTCAGTTCTTAGCACAGATTGTCTGCGTCATTGACTTAGTTGAGTACTTAGCACATATTTTCTGCATCATTGACTTAGTTCAGTTCTTAGCACAGATTGTCTGCGTCATTGACTTAGTTCAGTTCTTAGCACAGATTGTCTGCGTCATTGACTTAGTTCAGTTCTTAGCACAGATTGTCTGCGTCATTGACTTAGTTCAGTTCTTAGCACAGATTGTCTGCGTCATTGACTTAGTTCAGTTCTTAGCACAGATTGTCTGCGTCATTGACTTCGTCCATCATTGACTTAGTCAGTACTTAGCACAGATTTTCTGCGTCATTCTTAGCACTATTTTTTACTTTCTCGTATATACGAAGTATAGAGAAAGTATTGTAATCGTGCACAAAAATCACTTGAAATTTTAACATCTTTCACCGTATTACACCTCAGTCCTTCATCACATCCGAAGTTTAGAGGACTTATTTTAATCGGGCAAAAATTATCAATCCAGATTTATCAAAACTAAGAGGTTTTATGCGTAATCCAGTCTGAAAAACTGGGCTTTGCAATTCTGTCCGTGTGTCTGTGTGTCTGTGTGTGTGTGTGTCCGTGTGTAAACACGATAACTTGAGTACCGTTACAGCTAGGTTGATGAAATTTCATATATAAGTATTTTATCAAAATCGTAGATCCGTATCAACTTTTGAGCGATTTCCAATAACCGGAAGTGGTACTTTTTCTACTTTGAATTTTTCAAAAGCCTATAACTTGAGTACTATTTCAGATAGATAAATGAAATTCCACAAGTAAGTATAAGATCTAATTCTCTACCTTATGTTAAATTTTGAGTAGCTTCCGTTGACCGGAAGTAGTAATTTACGCTACTTCCGATTTCTCAAAAAACTAATGTAAATTTATTAAGTACTAATACTATTGCGCACTATTATACACACCTTTATTAGGCGTTCGCTTGGTGCGCAATTGTTTTTTACTGAGATTCTATTCTATTTTTAAAAGTTTAAGTATTTAAAATGGATTAAAAATCATAACTATATCCCCAGTTACCATCCCCTGTTGTTTTATATAAGAATATTCGAGAAAGTTTAGGGGAGATCACTACCGGTTTATTTGATTCATTATTGTTTTCTAAGTAAAATCTGATACTTAAGTGTGGGTTATTGTTTTTTAAATAAACTAGCTGAATTTTAAAGCTAATAATTTTTTACATTTCTAAATCAAGTTTGATTGATAAGAACCTAATTAAATGTTTAATCAGCTATTCTGTGTTAATAATTTTCCCTTAATATTGAATCAGATGATACATTTTTTCCATTAGACACCGCTGCACCTAGCTGTGAAATTGGATTTTTTGGAGGCGGTGGACATTTTGATCAGGTCTGGTGCCAATGTGAACGCTGTTGACTGCACGGGTTCCTCGTCCATCCATATGGCAGTGCAGGGCAGGTCAACCAAATGTCTGCAAGTGCTGCTAGAGAAGTGTCCCACAGCTGAGCTTAATGCTCGCAACTTTGATGGTCAGTCACTTGTAAAATTGTATACAGACGACAATTAAGACTAACAGTTAAATAAAAAAGTTAAGCAAAGTTGGGACTGTTTCAATATTCAAAAACAAATTTGTACATCATGACTTGGTATTCTCACCTCCAAAACATTTTTTGTACTCTCACCTTATAAAACATATTTTGTACCCCTCACTACCTCACTAGAACATTTAGTATGTGTATATTTATTTAGTACCGTCACTAGTTTAAAATTGTAACCCGCAGGCTTGACACCTCTTCACACAGCAGTAGACAATGGAGATCTGGACCAGGTTGAACTATTACTTAAATATGGCGCTGATATTGACGTAACAGTAAGTGCATTTTTTATGTTGGTGGGTTTCATACCTCTAGCCACACTCCACCTGGTAGCCACAGCACTACACCTGGTAGCCACAGTCCCACATCTTCTAGCCAGTCCTACACCTGGTAGCCACACTACACCTGGTAGCCACAGTCCTACACCTGGTAGCCACAGTCCCACACCTGGTAGCCACAGTCCTACACCTGGTAGCCACAGTCCCACACCTGCTAGCCACAGTCCTACACCTGCTAGCTACAGTCCCACACCTGCTAGCTACAGTCCTACACCTGCTAGCTACAGTCCTACACCTGCTAGCTACAGTCCTACACCTGGTAGCCATAGTCACACGTCTGCTAGCCATAGTCCTACACCTGGTAGCCACAGTCCCACATCTTCTAGCCACAGTCCTACACCTGCTAGCCACAGTCCTACACCTGCTAGCCACAGTCCCACACCTGGTAGCCACAGTCCCACACCTGGTAGCCACAGTCCTACACCTGGTAGCCACAGTCCCACACCTGGTAGCCACAGTCCTACACCTGGTAGCCACAGTCCTACACCTGGTAGCCACAGTCCCACACCTGGTAGCCACACTACACCTGGTAGCCACATTCCAACGTCTTCTAGCCACAGTCCCACACCTGGTAGCCACACTACACCTGGTAGCCACAGTCCCACACCTGGTAGCCACACTACACCTGGTAGCCACATTCCAACGTCTTCTAGCCACAGTCCCACACCTGATAGCCACAGTCCTACACCTGCTAGCCACAGTCCTACACCTGCTAGCCACAGTCCTACACCTGGTAGCCACAGTCCCACACCTGGTAGCCACAGTCCCACACCTGGTAGCCACAGTCCTACACCTGGTAGCCACAGTCCCACACCTGGTAGCCACAGTCCTACACCTGGTAGCCACAGTCCCACACCTGGTAGCCACAGTCCTACACCTGGTAGCCACAGTCCTACACCTGGTAGCCACAGTCCCACATCTGGTAGCCACACTACACCTGGTAGCCACATTCCAACGTCTTCTAGCCACAGTCCCACACCTGGTAGCCACACTACACCTGGTAGCCACAGTCCCACACCTGGTAGCCACACTACACCTGGTAGCCACATTCCAACGTCTTCTAGCCACAGTCCCACACCTGATAGCCACAGTCCTACACCTGCTAGCCACAGTCCTACATCTAATAGCCACAGTCCTACACCTGCTAGCCACAGTCCCACACCTGCTAGCCACAGTCCTACACCTGCTAGCTACAGTCCCACACCTGGTAGCCACAGTCCTACACCTGCTAGCTACAGTCCCACACCTGCTAGCCACAGTCCTACACCTGCTAGCTACAGTCCCACACCTGCTAGCTACAGTCCTACACCTGCTAGCTACAGTCCTACACCTGCTAGCTACAGTCCTACACCTGGTAGCCATAGTCACACGTCTGCTAGCCATAGTCCTACACCTGGTAGCCACAGTCCCACATCTTCTAGCCACAGTCCTACACCTGCTAGCCACAGTCCTACACCTGCTAGCCACAGTCCTACACCTGGTAGCCACAGTCCCACACCTGGTAGCCACAGTCCCACACCTGGTAGCCACAGTCCTACACCTGGTAGCCACAGTCCCACACCTGGTAGCCACAGTCCTACACCTGGTAGCCACAGTCCTACACCTGGTAGCCACAGTCCCACACCTGGTAGCCACACTACACCTGGTAGCCACATTCCAACGTCTTCTAGCCACAGTCCCACACCTGGTAGCCACACTACACCTGGTAGCCACAGTCCCACACCTGGTAGCCACACTACACCTGGTAGCCACATTCCAACGTCTTCTAGCCACAGTCCCACACCTGATAGCCACAGTCCTACACCTGCTAGCCACAGTCCTACACCTGCTAGCCACAGTCCTACACCTGGTAGCCACAGTCCCACACCTGGTAGCCACAGTCCCACACCTGGTAGCCACAGTCCTACACCTGGTAGCCACAGTCCCACACCTGGTAGCCACAGTCCTACACCTGGTAGCCACAGTCCCACACCTGGTAGCCACAGTCCTACACCTGGTAGCCACAGTCCTACACCTGGTAGCCACAGTCCCACATCTGGTAGCCACACTACACCTGGTAGCCACATTCCAACGTCTTCTAGCCACAGTCCCACACCTGGTAGCCACACTACACCTGGTAGCCACAGTCCCACACCTGGTAGCCACACTACACCTGGTAGCCACATTCCAACGTCTTCTAGCCACAGTCCCACACCTGATAGCCACAGTCCTACACCTGCTAGCCACAGTCCTACATCTAATAGCCACAGTCCTACACCTGCTAGCCACAGTCCCACACCTGCTAGCCACAGTCCTACACCTGGTAGCAACAGTCCCTCAACTTCTAGCCACAGTCCCACACCTGCTAGCCACAGTCCCACACCTGCTAGCCACAGTCCCACACCTGCTAGCCACAGTCCTACACCTGGTAGCCACAGTCCCACACCTGGTAGCCACACTACACCTGGTAGCCACATTCCAACGTCTTCTAGCCACAGTCCCACACCTGGTAGCCACAGTCCTACACCTGCTAGCCACAGTCCTACATCTAATAGCCACAGTCCTACACCTGCTAGCCACAGTCCCACACCTGCTAGCCACAGTCCTACACCTGGTAGCCACAGTCCCTCAACTTCTAGCCACAGTCCCACACCTGCTAGCCACAGTCCTACACCTGGTAGCCAGTCCTACACCTGCTAGCCACAGTCCTACACCTGGTAGCCAGTCCTACACCTGCTAGCCACAGTCCTACACCTGCTAGCCACAATCCTACACCTGGTAGCCACAGTCCTATCTAGTTCTGACCTGTTGTTCCAGGATGGTAAGAGTGGGAGAACTTCCTTGTTCCGGGCAGCTGAATCCAATGAGAAGGCCATGGTGGAGCTACTGCTGAAGAACGGGGCCAACCCTGACGTGCCCAACTACGCAGGGGTCACCACTGTCATGGCAGCGCAGGGGAGAAACCTGCATGGAGTTCTCAAGCTTTTGGGATCTGTTTCAACTGACAGGTTCTCTGAGGTGGAGACCAAGCCATTCATGTCTCCCATCAGGGTAAGTATCTACAGGTCTGGCATGTCTATAGTGATTGGCAACTGCCAGGTGCTGGGTCTGGCATTCTATTACTGTAATCATTTAACCAGAGGTACTTGGTAGATTTGTTGATGTGCTAGCCTGACATAACTACCTGACAGGACAGTCTCTTGTTGGTGTGCTAGCCTGACAGGACAGTCTCTTGTTGGTGTGCTAGTCTGACAGGACAGTCTCCTGTTGGTGTGCTAGCCTGACAGGACAGTCTCTTGTTGGTGTGCTAGCCTGGCAGGACAGTCTCCTGTTGATGTGCTGATGTGCTAGCCTGACAGGACAGTCTCCTGTTGGTGTGCTAGCCTGACAGGACAGTCTCCTGTTGGTGTGCTAGCCTGGCAGGACAGTCTCCTGTTGGTGTGCTAGCCTGGCAGGACAGTCTCCTGTTGGTGTGCTAGCCTGGCAGGACAGTCTCCTGTTGGTGTGCTAGCCTGACATAACTACCTGGCAGGACAGTCTCCTGTTGGTGTGCTAGCCTGACAGGACAGTCTCCTGTTGGTGTGCTAGCCTGACAGGACAGTCTCCTGTTGGTGTGCTAGCCTGACATAACTACCTGACAGGACAGTCTCTTGTTGGTGTGCTAGCCTGACAGGACAGTCTCTTGTTGGTGTGCTAGTCTGACAGGACAGTCTCCTGTTGGTGTGCTAGCCTGACAGGACAGTCTCTTGTTGGTGTGCTAGCCTGGCAGGACAGTCTCCTGTTGATGTGCTGATGTGCTAGCCTGACAGGACAGTCTCCTGTTGGTGTGCTAGCCTGACAGGACAGTCTCCTGTTGGTGTGCTAGCCTGGCAGGACAGTCTCCTGTTGGTGTGCTAGCCTGGCAGGACAGTCTCCTGTTGGTGTGCTAGCCTGGCAGGACAGTCTCCTGTTGGTGTGCTAGCCTGACATAACTACCTGGCAGGACAGTCTCCTGTTGGTGTGCTAGCCTGACAGGACAGTCTCCTGTTGGTGTGCTAGCCTGACATAACTACCTGGCAGGACAGTCTCCTGTTGGTGTGCTAGCCTGGCAGGACAGTCTCCTGTTGGTGTGCTAGCCTGGCAGGACAGTCTCCTGCTGATGTGCTAGCCTGGCAGGACAGTCTCCTGTTGGTGTGCTAGCCTGACAGGACAGTCTCTTGTTGGTGTGCTAGCCTGGCAGGACAGTCTCCTGTTGATGTGCTAGTCTGACAGGACAGTCTCCTGTTGATGTGCTAGCCTGACAGGACAGTCCTGTTGATGTGCTAGCCTGACAGGACAGTCTCCTGTTGGTGTGCTAGCCTGACAGGACAGTCTCTTGTTGGTGTGCTAGCCTGGCAGGACAGTCTCCTGTTGATGTGCTGATGTGCTAGCCTGACAGGACAGTCTCCTGTTGGTGTGCTAGCCTGACAGGACAGTCCTGTGGGTGTGCTAGCCTGACAGGACAGTCTCCTGTTGATGTGCTAGCCTGACATAACTACCTGACAGGACAGTCTACTGTTGGTGTGCTAGCCTGACAGGACAGTCTCCTGTTGGTGTGCTAGCCTGACAGGACAGTCTCTTGTTGGTGTGCTAGCCTGGCAGGACAGTCTCCTGTTGATGTGCTGATGTGCTAGCCTGACAGGACAGTCTCCTGTTGGTGTGCTAGCCTGACAGGACAGTCCTGTGGGTGTGCTAGCCTGACAGGACAGTCTCCTGTTGATGTGCTAGCCTGACATAACTACCTGACAGGACAGTCTACTGTTGGTGTGCTAGCCTGACAGGACAGTCTCTTGTTGGTGTGCTAGTCTGACAGGACAGTCTCCTGTTGATGTGCTAGCCTGACAGGACAGTCCTGTTGATGTGCTAGCCTGACAGGACAGTCTCTTGTTGGTGTGCTAGCCTGACAGGACAGTCTCCTGTTGGTGTGCTAGCCTGACATAACTACCTGACAGGACAGTCTCCTGTTGATGTGCTAGCCTGACAGGACAGTCTCCTGTTGATGTGCTAGCCTGACATAACTACCTGACAGGACAGTCTCTTGTTGGTGTGCTAGCCTGACAGGACAGTCTCCTGTTGGTGTGCTAGCCTGACATAACTACCTGACAGGACAGTCTCCTGTTGATGTGCTAGCCTGACAGGACAGTCTCCTGTTGATGTGCTCGCCTGACAGGACAGTCTCTTGTTGGTGTGCTAGCCTGACAGGACAGTCTCTTGTTGGTGTGCTAGCCTGACAGGACAGTCTCCTGTTGATGTGCTAGCCTGACAGGACAGTCTCCTGTTGATGTGTTAGCCTGACATAACTACCTGACAGGACAGTCTCTTGTTGGTGTGCTAGCCTGACATGACAGTCTACTGTTGGTGTGCTAGCCTGACAGGACAGTCTCCTGTTGATGTGCTAGCCTGACATAACTACCTGACAGGACAGTCTCTTGTTGGTGTGCTAGCCTGACAGGACAGTCTCTTGTTGGTGTGCTAGCCTGGCAGGACAGTCTCCTGTTGGTGTGCTAGCCTGGCAGGACAGTCTCCTGTTGATGTGCTGATGTGCTAGCCTGACAGGACAGTCTCCTGTTGGTGTGCTAGCCTGACAGGACAGTCTCCTGTTGGTGTGCTAGCCTGGCAGGACAGTCTCCTGTTGGTGTGCTAGCCTGGCAGGACAGTCTCCTGTTGATGTGCTGATGTGCTAGCCTGACAGGACAGTCTCCTGTTGGTGTGCTAGCCTGACAGGACAGTCTCCTGTTGATGTGCTCGCCTGACAGGACAGTCTCCTGTTGGTGTGCTAGCCTGACAGGACAGTCTCCTGTTGGTGTGCTAGCCTGACATGACAGTCTACTGTTGGTGTGCTAGCCTGACAGGACAGTCTCCTGTTGATGTGCTAGCCTGACATAACTACCTGACAGGACAGTCTCTTGTTGGTGTGCTAGCCTGACAGGACAGTCTCTTGTTGGTGTGCTAGCCTGGCAGGACAGTCTCCTGTTGATGTGCTGATGTGCTAGCCTGACAGGACAGTCTCCTGTTGGTGTGCTAGCCTGACAGGACAGTCTCTTGTTGGTGTGCTAGCCTGACAGGACAGTCACCTGTTGGTGTGCTAGCCTGACAGGACAGTCTCCTGTTGGTGTGCTAGCCTGACATAACTACCTGACAGGACAGTCTCTTGTTGGTGTGCTAGCCTGGCAGGACAGTCTCCTGTTGATGTGCTGATGTGCTAGCCTGACAGGACAGTCTCCTGTTGGTGTGCTAGCCTGACAGGACAGTCTCCTGTTGGTGTGCTAGCCTGACAGGACAGTCTCCTGTTGGTGTGCTAGCCTGACAGGACAGTCTCCTGTTGATGTGCTAGCCTGACAGGACAGTCACCTGTTGATGTGCTAGCCTGACAGGACAGTCACCTGTTGATGTGCTAGCCAGACTTTATCACTTAAATCTGTTCATCTGCAGGCGGAGAGCCCTCTACTGAGGGGAGGGAACTTGTATCAACAAAACACAGAAACTAAAAGAGCTTTGGACAAAAGTGATGAGACTAAAGTGTTTCACAATGTATTTCTTGTCTCACATGTAAGCCCTACCTGTTGTTCTATATGTTTACATGGCATAAAGCAATAATTAACATTAAGTAGCAGTCAACTGGAAGAAAAATAATGATTACCTATAAAATGTTTTTTTTCTTACATGAGCAAATTCTTGACCTCCAATAGGCTAATGGGTGCCTGTGTGTATCCTAGTAACTGTTATTGATACAACTTTCTTCCTGTTATTCAGCTTTGTCTTACTATTTATTTTATTCAACTTTGTCTTACTATTTATTTTATTCAACTTTGTCTTACTATTTATTTTATTCAGCTCTGTCTTACTATTTATTTTATTCACCTTTGTCTTACTATTTATTTTATTCAACTTTGTCTTACTATTTATTTATAGAAAAACGAGGAGCTGGACCGACAAGACAACAGATCCTGGAGAATCAAATGCCGGTCAGAACCTGCCTCGCCTGATGTTAAAATGGAGGTTATGGAGGAGAGTGAAGGGGAGAGGGGGCTGCTGTCCCTCCCAGAGGGTATCCTGCCCCGGGGGGGCTCGTCCAGTCCAGGCATGCCCCAGCGCCATCCACTGAATGTTGACTACAGACACAAACTGACCAGCCACCCAGAGCGCAAGGTCCTCAACTATTCCAAGGATGGTAACAGGCTAGAGCTTCAGACTGTCCAGCCAGTCAAGTACCAGCCTGTCACGTCCAGCAACCCCGCGGCTGGGGTCGACACCAAAGCCTTGACCAGTAACCAGGCGCGGCTGTACAAAAAACTTCTAGAGATGTACAACATTGACCCCAATGGGCCTGCCCCACCCCTCACAACAACGACATTACCGTCTTCTCAAGCCTCAGCGCCAGTCAATAGCCCTGGCTTCTACACTGGACAAACCTACCAGCAGAAAATTGCTACGCTTGCCCATTCCCCTGTTGTATCAACTGCACCAAATGGACTTCCTTTTGTTTCTTCTTCATATACATCGCCACCAAACACACCCCTCAACCTGACTAAATCATCAACTCACCCTGACCCTCTGACTGTTCACAACCAAAATAGCCTCAGACCTCCGGATCCAGCGCTAAAAAAAGTTGCCTCTTTTCAAAATATCCCCGCGGGCCAGGGTGTGATATCTTTTCGTCGAGTAGCCTCAGACACGCCTTCTAGAAACTCTGAGAGCCCCGGGGCGAAGTACGAGATGATTCTGTTACCACAGCATGGCACAGCGCAGCCTTCCACGTCTCACAACACCTCAACCATCAGCTCTCTGACAGCCAGTAAAGACCTCAGAGTTGTTTGTCTTTCTCAGGAAAACTTAAAACAAAATCCACATCAGCTCGCCGTGCCCATCTCTGTACCTAACGTTTCTGTGAACTCTAAAATAGCATCGCTGATGAAAGATAGCCTTTCAAAGCGTAACCTTGTCCAGGTTTCGTCAGAAGACTCAGTTCCGCAGGGGATGGATGGGTTGCCAGTTGTGTACAGTCTCCCTGCTGACAAGCAAGCTGGAAAATCTTACAAGACATTTTCAAATATGGTCAGTATAGCTAGGGATAGTCAGGAGACTGTGGACTCTACTGTATCTACAGTCAGAGCAGACTCCGCCCCTAGGTCAAGCCCCATCTTCTTACATCAGGGACAAGAGATTGATTTGAGCGGTCAACAGGGAAATTACCAGACCATCTTTACATCCAGTGGCCAGCAGAGTAACTACCAGACCATCTTTACCTCGCGCATCATCCCTGCTAGGCCTGAACAAAACACTTCATCAAAAGGCCAGGCGGACACGAGCCAGGGTAAGATTGTGGGCTTCAGTGGGGCCATTTTGTCTGTTGTGCCTTCAAAGAAAGAGAAGCAGGAGGGTGTTGTGAGTGAGAAGACTGAGCTCAAGGAAACTGTGCAGAAGGAGTTCAAGAAGAGGGGGAGAAAAAGCCAGAAGCAGCTTGAGTCTCATCCCACTGAGGCTAATTTAAGTAAAATTAATTCTGTGACTGATGAAAAGTTGAAGAAGTTTTTGGGTGCAAAAAAAAGTGAAGGTGTGAGTGGTCATTTTGTGAAGGAGGAAGAGGAGAAGGTGGTCAGTGAGTTCCAGCCGGTCTACAGCACTGGCAGGTCAAAGGACTCCACCTACAGGACCGTCGGCATTTTCTCAGGCGACGTCCAGCATGTCAGGATAGGGAGGATGTTTTCATCCTCCCCACTGCCCCTCCCCGCCACACCTGCATCCTCCTCACCTGTCACAAGAACTACAGACACAAAGTTCCCCCAGTCACCAGCTAGCAACTACCCCCAGTCCAGCCAGTCTCCGCGTCTGGTTGTTATGCAGCAACCTGTCCACCCAACGTCCCCGCCCACCATCTCAGTCAATGATGTCACGTCTGGTCCCACCATCTCAGAATCTCACAAGTACCACCAGACTCACACAAAACACAAATCAGCTGAGAATCTTCCAGAACAAAGCCAGGAGAGTGGAGCCAGAGTCTCACAGCCTAGGGAAGCCCCTCACTCTGAGCTTGTGAACATCCCACCAAGTCATAGTGCCGGCCAGCAGAGTCAGGTGCCTGGGGAATCTCAGGACACCCAACCCACCCCTCCTGTGGTTAAGGTCAAACAGCCGCGCGGCAGGAAACCAAAGGTGTTAAAACCTGGGCCTGGTGAACCTGTACAAAAAGTGGGGCCGGCTAAGGTGGACAGGAAGCCAAGGAAAAAGGCCAGCGCCGGGGACAAGCAGCAGGAGGCGCCGTCCAAGAAAGGTAAACAAAGCACCAGGCTAGCTGGCAGGGGAAGGGGGAAAAAGGTAGGCCACGGTAGGACAGAGTCCAGCATGGAAACAGACACTACTGCAGATTCTGACCCAGATAACCTGCTTCAGATTGTGGAGGAACAGGCTGGGCACATGATGGAGACTGTCTGAGACACATGGTGGAGTCTGTCTGAGACATATGATGGAGACAGTCTAAGGTGCTGGTCACTAGACTGTCTAGAAGTGGGAGACCCAATGGCCAGTTGATAAAAACCCACCTGTCTGTTGTGTTCCTGAATCTCTGATCATTTATCTTCACCTGGGTTAAACAAATGGGCATTAATTTTTTTTATTTTTTTTTTGAGGAAAACTGATAGAAGTTTCTGGCTGTAAGTCCACATTTGTGGAATATCCACATTTTGTGGAATATCATCCAGATTTTGTCTGGTAAAAGTAGCCAGAAATAGGATGCTGGCTTGGAAATCTAAATCTAAGATTGTGAAAAGTGGTTGTGTAAAATGGCACAGATAGAGAAATTGTCTGGCTTAACAAACCATGAGGTCACTCAGTGCCACCAACCTTTTGCTAGACCTAAACTCTGTTCATGTTGCCTGGTTACCATTTGTTGTTTACCGTTGTGATTCTTGCATTTAAAAACTACACACAAATTCAAAGAGGAACAAACCAAAAACTGATTCTGATCTCTTTTGGTTGTTTGCACATGCCAGTCTAGAGGCCATATCCCTTAACCCTGCACCACTGTATACCCTTATAATAGTCCAAATAAGTAAAACTATCTGAACCTAACCAAATTATCAATGTATACTTTTCATATGAAGTTTTATACGGTAATCTTAACATTTACACATCTTTTTTTCTATTATTTTACACTGAATTATTTTCATCGTAGGATTTAAATTTGGCCACTTTCTACCCACATTAGCCTGTCCAGTTATGAATTGTGATATACGTAAACCTTGGTCTCTGTCAAACTTTGTTTCCAGCGGTGTATTCATCTAGTCTAGGTTGGCTAGCTGTGTTCAATCTTTTCTTCTTAGAGTAGTCATTCTACGTCACCCATCTATACCAATGCTTCAGCACACATCAGTTGTCTTTTAATTTATTTATTATTCACAAATCAAGTTATGAAACTTCAATATTCACCTGTTGTTGCTTTTTGAAAAATATGATGCTGGCAATGTCCTCTACAACTTAATTATATATAGTTTAGTGTAAATAATTTGTATGTTAACGAGTAGTTCTGTTGTGACTGTTGCCTCATTGACTTGTATTGTAAGTGAAGATGGGTCAGCTACTACTTGAATCTGTTCAACTTTTTATTCTAAGGCAAGTTTTTGTGCAAAAGTTGGTGTTATCATTTTATGATATGTGATATTTTAAATAAGGGAGTGAACTTAGATTTGTTCAAGCTATAGTCATGGGAGACAACTACAGCTGACAATGATATTCTGTAACAGCTTGGTTGTTGATTTCATTGTGTGTATTTATTCTCTTTTTTTTTTAAATATTAAACAGAAAAAGGGAGGTTATTTCTGTATGTATGAGTTAAATATCAATAAATATTTTCTGAAATAAAATATTTTCAATTGTTTCTTATTCATCAGCTTTCCATTTGGTTTCTTCCCCTGCCCACACAATCTCAATGCAGCAGCAAACTTTATTAAATCTGTTACAATCAAATATCCCAAATGTATACTCAAGTATGCAGCAAAGTTAGTGGGAGCTGTTTTATTACAGTGCTACACCAGGACAAGTGACAGAAACAAAATATGTTTAAAATTGTAAAAATGGGTGCCATAGTACAATAACCCTGGATGGATTTTTATACTAGAAAAAAAAACTAGGTTAATATATTTTCATAACAGACTTATTTTATAAAGAGATAGTGAGCATTGCTTTGGGAAGATGGTGCTCTCATTAAAATGTTGACGACTTAATTATTCTGGCTCTGCTATGAATGTACTTTTGTATGGGTAAAGAGTACTTTATATGATAATCCGGGTAAATAGTACTTTATGTGATAATCCATCCCTTAACCAGGCCAGAAATGTGGTACGTTTGTGTGAATAATACAGAAACTGTTTTTAAATTTAAGGTACCATCCTTAACCAAATGGAATGGAGAAGTCAAATGGTAGAGCATATGACTGCCTACCTGAAAGCCTCGAGTTCAATTCTGGGTTCAAGTATGTAGAAAGTCCCTGATTTCCACCCAGCTCTGATGGGTTCTTAGCTGATGTTAGGGAAAGTAAAGGCGGCTGGGTGTAGTGTAGTGTAGTGCTGACCACACTATCCCTTTATATGCCAAGGTCACATAAACACTTGCCCCATGGACCGTCATATATATATATATATAGGCCTATATATATATATATATACATATATATATATATATATATATATATATATACACGTAAAATGAAATAATTTATGTTATTCACTATTTTGAAACTAAAGCTATGCTAAAATACAATTTTTAGTATTAGTTTTTTAAAATGCAAAAAATGTGACACAGTGCTTGGACGTCTATTAGCGCAGACTGATGGGGGGGGGGGAGAGAAACCCATTAAAATGATGTTTGATTCGAAGCTATTCTCTCCTCCTCTACTGGTGCAGCTCATCTTCATCAAGTGCACGTTAAAAGAACCATCAGTAAAAACTGCCCCCCTCAACGGCCTATCAACCAAATTACAACAGGCTTATACACCAACGTACATATTATATAGATCGGGCCTATTTAAAATGTTCAACTATATTATGCTAAGTAATAAATAGTCAAACACTTTTAAGTTTAAAAATAATAATTCAATTAACAAAATCATACCCATTCTTGTGTGTCGAACTGTTTATTTTAAAAATATTGTTCTAATACAAATTCATTACACTGTAAAATGTAGGATCTATGGCCTATCGACCCATTCATATATAGTATAGTATATAGTCTACTGGCGGAGTAATAGGCCTAATTATAATAACTATTTAGTGAACTAAAACAAAAATGTAAAATTATTAAAATACATTTAAAATGGCTTCAAAAATATTTCTTTTAAAAGTATAATAAAATGTAATTTTTATCTTTATTATTTAAATATTTTGTGTGTTTGCCGCGCTTCTTAAAGCTAAGCTGTTACTGAAACATAAGATCCAGTTATTGCAGTTTTAGGCCAATACGTTACAATGTATGAATTCTGTTAGCCTTAACTATCATTCTTTGGTCATTACATTATTTGACCTAATTTTTTTTACCTGCGTGGCGTTAAAATAGGTGTGTAAGAATTTCAAAATCAACATCAATTGTGTGGCTAGCACATTCAAAAAGGGTTAGCTTACCATTAATTATTATTACATTAAATATATCCATTTATACTTAAACCGTATTATACGTATTCCTTTGTTATTTGTGCTATTATAAAATACATGCACAATGAGCACTGCCAAATGAGCTGCTTTCATTTTAATGAGAGATAATTTTAAAAAATCATTAAAATTTATTTTTAGCAGTCACCCATCTACGATTTACGGCGTAACGTTTTTAAAACGATTTAACCCCCCCCTATCATCCTAAAAAAACAATTTTAATGACGTTAACATCAGCCTACAACACCCCCCCCCCGCCCTCAATGCAATTTTTTTTTTAAATCGACTTATATATTTAAAACTACTCAAGACACCCTGAATTGTCACTTAAGCGATCCCCGTGTCTTTATCGGACCTAGTTAGAAAATACAAGGTTGATACATACTTGTATTTTCTAATTAGGTTTCGGCTGACATTTGTGATGCACACTTTCTTATACCCCCCCCCCCCTTTTTTTTCCCCCTCTCTTTACTTGTCAACAAGTCTTTCTGTGTGACATCATGTATCAATGGCTCATTGTGTGCCCCCACCCTCAGAGAGATGCCTAACATATACAATTACAATGTGAAGCTATAAAATATTAAATTGAAAGTGGTCTATCACTAGATCTAGATTCTAGATCTATATCGTAAAAAACATTCGTTTACCCTAAACCTAAAAAAAAATGTTATACCATAGAGACTACAGCGAAGTAGTAATACTAATATGGAGTGGAATTGGAAACTATATAATTTGTTTATATTAATTAATGGAATGGCAATCAGATTATTTTTAACATAAAGGTTTATTTAATAAATACAATAATTTTTAAAAATGCAGACATTTAATTTCTTTAACAATACACACAATTTTATTTAGAATAGCTGGTAAATTCAAAATCACTAAATTTTTACAAAAGTAAATAATAAAATATTTACATTAGTTAGTAAAGAAATTACATTTACTAAAACTATGAGAAGGGATAGTATTAAATAATCAAACGTCAATCTCTACAAAAATCCTTTAAGTTAATTGTATACAATGAATTAAAGTATGCTATTGTTATGTTGTTTTGTTATATTTGGGATTTGGTCAATGTTTTACAACCAGCAAAGCCAAGGATTTTATCGATTAACTAGACAGCTTTTGTCAACACAAAAAAATATTAACTATTTTGTAACTTCAAAGTCATTATGTTAATTCAACTTATTGTTATACGATTAAATCAATAACAAACTATTTATTGAGAATCAGGCATGGAAGCTGGTAAGCGGTTTTACAGCGGTTATGTGATTGAGACCTCTGAAACGATCGCCTCTATGATCGCTCTCCCCATATCAGCCAGGCAACGCCATCGCATCCCGCTTTGGTTTCAATCCTTAATTGTTCAATATAATTATAAAGATTAGTTTTTCATTACCTCATATTTATTCGCTTACCATTAACAACAATAAATATTTAAACACACAGCAACACTGTATACTAGACAGCAGTCAATTATACTTCACACTGACAAGAAAACTGGAATTATTTTTCTGGCACTGCACCAGGATATTAACCAGTTTCTTAAATATTTTGGATTTGGATGTATTTGTAAAATCTACATCTAGATCTATAGTATTCTATAGCCTATCTCAAATTAATATTATTAAGAAATCAATAACTTGTCAAATGTGTTATGTATAGGAATATGCCTGCCAATAGCCTATTTAAATTTAACTAGAAATTTTAAAAAATTAGGCCTAATTTACTAATTTACAATTCCAAAGAAAAAAAAAAATGAGAGTCATTAAGACATATTGTATTGTATGTCTATTCTAGTTTCAATCAAGTAGAAGTATTTCACAGTAACAGTGTCTGTGTGACCAGCTTAACCTTAACGCTAACACTAAACATAGAATAAAGGACGTAGGGCCTAATTATAATTGTATGTAGGGCCTAGATCTAGGCCTTATTCTGAGAGTGAGCTAAAGTCTAAATGTTGGTTAGCGTTTCTAGTATTGACTAAATTGCTAAAAGTAGAGTAACTGTAACTTCCTCAATCATGCAGCAATCTAGAACACTTTCACTTTGAATAGCTGTAGCGCTGTTGTTCAAAATTTTTATGTGGAACCTAAGCATTGACATCGACAGTCAGTATATCCATCCATAAGTGCATAAGACCTGTCCTAAGTAGTGCCTTTTTTAGGCAAAGTTAGGTTTATTGTATAATAAACAAACTGAAATTGTTTATGATATGCCTGAGACTTTACTGTTTCCTTTACCAGAAAAAATGTTTCACATTTACATATTCTCTAACATCTATAGACTCAGAGTTATCCTATATAAACTTTTTTACTGAGAAAGTTTTCTCCTTTTTATTTTTTTTATTCCTATAAATTATATCAAACAAGACCTTTAGAAAAAATTTCCACATAGACACAAAACAAATACAAAATGTTAAGAACATGAGATTATTTAGTTGATTGAGCTACAAAAATAAGTAAAAATATTATCTGTACAAGGCAAGAAGGACTGTTAGAGGTGAGGGAAAAATGTTTGTGGTAATCAATATTTTTAATAACAATAATGTGAATAAATAAAAAATGAATACATATCTTTATTCTCCTTTGGCTAAAGAGCATAAGTTTTCCTTTTCGCTCTCTATCAAATAATAATAAAACCAGGTACCGCAAAGCGGAAATTAGTGTCGTCAGTGTTGTTTAAGGTTGGTACAGTTACTGTAGTGATTATGATAAAGCTGTTTATTAAAATATATTTTAATATTTTTAAGCATCAAATAATTTTTTAGAATGTTTAATTCGATATAAAGAAGATAAAAAAAGATATCAAATACTAGTCATAGGCAATTCAAAGTGAACATATAGGGCCTCCTAAACAAAACTAAACCACCATTTGATCTACTAGCCCAATTAAAAAATATTTTTTCTTTAAATTATATAAAGACATAAATATATTTACTGAACTGATTATTCAATTAGGTTCTACCTTTATACCAATTGGGCAACATGGAACTAAAACATAAGATCACCTTAACCGTTTAACCGATGCTAAAAAAACAACTGGTGAGTCCAATACTTTACAACAGTATCAAAGTAAAAAAATTTTAGGTCAAATTTATTTAACATTTTAAACATGCTTGCTGATGTCTGCTTGATGAAACATTCAAACATTAATTTTTAATTTCATTGCTTCTATTGCTTCATTTTCATTACACTACCTTGGCTTGGCTGAAAAAATAAGAGCCATTCAATCAAAGACTATATCTACTAACCAACAAGTGTCAGATTTGCATTGAAAAATCTACCACTTATTAATTTGACAAAAACATAAATTTTCTTAGGGAAATAAAGCAGAAAACAAATGATTTGATAATATTATCTTTTGAGAATGTAATAACATTGTAACAGGGCTTACAATTGTGATGTAATCACTCTGATTGTGTTTAAATACTTTGGTATATGTGGAGGTAGTTGCACTTGTTTCATTCAACATTTATTACTTGAATAGTATTATTCAAAGTTGTATATGCAGTGGGTTTTTTCTCAATTTATTAATTAAAAAAACAACAAATAATAAGCTCATTAACAGATAATGTTCAATATAACAGGTGTAGTAGAGTTTATCTGTTGCCTGGGATTGCAGCATTACATATAAATAGTGTTGCTGGCCACTGATTAGCAATCATCAGGTACTCGTTGACTCAGGAACATCTAATGCCATGCAGCCAATCATACCACTTTGTTGGGCTGCATTTTTCTTACAAAGTTTCATTGTCTTGTGTTAAAATATCCTTTACACTTGTTTATTGAAATCTTAACTGAGTACTTTCAAGTGATACAGTTTTATCATACTGAATTGTATTCAATAGTCTTTCATTAAAAGCAAACTCATCACAGAGCTGCTTTTTATCATATTTTGTTCTCATAAGATTTAGTTTTTATTTTAATAGTCATTACATTAGGTGTACAAATATTTTTGTTGATTCCTTAAATTTACTAATGTTAATATGTTTTTTTTTCTCTTTATTTTCAGGTATTAATCATCATTTTACCTTGTTTGGATTGCTTAGTAATTAGCAATTATGCTAGTGATATTGAAAAAACAACTTGATCCATCTTTCCTAAAAGCTATTCCTGGACGGCACTTCAGTTCTGTGACATTGTTTATCATGTGATTAGTGAACTTGTCAGCACTTTCACATACAAGGGAATTTGTTTTTAAAATAATAATTCTTCAGACTACAGTTTCTGCAGTTTTATTTGGATTTTAAAACTTGGCTTTGTTATTCTCATAAATCCTAAAAATCCTGCCCAAAATGGCAGCGCTGGAGTGCAATAATGGGCAGGATGGGTTTTCACCAACAGAAAATGGGGATGCTTTACCGGAGGAGAAATCTCTTAGTATTGACTACTCTGAAGATTTGTGGCTGGCGAACAGTGAAGACTCCTCAGGGCCGTATGCCCAGCAGCCCAACAAAGTGGTCACACAAGGCAGTGCTCAGCCTGGCCAGGACAGCTACCCCAACACTACCTCAGCACATCAGCCCCAGGGTGAAGCCCATCCTAATATCAACAATTCTAATTACCCCGAGGCTCACGCCATCAATCCCCACTCCCAGACGTGGAATGAGGACATGATTAAAGCTGATGAGAGCGTGGAAGAGACGACTCTACAGCCTGCAACTACATATATAAACGGGTCCACGGAGCACAATGGCATGGACTTCAGCAGTAGTGGGGATGAAAAGGACTTCGCACAATTGGTGCCGGCCGGTAGTTATGTGGACGGTGGGACGGCTGGGGGTTACGCTGATGGCGGGGCGGCTGTGGAGAACCAGGATAAAACATTTACCTCTTTGATGCCGGCCGCAGCCATGGGGGTTAACGGTGAAATCCAGCAGGGTTTCACAACCATGCTGAACTCAAACCAGGAGGGGATTGTTTATTACGGAACAGCTGAGCACATAGCCTCGGAAGAGCCAAGCTCGTTGGCCAATCAGGGAACCAATTCTGTTACGTACGAGCAATCAGCCCAAATGTCTTCAGCAAATGGAGAGGAGGGAGGGGATGTGGAGGATGCGGGAGGGAACATGTACGTCTCAATGAACAATCTCAACACAGAGAACCAGGCAGGCTCTAGTAATTTTGCAGTTCTCTCCCCTGCCATGATGAACATGACAAACGTGAGCAGTGAGGATCAGACGTACACCACCTGTGTCAGTGGTGCTGCCTACCACAACATCTCAACACTCCCGTTTGTTCAGAATGGTGCCTACTCCTCGCAGTCTTCGTTCTCCCCTTACCACCAGACGACCAGCACCCTGGTGAGCGGTGAGGACACCCAGCAGCAGCATGTCCTGCAGCAGTCTGACTACAGCTCTGACCAGGCCAGCTTCGGCTCTGAGACCAATGTCCTGACAGCGTCCCTTCAGCAAAGTGCCATAGACTACCAGGACGACGGCCAGGACGAGGACGGGGATGACCAGGATATGGAGGAGGAGTCTATGGAATACTCCGAGTTCTGCTGCCCAGTGTGCAGCGAGGGTTTCCCAGACCAGGCCACGCTGGATGACCACGTCAACAACCACCCCCCACTGAAGAGCTTTGTCTGTGAGACGTGTGGCAAAGGGTTCGCCACCAGGAGGTACCTCAAGTACCACCGCAAGAACCACTGTAAAAGGGCAGGCTCATATGAAGGAAGAAATGATCTGGATGAGAATGATCCGAACGGAGAGGTGAAGAGGTTCTCCTGTAACGTTTGTAGTCGACCATTTAGAGTTTTAAAATGTATGAAAGTTCATAAAAAGAAAAAGCACGGTATCATGAAGGAGTTTACTTGCCAGAACTGTGCTGTGACCTTTGGCACCTCACAAGAGCTCATTGATCATTCGTGTGAACCCAAAAGTGCTCCCAGCACTCCTCAAATTATTCAGTACACGCCCCCTCCGCTTGCACTCCCGGCTGTGAAAAAGAAACGGAAGCTAAAGCAAGCCAAACCAGCATGCGATATCTGCGGGAAGACTTTTTCTGATCGTATCAGTGTAGATATTCACCGGGTGAAACACATAGAGGAGGAGTTGTACCCGTGTGACATGTGTGGGGAGGAGGACGGGGTGGACCCCAACCACCTGGCTGTCCACTTCCGCATCCGGTTCTTCACAGATGACAACCAGCACATCCTGGAAGATCAAAAGGCTGCAGTGGCATCCCAGGACACAACCAGATCTGATGACGGCAGTAGCGTCTCCGCCACTCCGGTTCACAACCCAGGCACCCCTCTGCCTGGGTCCTCAACCCCACAGTCTGCCCCAGCCACACCCATTTATATTCCCGCCACCCCCATCCATGCTCCAGGCACCCCCGCTAGCTCACAAGACATTCTGGAACACGCATCTGGCCAGGTGGACCAGTCCGGCTACATCCACAAGTTCACAGAGTACACGGACGCACACGGTCAAACTGTTCATGTTTCCAACTACATAGTCAACCAGAACGACACCCTGCTTGTGTCAGATCACACCATGCTCACAGATCAACACTTAGAACAACAGCAGCTTGGGGCCTCGCAGCATATTTACAATGCAAACTTTGAAGAGGGAGAAGTCATTCACGACGCCAGTGGCTCTGTCATGGCTGTCACCCCGAAGAAGAAAAAATGGAAGCGGTCCAAAATTCACATGTGTGACATTTGTAACAAAGCGTTTGGCGACACTGCCAAGCTGGAGCTCCACTACAAGAGCAACCACCTCCACGACCGGCCGTACCAGTGCGACGTCTGTGAGAAGTCCTTCTTCACCAAGTGGAAGCTTCAGCGCCACATGCTCAGCCACCTGGAGCAGAAGCCCCACTCGTGCCCCATGTGCTCCAAGTCTTTTGTTGAGCGGGGCAAGCTGGAGGCCCACTACCGCACCCACCTGGGCACTAAGCCCTACAAGTGTGACCAGTGCCCTAAAGCATTTACTGTCAAATCTCAGCTGTCCATTCACCAGCGCCGCATCCACAGCACTGACCAACCTTTTGGTTGTTTGGTGTGTGGGAAGGCTTTTCTCTGGAAAAGTGGGCTTGATAAACATATGAGAAAGCACACGCGGGAGAAGCCTTTTATATGTGACACGTGTGGCATGAAGTACTCCAACAAAGCGAACCTTATAGTCCACATGTCCAAGGCCCACAACCAGGCGTATGTAGACAGCAAAGGACAGTAGGTGGAGCCACTTGTTTTCTGGTGTATCAAATGGGCAGCACAAGCCTGGGAGAGAGTCCGCAGCTGTCACAGTGCCTGCCTGCTGTGACATGTGATATTGGCTTTATTTATTTCAGTCTGACGCAACTCACGGAGCTGATCACCACAGAGTTGTAGCTGATGTTGCTGTAGCTTGATAAAAAGGTGCAGGACTGGAAGCTGTTCGTGTGCAACAGTACATTGATATACCTGCAGGTTTTATCATTAAGGAAAGACATTTTAAAATCATTGTATTTTGCATAACTAAATATAGCATTAATTTAGCTGTTAATTGAAAACCTTACCATTTATTTTCCACACAAAAGATGTTCCCTTTTTTCTTCAAGATTCTATAATGGAAATCAGCTTTGTTGAAACAACAGTGCTGAAGTAAAAATGGAATCAAAATAAATTACTGACCATGTACATTGCTGTGGGGTGAAGAGCGCACAGCTTGTTCTAAATCCTCTTTGCCTCTGGTAGAATTCTTATTGATTCTTTCAGAATTTTTTTTTTCATTGCTAGTGTCGGTTTCCTGCCTGAGTGTGGGTCAGTCCCCTGCCTGTGTGGGTCACACCTGCCTGTGTGTGGGTCAGTCCCCTGCCTGTGTGTGGGTCAGTCTCCTGCCTGTGTGTGGGTCAGTCTCCTGCCTGTGTGTGGGTCAGTCCCCTGCCTGTGTGTGGGTCAGTCACCTGCCTGTGTGTGTGTGGGTCAGTCTCCTGCCTGTGTGTGGGTCAGTCCCCTGCCTGTGTGTGGGTCAGTCCCCTGCCTGTGTGGGTCACACCTGCCTGTGTGTGGGTCACACCTGCCTGTGTGTGGGTCACACCTGCCTGTGTGTGGGTCACACCTGCCTGTGTGTGGGTCACACCTGCCTGTGTGTGGGTCACACCTGCCTGTGTGTGGGTCACACCCCTGTCTGTGTGTTGGTCAGCCTGTTGAGAACTGATGTGATTATCAGATGCTGATGATACTAAAATGTAGGAGTTGCATTTTTTTTAAACACTGCCAAAACTGATTGTTTCTAACTGTAGCCATCTTGAGTTGATTGAAGGGTCTGTATGTCACTCATCTCCTCACACTGTCCCTAGAGGCCTGAAGTTTGTTGGAAAAATACAAGCAACTATTGATGTTGTCATGGATGTTTGTCCTCTGGTGTGTAACAAAGGTACTGTGATGGTGCTAGTGAAGGTCCTCAGCTGTGGCATTATCACTTCCTGGCTTGGTTATACAAGCATCTTAGGTCTGACCTTAAGAACAGTCTCCTTAGGTCTGATCTTAAGAACAATCTCCTTAGGTCTGACCTTCAGAACAATCTCCCCTCCCTTTGCTCTGCTGAAACTCCCCTCAGTGCACCCCAAACATGCTGGGGGTGTTTTGATATTTTAGTTCTGGTTCCCGCTAATTGAGCTGCTAACTAAATAGTTGTCCACTCTTTTAGCAAAGATCCAATCAAGTGGACAGTTGCCATGTGATGTGTTTTTACTGCCAGAGAAGGATGTCACATGTTTACTGAGCTTCTCACTCTTGTACATAAACATACAATCCGACTTGATCTACGTACACTTGTATATGTTTGTGTAGACCTTCTGATAGCATGAAAGTCCATTTATTCTTGATAACAGGAAATGTAAATGTAATCAAATCTAATGGAGCTGTGTGGCTCCTGTTTTTTGTGTGATGGTCAAAACTACCGGTATTTAACTAACATGCTAGGACTGTAAATATTGTAATTTAAAGTTTGTCCTTCCTGATGTATTCTCTACACCTGTCTTCTGGTGTTGCAAGTCATATTTGTCAAGTATTTTTTGATCAAAGAACAAATTATTTTCCTCATCTTTTTGTTTGACATCCGTATGTGTGTTACCACTGTATGTGTGTTACCAAAATCTAACATCAGACCGCAAAGCGTGATCAATCTCCCTCCCTCGTGTGCTTTAAACCCTGACCCTCTAAAGATGTATCATTGAAGGCATATTTTCTCACTCTGGTACAGCAGCACTATACCATTTGTTCGGTTAAAACCTAATTTATCTACAACTCTTTAAGCTGATATCTTAGTTTATTAACTCTTCTTAGTCATGTTGAAAGAAACAATTCATCAAGATTTTTCAATTTGCAGACTTCCTCGCTAAATCATGGAAGTTCCCTGTTTTAGTCAGGACTTTAAAAGCTCTAAACTAAAGAGGTGCACAACAGCAGTTGAATAAACTTGAAGAATTAAAAAGCTATCAGAACAGGTGTAGACACATTGGGCTTTTATCTCACCAGCAGAACAACTGCTGACAAAAAATTTACTTAAAAAGGGCAACAAAAGTTGAGCTAAAAATAAGCATTTGAAGCCCATGTTAGCAATACTGAAATAAAACATCTGTGTTGAGGGGGGGGGGTGTAAAATTCATTGTCACAAGCAAGTAGTATAAATTGCAACATGTGTTAAATTGTAGTTAGATTGTCATCTGGTGAATGGGGGAGGGAGGGGTGAAACTTGTTTGAGATATCTTTATAATGTGTTGATAGCCAACAGATGGGGATGGCAAAGTGTGTGTTATGTTGTAAATATCTGAATGTCTTGGTGCTATATCTGGAGATTTCATCTTTAGGGGCCTGGGGATGTGTGACCTTGACCATAACTTCATCATCTGGTCATTGTGTAACTGACCAGACCTGTGACAAAACTAGATTATGTAACAGACAGAACTAGACCATCTCATTGTTCTATGATTAAACTGTAAATTGAACTGTATTACTATTAGTCATTACTTTATTGTTCATAACCTTTGTTCGATTTTAATTGATGTCATCGTTCAAATGTGCAATATGATCTCTTATTTTTTAGTGCTTTTAAAAATATTGTTTATGGAATTATAATGTGAATTTATATTATTATAATATATAAATTATATATACATATATATACAGTATAAATGTAATTTATGATTAGTTCATGTTGTATGCCCACATTAATATTTGTATTGTATATAAACCTGTCCTTACTATAGTACCCTTCCGTTTTGTCTCATTGTTTTTATTAGGCTGAAAAGGGTGGTAAGTCTATGCCTCAAAAAGCAAAAACAGGAATTAACCATGGGTAGAAATTCTTTCAAGTCATCGAAAAAAATCATGATTCAAAACTTACACAACTTTTTAGGGTTTTATTTTTTTTTAAATCATTAATTCTCCCTTTTAGGTATTCATTTTCTTGACTATTTATCTGTGAAAAAATCTTGTCAGTTCTTGTTTTGTAATTATAAAATGTGAACTTTTCTTCAACAAACACAACAGAAGAAAAGATATTTTTTATTTCTGTCTTAATTTCATGAATGTAAAAAAAAAATGAGATAAAACAAGCTCCTGCTATTTAATTATTTTGATTTTAAAATGTGATTTTTAAAAATGGAATACACCTGCGTATATAATGATTATGTAAATATATATTTTTAATGTTGAAAAAAAAGGTTGAGCAAGAATTAAAGCTTAAAAAAAAATTAATCATTGCTTGCCAAAATAGTAAAGTTGACCCTTAAATCTTTTGTCAAAAGGACATCTATTCAATGAAATTTTATTGTTCCCCTTAATATTTTAAAAAAAAAACCTCTGAGAATTTAGCAGTAGCAATGGATATAAAAACCTACTAACACTGAAACCCAATGTAAAATGTGATGTACAATAGCCATTGATGTGTTGGCCAGTTTGTGTCCAGCCGACAAAGCTGCTGTAGCCACAGTTGTTGACTAACTAGAACTGATATCATCTTTTGTATCTACCTTATGTACCCTGTACTTCGGCTGGTGTAGCAGCCCTTGTTATGATCACAGTTTCCATTGAAAACTCTGTACAATACTAAACATGTCAAAAATCTTTTCATGCATTTTCTTCTGAACATTTTTAAATTCTTATTATATAGTCCTGTGGATAAAAAAAATATTGCTGTGTGTAAATTTATTTTTCTCATTTGTTTTTTCATGTTGTTATTTTTTTTTTCAATCTTCTGAACGTCCTCATATTTTTTGCTACAATTTCTTACCAACCATCATTTCTAACAAATGTAGCATACTACAACCACCAGGCATACTAAAGACAATACTTAGGTGTATATCCATTTAGACAATGATAAACTGCTAAATTATATTGTGTTTAGCCCAAACCACCAAACAAAAAAGTCCTGTTTATTTCTTATTGATCATTTCTACTGTCAAACTTTTGATACCTGATCTTCTACACAACAAAATTTGACATAGTGAAACCAGTGAGGGGTTAAGACCTGGTTCTTTTATTATGTAGCTTGCTACAGTCTCATTTCTTTCTCATTTCTACTTAGATAGTCATGGATACGAATAAAAACAAATATTATATAAAAAAATAAACTTGATGTTTTGAGTCTTGAATTGCTGTGTTCCATGTTTTTGCTGGTATGGATGTTGAGAAATAAGAATGTAGTTTGTCCAGATAAGCCATGCCACTACATGCTAATGCAAAAAGTGCACTTGTAATCTGTTTCCGATGTCTAGACATTGCAATATTTAAAAGCATGCCTTAAAATACTTCTTATCCGCCTCTGGGGTTGGGGTTAAAGGTAAACATACAGACCTTTTCATGCTAATTATTAATGGCATGTCCCGATTTAACCCTAATCTAAATGTGGAAGTTTCATTAGTCTTTTTTATCTTTTTTTTTTGTGTGGTAGGTAATTTCTGGAGTAGAACCTGTATATATATTGTCCTGGGTGTTCACTCTTTAAAAATATGTATACAGCTAACTCTAAAATAAAATTAAGGGTAGGAAACGTACACTTTCATAACATCAAAAAAATAAACAGGTTTGGTTCAGCTGGGGGTCGAACCCAGGACCTTTCGCGTGTGAGGCGAACGTGATAACCACTACACTACTGAACCGGTTGGACTAAAGGGCTAAAATAAGTATAAAATACAAAATAATTTTTAACGTCAAACATTTTTTTAAATACATTATTTTTATAACAATTAAAGTACATTTAGATCTAGATCTATATTGTTTATTTAAATTCTTGATCTAGATTTAAGAAACAAAATCTAAGTTGCCTAGAATAGATTAGATCTAGATCTAGAGACTAAATCTGGAAAAAAGAAAACTCTCTCCTAGTGGTCCAGTCTTTTTTTAGTTAGATTAAGTGGTTCTTACATTATGTTCAATCGAACCCCGGGGATTCAGTGAGGCAATGTCAGAGGTTCAGGGGAGTTCGAAACACACAACCAACACATATGATTTACGATCGGATTTCATCACTGTGGACGATAGATCTATTAAGAAGGGTTCGGTGAATGCGCATGTGAAACTAGTGGGGTTCGGCACCTACTAAAATAAAAAGTTAAGAACCACTGTTTTAAATTCTAGGCTAGGCTACTTTCGCTTTTGGTCTAGATGTACTTTTCTGCTGCAGACAATCACAATGACAATGATTCACAGAGGTTGTCCGGAAAGTTAAGCTTGACCGGAGTCAAATAAAATTCCTCATTTAGAATCTACTATCTAAACATTTTGATTTACTAACCTAGATAATTAATAAAAGCAATAACTAGATTCTAGACTTAACGTTAAAAAAATAATTAGGCCTAAGTGTAACAATGACAAGTAAGTGAGAACACTTTGAAACTACTTTGAATAACTTAAATAAAATCTAGGCCTATGTATGTTAATTAATAATTATGGTTATATTATCTAACTAATATTAGTACTATCTATTGGTATTATTAGTATAGTATATTAAGTATTAGTACTACTAATTAATTAGAGTTTACTAGATCTATTCTATAGTGTCAAAAGTAAGTGTAACTGTAAGTGTAAAGTGTAAGTTATAGTCTGTATGTTAATGATTGCTCAGTACAGTACTAATACATTAATAATGATTCATACAATATATTTATGATTATGAAACAATTCTGCCCACCCGAGGCATTCTTTGCTTCCCGTCCCATGTTCACTAAGCTCTTGCTGTAGTCACTAGTGACACACTAGACACAATAGACTCTGGATCTAGATCTAGGCCTGGTCTAAATAAAAGTACTTTTTAAATATTTTTACTTTGTTTTGCCAGGATTCAAGTTAGCTCTGATTCAAATGGCAGTTGGAATTTCCAAGCCGGAGAACATTGCTAAAGCCTGCAAGTTTATTCAAGAAGCTTCTAGTGCCGGTGCTAAAGTCGTCACATTGCCAGTAAGTGAAGAGAATGTACTCACTCTCTGTGGACCTACATCCAAACAGGCGCATTTCATAAGTCACCCCCCACCCTTTTCCCTAATTAAACAGTTAGCCTTTGAATTTTCTTTGATAATTTTAATTGTTCTTTCATGTTCTTCTCTGATCGTTTAGGTATTAACCACCTTTAATGAATCTGTTTCAGGAATGTTTCAATTCTCCGTATGGCACAAAATATTTCCGAGACTATGCGGAGCCAGTCCCAGGAGGACCATCCAGCGCGGCCCTGGCTAAGGCAGCCAGAGACAACGCTGTTTACATTGTGGGAGGTCAGGGTTCACTTGTAGTCTAGCAGAATCTGACTTTACTAACTTACTTCTGAGTAAGATGTTATCTTAGCCTAAATCAGCCTTTGATTACTTTTGATACCCTACAGGTTCTATACCTGAGAAAGATGGAGAAAAACTTTACAACACATGTGCTGTCTTTAATCCTAAAGGTGAAATGGTGATAAAACATAGAAAAGTAGGTGCTAGTTCCTATATGGTGTCGTGTTTGTATGAGCTAGTCCCTATATGGTGTTGTGTTTGTCTGTGGTAGTCCCTATATGGTGTTGTATTTGTATGTGGTAGTCATTGGAAGAAGTCCATTTGTTTGATATTGATGTTTCTATTCAGGTCCATTTGTTTGATATTGACGTCCCGGGGAAAATTCGTTTTCAAGAGTCTGAGGTTCTCTCCCCTGGTGATCACCTGAGCATGTTTCAAACACGTAAGCCTCGTACAAACATGAATGGCTCATACAGTTGTAAACTTTGTGGGGTTTTTCTTCTTTATTTGTATTCAAACATAAAACTTACGTATTATAAGATGACTTAATTCTTTTATAAATGTTGACTTATTTTTTTAATCGATATCAAATCAAGTTATAAAGTTATTTTTTAGTAATTATTTCAGAGTAATCTGCCCTTTGATTGTTTACATGAGCTGACTTTACCATCTGAATAAAAAAAAACTGAATTAATTTCAGCCTATTGTACTATTGGTGTTGGCATTTGTTATGACATCAGGTTTGCTGAGATGGCTCAAGTCTATGCCAGCAAAGGTCAGTGACATCTATTCTGCTGCTTCTTGCAGCTTTCTCATTGGATGTTTTATCAATGTTGTAACTATAAAGACAATGAATTAGAATGTTTTTTGCCTCTCTGATTTTACTATTTTAATGATGGTCACTGCCTTGTCTCACCTTCTTATGACATTGCCTAACTTGTCTCACCTTTTCAATATTATCCCTGCCTTGTCTCACCTATTACAGGATGTTCCCTGCCATGTCTCACCTATCACAGGATGTCCCCTGCCTTGTCTCACCTATTCATTGTTCCCTGCCTTGTCTCACCTATCACAGGATGTTCCCTGCCATGTCTCACCTATCACAGGATGTTCCCTGCCATGTCTCACCTATCACAGGATGTTCCCTGCCATGTCTCACCTATCACAGGATGTTCCCTGCCATGTCTCACCTATCACAGGATGTTCCCTGCCTTGGCTCACCTATAACAGGATGTTCCCTGCCTTGTCTCACCTATCACAGAATGTTCCCTGCCTTGTCTCACCTATCACATAATGTTCCCTGCCTTGTCTCACCTATCACATAATGTTCCCTGCCTTGTCTCACCTATCACAGGATGTTCCCTGTCTCACCTATCACAGGATGTTCCCTGCCTTGTCTCACCTCACAGGATGTTCCCTGCCTTGTCTCACCTATCACAGGATGTTCCCTGCCTTGTCTCACCTATCACAGGATGTTCCCTGTCTCACCTATCACAGAATGTTCCCTGCCTTGTCTCACCTATCACATAATGTTCCCTGCCTTGTCTCACCTATCACATAATGTTCCCTGCCTTGTCTCACCTATCACAGGATGTTCCCTGTCTCACCTATCACAGGATGTTCCCTGCCTTGTCTCACCTCACAGGATGTTCCCTGCCTTGTCTCACCTATCACAGGATGTTCCCTGCCTTGTCTCACCTATCACAGGATGTTCCCTGTCTCACCTATCACAGAATGTTCCCTGCCTTGACTCACCTATTACAATTGTTCCCTGTCTCACCTATCACAGGATGTTCCCTACCTTGTCTCACCTTACAGGATGTTCCTTGTCTCACCTATTACTGGATGTTCCCTACCTTATCTCACCTATCACAGGATGTTCCCTGTCTCACCTTACAGGATGTTCCCTGTCTCACCTATTACAGGATGTTCCCTGTCTCACCTATTACAGGATGTCCCCTGTCTCACCTTACAGTATGTTCCCTGCCTTGTCTCACCTATTACAGGATGTTCCTTGTCTCACCTATCACATGATGTTCCCTGTCTCACCTATCACATGATGTTCCCTGTCTCACCTATCACAGTATGTTCCCTGCCTTGTCTCACCTATCACAGGATGTTCCTTGTCTCACCTATCACAGGATGTTCCCTGTCTCACCTATCACAGTATGTTCCCTGTCTCACCTATCACATGATGTTCCCTGTCTCACCTTACAGGATGTTCCCTGTCTCACCTATCACAGTATGTTCCCTGTCTCGCCTATCACAGGATGTTCCCTACCTTGTCTCACCTTACAGGATGTTCCTTGTCTCACCTATTACTGGATGTTCCCTACCTTATCTCACCTATCACAGGATGTTCCCTGTCTCACCTTACAGGATGTTCCCTGTCTCACCTATTACAGGATGTTCCTTGTCTCACCTATCACATGATGTTCCCTGTCTCACCTATCACATGATGTTCCCTGTCTCACCTATCACATGATGTTCCCTGTCTCACCTTACAGGATGTTCCCTACATTGTCTCACCTATCACATGATGTTCCCTGTCTCACCTATCACAGGATGTTCCTTGTCTTACCTTACAGGATGTTCCCTGCTGCTGTACCCCGGGGCCTTCAACATGACGACCGGCCCAGCCCACTGGGAGGCCATCCAGAGGGCCAGAGCTATTGACAACCAGATGTTTGTGGCCACAGCCTCGCCAGCGCGGGATGAAACGGCGGACTACGTCGCCTGGGGTCACTCCACAGTGGTTGACCCATGGTACAGTTGGTTGATTTTAGTTTTAGATAGTCTACAAGTCTACAATTTGTTTTCTTGGTCAAAAAAATTGTTTTTCATTCTTTCCTGTTGAGCAAATCTGTGAACTCTTGATTATTTCCCTTGATTAAATTTTTTTTTTTTTTAACAGGGGAGAAGTCATCTCAACTACAGATGAAAAAGAAGGAATCGTCTATGCAGAAATAGGTAATAATGTATAGGTTGATGTGACAGTAACTGTTGTGTTTTAGGTGGGCTGATATTTAGCTTCATTTGATGGTAGCTGTTATCAAGTGTGTGACCTGTGGTCAAAATTGTTCATGTGTGACCTTAAATCAAGTTTATGACCTAAAGTTAAGTGTGTTCATGTGTGTGACCTAAGGTTAAATATGTGACCTGTGGTCAAGTGTGTCATGTAGGCTATGTGACCTGTGGTCAAGTGTGTTCATGTATGACCTGCTGTCAAATGTGTGACCTGTGGTCAAGTGTGTTCATGTATAACCTGCTGTCAAATGTGTGAGCTGAAGTCATGTGTGACCCTTGTTTCCCAGCATGGGACCCTAAGCTCTACTGCTGCTAGACTTAAGCTCATACTTTACCAGTGTCTGATAACAGGTGTCTGACTGATACACGTGTCTGACTGATACAAGTGTATGACTGATACAAGTGTATGACTGATACAAGTGCATGACTGACACAAGTGTATGACTGATACAAGTGTATGACTGATACAGGCGTATGACTGATACAAGTGTCTGACTGATACAAGTGTATGACTGACACAAGTGTATGACTGATACAAGTGTCTGACTGATACAAGTGCATGACTGATACAAGTGTCTGACTGATACAAGTGTCTGACTGATACAAGTGTATGACTGATACAGGCGTATGACTGATACAAGTGTCTGACTGATACAAGTGTCTGACTGATACAAGTGTATGACTGATACAAGTGTCTGACTGATACAAGTATCTGACTGATACAAGTGCATGACTGACAGGTGTGTGACTGATACAAGTGTCTGATTGCCTCCCACCAGATCTAGCCAGAATGGAAGAGATACGTCAGATGATCCCTGTGAGAAAACAGAAGAGATTTGACCTCTATCAGCCTGTGGCCATGACCCTCAACAAACAGCGCAAAGATGACCTCTACAAGATCAACGACTAGCAATGCCAGACTCATGGTCATTTTTTTGTTTTACAGCCTTGGTGGGTAGCTGTGCTCAAATGCCAGGTTTTTAAAAAGTGCGGAATGTTTTAATTTACCCAGAACTATGGTGGTTGGGGAACATCTTAACCAGATTGGAACTATGCATCTTTTTAACGAGACATTATGTAATTAGATGTTTTAAACAGGTTTACATTCAATGATCAACTGTTTTAGATTTTTTTTAATAGCAGTCTTAGACTTGAATTTAGTCACATCTGTTGTGAAAATAGAAGCAGTCGCTACTAACACATTTGGTGTGCCTCTTTAAATTCCTCACCATTAATTATTAGATGAGATTCAGTGACCAAAAGAAAAAGTAAAGTTTGTATCTGATCAGTGATTGGTTGCACTGGTCATGTGATAAGTGATTGGTTGGTCTGGTCATGTGATCAAGGATTGGTTCATCTGATCATGTGATCAGGGATAGTTATTTGTTACCCAGAACTTCATGTGTGGTGTCAGTACCAAGCTTGGTTGGCATGTGAACACTTTGTTGTGTTGTTTCTTCCATTTTTTCACCTAACTACCTGAAAGCTAACCTAAAACTACTACCATGTTTCTATCAAATGATGTAGAACTTCTACGCCAGATTTAGTATCATGGTTTTCAGCAGAAATTTGTGCAGGGTATGCAAGTGAGGGGAGTTGGTAACTAGAGGGTTAAGATTCAAACTGCATAGGTAAAAACAAACACATGTCAATCATGCAGTGTTCTGATCTGCCCATTACGCCCACAGCGTAATGCCTGTGGTGTCTATACACAAACCTGTACAGCCTATATTTAGATTATTTACCATTGTAAAACATCAGCTGACAAAATGCCAAGCCTCCCAGCAGGGTGACATTTTAGTAACTTCATTTAAACTGATAGATTTGGATGTACATATATACCATGTATTTATAACAATCAAAAACAAATAAAGGTTTTAATTTTTAAAAATTCTTTGCATTTTAAATCAAACAAAATAGTTTTGTCAGCAGATGAGTCAGGTCTCCAGCAGACTTCATGTAATTGATGAAAAAGTGGCCAGATTTTAAAGAAAAATCAATCCAAAACCATATTTCTCTACCTTTTTATTTTAATGTAAGAATCTTTACTACTTAAATGCCCATGTTACACTTTTATTTTCCAAAGCCTTCAGTGTTTCAAAGATAAATTAAAAGATGCCAAAATTTAGTTCTGAAATTTAACTGCAGTTCCATGTTGTGGAGACCAAGATGGGGGTAGCTGGGTGTGGTGACTGATGGTGGCCATTCCATTTTTCAACCCTTTTTTCTTCATTCACTAGCCAGTAGCCGACTGACCACGAGAATGGCAATCACGAAGAGCACGAACATAAAAAAATAGGACATGGTTGAGGACATTATGTACAACCTTGGCTTGTTGCTCTAGAAATGTACACAAAACTGACAGTTCCTCCTGTTCCTGAATGTTCCAGCAAGCTTTGAGTCGCAGTTACTTTTTCTATCTTCAAAGATTGAAGAGCTTGTCCAATGGCTGCCTCGCTACTTTCAGTTTGTAGAACGCCTGCCTGTCAGTCTCCACAGATTGTTGTGTTCTAAGTCTCTAGAGGCGGCTGTTGTTCTAAGTCTCTACAGGCGGCTGTTGTTCTAAGTCTCTACAGGCGGCTGTTGTTCACCTTGCTAGTGGGCTAGACTGGATAACAAAGTTATTGGTTATAATACATGCACGCATATGGACACACACGTAGGCAAGGACAGAACACCCACACTAACTTATACCTCAGGGTACACATTTTGTATTGTTTGGATTTAAATACGCCAACACATACACACAACCCTAGAATAAGTAATTTACCAGAATAGACCTATTGTTAATTAATATGTAATAGTAATTAGCTGTATACAATTCCTATTAAAAATATCGAGAATTAATAACTTTGCTCTGTTAGTCCGGCTGGTTACTCTATCACAGGGAAGTACAGCAGCTAGATTTGTGTGAGGTTTTTATATACCAACATTTAGAATTTCAAAAACATTTATCACTAAAGTTTTACATTTCTTTTAATGCTGCCCAATCTAGTTTGATAAAATTGGAAAATCATAAAAACATCAATTAGGATCTGGATCTACAATCAGTCTTAAGTCAAGTCCTTTAAAAAACCACACAGTAAAGTTTAATAACCCCATACTTATTATCGTAACACCACACACATTTTGAGGAATAGCCCAGAACCGAGTACAATGGAGAAGTGTGGTTGCGTCCCTTTGCTCCACAGGCATGGCGATGATACAACATTTTAAAAGTATTTAATGGACCATTCGAGACTATTCCTGCTGGGGTCCATTACGGGGTCATCTATAAATGACGTCACGCTTTTAAAAGACGAGTTTGACATCGTTTCATATTAGCCTACCCCCCCCCCCCCCCCTCAAAATTTCGTTTTAGTTTTTAAAAAAGGAATTTAACTCACATATTGACTGAGCTCGGTATACAGAGAATTTTGTTCAAATTCTATTGTAATTTACATAAACGGTTTTCTAAAACGCGAATAAACAGCTAGAATTCAGTTTCAAATATTTCTATTTTTGAAATCTAAAGTGTGACGTCATACTGACTCCACCCCCACTGAAGTGTTAAGTCATTTAGCCTACAGAAGATTAAGCTAAGATATTTGCAACTACAACTAAAGAACATCTAACTGATACCACATGCCTGGGTTTTTACAAGAACCCAATTTTTTTTAAAGCTGTTTGAATCAACCGAGTTTAGGAAACATGGGTCACTCGATAAACAATGACTTACTTTGTGTTAGGGGGTGGGGGTAGGAGTGTAGGGCTGCACAGTGTGAGGTTTGAATTCATTCACTGCCCCAATCCTCTACCCACAACATGGCGCAGTACTGCTTGTCTGCATCATTTCCGCTCACCGTCACGGTGCCGAATGGTGCGCAGTGCCTCGGTTGGTCAAACGAAACATCAAATAAATGAAAAACACACCTTTTTAATAAAATAATGACAGAATCAAAAGAGGTTTGAAACACAATGTCCTTATAGTGTAGGCGTCAATATTGAGAAAACTCAAAACAAATCATGCGTCGAGCACTCATCTAAAAGCAATAAAAGTTTGTAATAAAAATCATCAAAGATATTTGAATTAAAAAGTTTTATTGTCTTTGTATAGCTAGCTAGATGGATTTTTTTTTTCGTAATAAAAATGAATGATTAATATAATGTAAGCAGTGGCGTAGGGATTGTTTTTTTCAAGGGGGGGGTTAAATTGTCTTTACACTTTACACACACACACACACACATATATATATATATATATATATATATATATATATATATATATATATATATATATATATAATACATTACATACATACATGTATATAGAAATAGGTTTATGTAGAAAGCAGGGGCATAGCGAGGGGGGGGGGGGCGGGGGGTTGCGGACCGCACCGGGTGACACCAAGGCAAAAAATAGCAAAATATATAGAGAAAAACTTGAGGGGGGTGCAAATTGAAAGTATGAGGGGGGGTGCAAATCAAAAACTTGAAAGTTTGTCCCCGGGAAGGATCGCTACGCCTCTGGGGGGTGACACCATTAAGTGCCGCACCGGGTGACACTCGACCTCGCTACGCCACTGGTAGAAAGAACCTTTGTTGCCTACACGACAAAATCCTGTCTACGCCACTGTCACAGGTCTTCTTTCACTTATGAGTACAATTTTTTCTCTGTCGTTTCGTCCGTCCGCTCATTCTAAAATAATTTATATCTGTAATGTGCATTCCTTGCAGACGACATAATCGTATTCGATAATTTCTATAATTTAAAATTACCAGCGACGCCTTTGTTTCAAAATATTTTCAAATTTCGACGCCCCTATATGCGTAAGCTTGATCTAGAGAATAATGGGTGATACTGTTTTGCTTTGATTCATTCACAGGTGGTAATTGACGCACCAGGTAGATTAAAGCGTATGTTAATTATTGGACCTCTCAAGTCGGTATTGTTAAGACAAGACATACAACGCAAACATACACCTGCGGACCGCCCCTCTAAATTAAATGCGAACATATGAGTGGTTAACCGACTATCCCGAGTTAATTAGCAATCAATGAGTGAACCATACAGAACTGTTTACCATACTGATTAAGATTTCTTAACCCCAAAGCTCGCCTGTTTCAACTTGTTGAAAAGTCAATAATTGAATCGATTTTTGATCGATACAGTTCGGGGCCATTGAAGACTTGTCACTGCACTACACAGCACCTGTCTTTGTATCGAGTACGGGGTGTATGTGGTTGTATGTGGACCGATGTCATGTGCTGTAATTCGGGATCTTTGTCTTGTGGGAATGACCAGTTCACTAGGGATATTTGTGATGTTTTCAACCACATGTGATGTGACCAATGAGTTGTGAATGTGCTATCTGGTATGCCGTGTTCTATATCCCAAGCTAGCGGGTTTGGACTACTGTGGTACATACACATCTGACCAATGCTAAGGTTTCCAGCTATCACTCATGTAGCCCTAGAGACTTAAATATAAATAAAATATTTTTAAAACAAACCAACCAGCACTGACGTCATAGTTTGACCACAATTGTTACGTCACTAGAACTGCTGTATTGTAATCTGGTCACAGAGCTGACCACCATATGAGTGAGGCCTACACAGTGTTGGACATGTCTACACCTCACAACTTTGTAAGTAAACAATGCAGTAAGTAAACAACTTAGTAAGTAAACAATCAACAATGCAGTAAGTAAACATTGCAGTAAGTAAACAACTTATCATCCATATCCACAGTCCAAACGCCATCGTTGGGGGTAGGTTTGTCTTATACACGTTTCCAATAATACCATAACGCTATCTTCTGTTTTTAAAAGGTGTGTTAGATTAGTGGTAGTTAACTAAATACAAATATGACTTTCTAAGCCTTCCCCTAACCAATACCTAAGTTCTAGTTCTACCATGACCCTAACTAAAAACACAGGCCCACAAAACTAGTAACATTAGTATCACGTTAGTAAGACTTAAAATTCCTATTTTCCGTAAGTCTATTGTCGGACATTGGTAACACCAACTCTACAATTTGTTTTAGTAAATATTATGGACTCTACCCAAGGCAAACAAAAGGACCTAAGCCCCGCCCACTCGTCACGGTCCAGTGACACCGCGCTATTGTCCCCCTGGCCAGCTAACAATACCTGAACAGGGGAAGTAATACTTGAACCCAATTTATAGTCCAACAAAAACTGTTTATATTGGTAACAAAGACAACAGACTCGTCTGGACAGGAAACTATTTATAGACCGTGAAATGAACCGCTTGACTGAATTCCAATACCGCCATTCTGTTCGATAGAGATTAGTAGCGACAAAGAAATGCACATTCCGACCCGAAGATTAGAGTGGGTGGTTGTCCGTTAGCAGCGGGTCACGATGATGAGATAAAAACCCCTGGAATCTGTGTTCATAAGGTAAGAATGGTGGTCATTTTGTGTCTAAACAGTTGGCTTAGCCGTACCACAACATAGCGTCAGGACAGTATCGGGGTGAATGTTATGCATGATTTTACACGACCTGTACTTAGCTTGATTTAACAAAAGAGTTCAGTATTAGCTTAGGGCTAGAATTTATTTCTATAAAGATACGAAATATAGAAATGATTTCGTAAATCTTGTAGCTCCTCGGGTGACCGAATACGTTTTACACTAATTAATTCTGTATGTTTGAAAAACTGGTCGTAACATATAGTTACAGAAAAATGCCATACCTACTCCCACAGGGGTCTGTCATGTTGACCCTCAGAGAGGGATCTATTCTGCCTAGCCACATATGATTATATCACACAGATTCACATATATTTCTCATGTCTACTCACAGAGAGGGGTCTATTCTGCCTAGCCACATATGATTATATCACACAGATTCACATATATTTCTCATGTCTACTCACAGAGAGGGATCTATTCTGCCTAGCCACATATGATTATGTCACACAAATCCACATATATTTCTCATGTCTACTAACAGAGGGGGTCTATTCTGCCTAGCCACATATGATTTTGTCACACAGATCCACATATATTTCTCATGTCTACTAACAGAGGGGGTCTATTCTGCCTAGCCACATATGATTTTGTCACACAGATCCACATATATTTCTCATGTCTACTAACAGAGGGGGTCTATTCTGCCTAGCCACATATGATTATGTCACATAGATCCACATATATTTCTCATGTCTACACACAGAGGAATCTGCAACTTTATAATTAAAATATTTAACCATAACATTTTAAAACTACGAAAGTGGCAAAGTAAAATAAAACATTATTTATTTTTGAATCAACAGCTGATATCAACAGACGTTTAGAAAACACTGAGCAACCACCGCGTCAAGAAACGGACAAAAACGCTTTGAGCACAGTGTTACTATTCTTAGCTGCGTGTTACTTACCGGAAGTGTGACGACAGCGCACAGTTGAACCCCATCACAATGACGTCAGGCCCAGAAAACCGCTTCATCCTGTGCGGGTTGTGCAGCAACCAGCTGAGCAACCCCCACATGTTGCCCTGTCTTCACGTCTTCTGTCTCGCCTGTCTCAAAGACAACTGTAGCGAGAAATCTCCCGACAAATTCTTCTGCCCACTGTGTGTGGTGGAGAAAAACGACCGGAAATCATTCAACGCGCGACCTTGGCATTCGTTTGAAAAAATCGTCGAAAACGAGGCCGAGTACGAAGCCCGCCAACGTCGACTAGCGGAACTCCCTGCTACAGAAAGCCGACGCTCCAGCTATATCCCCGAGGCTTTTGAAGCAGACGAGGATGAAAGTTCGAGACGTCCTTCCCTGCCGCAGGCGCCTGTCATGTTTCCCTGCAGCATGCACGCAGACAAGCTGGCCGAGTCGTTCTGCACCAAATGCGAGCAGCTCGCGTGCCCTAAATGCATCTCGTCGTTCCACCGTCGCTGCCAGAGTTTCCTGGACATCAAAGACGCCGTGGAGAAAAAACGTGACGCACTCGACTCTGTGTACAGCGCCATCGCCAACAACCTGGTCAGCTGCGAAAACTTGCAAAGCGAACATTTGAAACGCCTCAACGAGATCGAGGCGATGAGGATGAAGCTGTTGCTGGATATTAAAACCTTCCGGACGACTATGGTCAACTTGGTGCTGGAGAAAGAGAAGCGGCTGTCAGACCAGGTGAATCAGCTCATGGACGAAATGGCCAAGGTGTCAAGGGACAGAGAAGGCATGGCGAAGAGTTATGTCCAGGCGCTCAACAAACAGCTGGACGTCCTCAACTTTTCTCTTAGTGCCCAGGGAGAGGGCGAGATTCTTCCTCTACTTCCGGGTCTGGCGAATATCATGGAATCGAATACCGCGAAGTTGTCCGAATTCAAGTCACAGGATGACGTCAAACTTGTGACGTTCAGTCGAGACGAGAACTGTTTCCAGACCTTGACGACGTCACTGCTGGGGACGTTGAATGTCGTCGGGAAGGCGGCCACGCCCCCCGCCCGCGAGGAGGGGAAGCGGGATCTGACGCTGACGCCTTTCGTCAGCTTCCACGGCGGGGCCTGCGATGACGTCAGCGAGCCCCTGCTGACGGACATCGTGCTGCTGATGAACGGTGACGTCATCATGACGGACCGGGACAACAAGTGCGTCAAGAAGTTCAACCAGTCGGGGCGTCTGCTGACGCGCGTCATGATCGACGCCATCCCCAGCCGCATCGCCATCGTGTCCAACAGCCGCGCCGCCGTGTCTGTCATGAACAAGAAAGCGATCTACTTCCTCTCGCTCTTCGGCACCGTGCGCGTCCTCAGCTTCATCCGGGTCAGTAAAATCTACTCCTTCCTGACGTCACTTGGCGGGAAACTGTTAGCTGGGGCCACCAATCAGTGCGATTGTATTGACGTCTTCAACGAAAAAGGGGAGATCATTCGAAATATTTTCTTGCAGAAAGCGGACAGAGCGTCCATCGCTCGACCGATGTACCTGACCCCGACCAAACCATCCGTCACCATCGACCATCAGACGCCAGCATCAGACAAGACGACAGACACGACGACAGACATCCTCATCTCCGACAGCGGGAAACAGACGTTCTTTCGTCTGGATCAGAACGGACGCAGCCAGTTCACCGTCAGGTCGACCAGTTCCCTGACCTTGACCTGCCCGCTTGGGGTCACAGTTCACGAGTCAGGGCTGACATTGCTGGCTGACCGGGACACAGACTCCGTGCTGGTGTTTGACGAGGGGGGAAACTTCCTCAAGAAGGCCTTGACCTTGGACCAGGGACTGGTCAAGCCGTGCGGGATCTATGCCGGACATCGGGGTCACGTGGCCTTGACGCAGGTGGACGGCATGGTCAAGATTTACAAAGCCAGTGTCACCTCAGTGTGACCCCCCCCCCCCAAATTCTACCCTAACACGACTATAAAAACATTGACAAGAACGACGTGGTGGAACCATGCACTAAACGCGTTAGTAAGTGAATTGGACTGGCTGTAAATCATCAACATGTACCAGGAAGTCAACGTAACAAAAAGACCTACAAATCTTGAGTGCATCAAGTGTTGGAACCGTTCCTATACCCCACGCTGAAGCATCTAGAGACAATCACCAAGTTCTCCATCAGCTGACGATCACAATTTGTACGAGACAACAATAACATTTGTGAGCAGAGATATACGCGTCGGTTTTCTTTCTGTGGCCATCGAGCTGAGCAAACACAACGTTCAAAGAACCGTGAAACATTCCTTTACAGTAGATGCCATAGTACCATCAGATCAAAGAACAGTGTACCATTCCTTTACAGTAGACGCCATATTAGCATGAGGGACAAGATGTGCCGTCAAATCAAGTGTTTAGATGCTGTTCTTTCTATCTTACATTTGTATTCTTCCGTTTTGACTACTTCCACCCATATCACTAGACGGTTTTTATATTTTGCACATCGCAAAACATCACTACTGGTTATTTTTACTATGCATAACATCATTATTGTTTTTAAAGTATACATACACAAAACATCGGTATAATGTTTAAGTATTCAGACACAACATACCCCCTTGCTATGCTATATTAGCACAAGGCATAAAGTACTGTTGTAATGTAAGACAGTACTGTATGGGCCTTTCAAAAGTACTTTAGAAGGTCAGTACTGTACCAGAACATCACAATGTACTTTAGAAGGTCAGTACTGTACCAGAACATCACAAAGTACTTTAGAAGGTCAGTACTGTACCAGAACATCACAAAGTACTTTAGAAGGTCAGTACTGTACCAGAACATCACAAAGTACTTTAGAAGGTCAGTACTGTACCAGAACATCACAAAGTACTTTAGAAGGTCAGTACTGTGCCAGAACATCACAAAGTACTTTAGAAGGTCAGTACTGTACAGAACATCACAAAGTACTTTAGAAGGTCAGTACTGTACCAGAACATCACAAAGTACTTTAGAAGCTCAGTACTGTACCAGAACATCACAAAGTACTTTAGAAGGTCAGTACTGTACCAGAACATCACAAAGTACTTTAGAATGTCAGTACTGTACCAGAACATCACAAAGTACTTTAGAAGCTCAGTACTGTACCAGAACATCACAAAGTACTTTAGAAGCTCAGTACTGTACCAGAACATCACAAAGTACTTTAGAAGGTCAGTACTGTACCAGAACATCACAAAGTACTTTAGAAGGTCAGTACTGTACCAGAACATCACAAAGTACTTTAGAAGGTCAGTACTATGATAACCAAGCAAAAAGTACGTATGGTTACATCTAATACCATGGCATCAAATACAGAACAAATTTGTTTGTTTAAAAATATGTAATGTATTCAAAAAATAAATAAACAGTCGTAAAAAACATTCAAACAGATCTTGTAAATACTGAAGAACTTGGTAAAGAATACTCCATAATATGGCTATAGAAACCAACAAAATAAATACTTATAAAACAACACTAAATTGCTCCATAAAAATGTTGGCCTGTTTGATACACTGCAGCTACTGGCAGTACCAGACTTGATACACTACATCTAGGGCCCCGTGCCAGACTTGATCCACTGCAGCTAAGGCGCAGTGCCAGACTTCCCCTGGGTGTTTAGCGCCACCTCCCCCAGCATCTGAAGGTTGTACAGCTCCCCAGTGTTGTCCATTACCTTGACATAGTTATCATCCAGGGAGACTTCACCTTGGTCTGCCTCCCTCAGCTCCGTGTATGTCACGGTGTGAGTTGGGGCCTCATCCCGTGCCACCCCCTGAAACCTACCCACATCCCCACCCCTCGGCTCGTCTTTGACCACAGCTTGCAGGCAGTCTGTTGCCATTTTGTCAAGTGTGAAGGGGGAGGACTCAACACTAAAGACTGTCTGGAATTCTGAAGAGATCAAAGTGTTGTTACAGACTGAGATGGTGCTCAAAGGCAGCTGTGAGTGGTCAGCCCCAAAAGTGGGAAACGCCAGTTGCTCACTCCCAAATGTGGACAATGCCTGTTGATCAGTTCCAAAAGTGGGCAAAGTCTGCCGGTCAGTCCCAAAAGTGGGCAACGTGGGCCGGTCAGTCCCAAAAGTGGGCAGGGTGGGCCGGTCAGCCCCCAATGTAGGCAGCTTCTCTGGTGTGTTGAGTGTGGTGTCTGTCACAGGAGTGTAGACCAGGGGCTGGGACCTGACCCTGGGGGTGGCCAGTTTTTTGGGTGTGATCAAGGTCAAGGCCGCCTCTGCTTGAGGCTCCTGCTTGACCGGGCTGAGCTCCGAACCAAAGGACACACAGACAGGCAGGGAGGAGAGGCTGGAGAGTGGTTTCATTGCCAGGCTTGCATCCTGTCCTACCCTACAGTCTGAAATGACGGTGAAGAAATTCTCATTGTTTGATTTACATTTTCCCATACTGGCAGAGTCCAAGTTGAGCTGAGGGGTGTCAGGGTGGGTCTCAGAGGTTTCCAACATAGACGCTGTGTGTGGAACTTGTCTGACATTGGCCTCAATAGATTTCACATGGCCACCCAGAGATGGCCCATCATAGCAATGATAGGAGGCCTGAGATCTCTCGACACTGGCCTGGGAGGGATTTGATCCTGGGGTTCTGGGGGAGATGTCAACTGAGTTGGCTGAGAGTGGGGACAAGAGACTGGGCAGACTCAGGTTGGACAGATCCTTCAGGTGCTCGGCTGTACATGGGTGAGCATCCTGTCTCTTGGCCCTTTTAGGTCTCTGAGACAGGCTGTCTTCTGATGGTCGTTTCAAGGTGGCACCACGACCGTGACCTCCACCTATCTGACTTTCAGGTGTAGCATATGATGAAGTTCCTGTCTCATCTTGTTTGATGATGTCACTGCCGACCTGCATGACCCCCACGTGACCTGGATATGTGTCCCCATCCCCAGGGGTCAGACTTGTACCTAGCACCTGCTGGCTGACCTCTATGCTCTCAAAACGAATGGTCTGCAGTCTCCTGAAGCCATCGTCATGAAGTTTGTACCTGTTCAACCAAGTTGTATGGTTAAGTCAATGTACCACATGGTATTTTTGTAAACCCCTGAACCCTTTTATACCTGAACCCCAGAGCTCTGGTATCTCAAGAACCCTGCTTAACCCCAAATCCCAGTTGTACCCAACCCCAGTACCTGAAGCGCTTGTGTCCAGAGGGCCACTTGTAGTTGTGGCTTTCCTTCAGGTGAGTGGTCAGTTGAAAGCCACGCCCAAACTGTTTGACACAGATGTGACATTGATATTCTTTTCTGGCAGCCTGGAGGGTAGGTCAGGGCATAAGTTGACATGTCAGATGGGGCATAAGTTGACATGTGAGGTGGGGCATAAGTTGACATGTGAGGTGGGGCATTTTGGTTGACATTTGAGTTGGAGCATAAGTTGACATTTGAGGTGGGGCATAAGTTGACATGTGAGGTGGAGCATAAGTTGACATGTGAGGTGGGGCATAAGTTGAAATTTGAGTTGGAGCATAAGTTGACATGTGAGGTTGGGCATAAGTTGACATTTGAGTTGGAGCATAAGTTGACATTTGAGGTGGGGCATAAGTTGACATGTGAGGTGGGGCATAAGTTGACATTTGAGTTGGAGCATAAGTTGACATTTGAGGTGGGGCATAAGTTGACATGTGAGGTGGAGCATAAGTTGACATGTGAGGTGGGGCATAAGTTGACATTTGAGGTGGGTCATAAGTTGACATTTGAGTTGGAGCATAAGTTGACATTTGAGGTGGGGCATAAGTTGACATGTGAGGTGGGGCATAGGTTGGCATGTGAGGTGGGGCATAAGTTGACATGTGAGGTGGGGCATAAGTTGACATGTGAGATGGGGCATAAGTTGACATGTCAGATGGGGCATAAGTTGGCAGGTGAGGTGGGGCATAAGTTGACATGTGAGATGGGGCATAAGTTGACATGTGAGGTGGGGCATAAGCTGACATGTGAGGTGGGGCATAAGTTGACAAGACACAATGCAGTAAGCAGTGACAGTAAGATCTTGTCAAGACATGTATGACATGACGTACACGTAAGATGAGAACTGACCTCATGGTCGGCTATGTAGTGCTGAGTGAGTGCGCTCCTTTGGGAGAACACCTTACCGCAGTCCTCCTTGTTGCACACATACGACGTCCTGTCAACACTGTGGGAGGCCACGTGACGTCTCATGTCTGAGAGGGTTTTAGCTCTACAAGATAAAACATTGACGTGACGTCTCATGTCTGAGAGGGTTTTAGCTCTACAAGATAAAACATTGACGTGATGTCTCATGTCTGAGAGGGTTTTAGCTCTACAAGATAAAACATTGACGTGACGTCTCATGTCTGAGAGGGTTTTAGCTCTACAAGATAAAACATTGATTTGATGGAGTCCTTCATTGATACAAGTTTCCCATCAAGCACAACAACACCACATTCACATCTTTCTATACAACATGAAAGGAACAGCGTGGCCTAGCTGTATAAAGCTAGACTGCTAACCCGAAAGTCTTGAGTTCAAATCAGTAGAATATCCCTGAGTATACCCAGCTTTGAGGGGTACCTAAACCCATGGTAGGGAAACAAAGGCGGCTGGGCATAGTGCTGACCACATTATCCCCTTCTATGCCAAAGTAATTGAAACAGATGAACTCTACTTCATCTGCAAATTGTTTCTTGGGCACTAACGGAAAAGATGATGATACAACATGTAGCTCTCAGCTAAAGTTATCGAAACTACCACAGATCAACAGCATCCTAAGCCCTCCACCTCAACTTACTTGTAGGTACAGTTCTCACACGTGTAGGTCCTCTCCTCTGAGTGACGGTATCTGACATGATCTCTGACAGCTGACGGTGAGTGGCAGGTCATGTCACAGAGAGGGCACTTGTAGTGATTCACTGATGACAATATACCAACAAAATAATTGTAAAAACCTTGATTAAAAAATGAGCTTCTTCAGGGGGAAAAAACAAAATAAATTTTATATAGCTGTGAGTGCTTTAGTTAGTGAATAAATCTTATGAATACATTATAACAATTTCAAACAATCAGTTGGCCAAGTATTATTAGCATTGGCCACAACTTCCCCTAGCTCCAACCCCCCCCCCCCTCACATGTGGTGTGTTATGTGCCCAACTGCAAACAATACTATGTGCCCCCCCCCCCCTAACTGCAGACAAATCTTACCATGATGTCTCATGTGGTCCCTCAGAATCCTCCCCCCCCCCAGACAAATCTTACCATGATGTCTCATGTGGTCCCTCAGAATCCCCCCCCCCCCCCACTGCAGACAAATCTTACCATGATGTCTCATGTGGTCCCTCAGAATCCTCCCCCCCCCCCCCAGACAAATCTTACCATGATGTCTCATGTGGTCCCTCAGAATCCCCCCCCCCCCCCCCACTGCAGACAAATCTTACCATGATGTCTCATGTGGTCCCTCAGAATCCTCCCCCCCCCCAGACAAATCTTACCATGATGTCTCATGTGGTCCCTCAGAATCCCCCCCCCCCACTGCAGACAAATCTTACCATGATGTCTCATGTGGTCCCTCAGAATCCCCCCCCCCCCCAGACAAATCTTACCATGATGTCTCATGTGGTCCCTCAGAATCCCCCCCCCCCAGACAAATCTTACCATGATGTCTCATGTGGTCCCTCAGAATCCTCCCCCCCCCCACTGCAGACAATACTTACCATGATGTCTCATGTGGTCCCTCAGAATCCCCCCCCCCAGACAAATCTTACCATGATGTCTCATGTGGTCCCTCAGAATCCTCCCCCCCCCCAGACAAATCTTACCATGATGTCTCATGTGGTCCCTCAGAATCCCCCCCCCCCCCCCAGACAAATCTTACCATGATGTCTCATGTGGTCCCTCAGAATCCCCCCCCCCCCACTGCAGACAAATCTTACCATGATGTCTCATGTGGTCCCTCAGAATCCTCCCCCCCCCCCCACTGCAGACAAATCTTACCATGATGTCTCATGTGGTCCCTCAGAATCCTCCCCCCCCCCCAGACAAATCTTACCATGATGTCTCATGTGGTCCCTCAGAATCCTCCCCCCCCCCCAGACAAATCTTACCATGATGTCTCATGTGGTCCCTCAGAATCCCCCCCCCCAGACAATACTTACCATGATGTCTCATGTGGTCCCTCAGAATCCCCCCCACTGCAGACTAATCTTACCATGATGTCTCATGTGGTCCCTCAGAATCCCCCCCCCCCCCAGACAATACTTACCATGATGTCTCATGTGGTCCCTCAGAATCCCCCCCCCCCCAGACAAATCTTACCATGATGTCTCATGTGGTCCCTCAGAATCCCCCCCCCCCCCCAGACAAATCTTACCATGATGTCTCATGTGGTCCCTCAGAATCCCCCCCCCCCCACTGCAGACAAATCTTACCATGATGTCTCATGTGGTCCCTCAGAATCCTCCCCCCCCCCCCCACTGCAGACAAATCTTACCATGATGTCTCATGTGGTCCCTCAGAATCCTCCCCCCCCCCAGACAAATCTTACCATGATGTCTCATGTGGTCCCTCAGAATCCTCCCCCCCCCCCAGACAAATCTTACCATGATGTCTCATGTGGTCCCTCAGAATCCCCCCCCCCAGACAATACTTACCATGATGTCTCATGTGGTCCCTCAGAATCCCCCCCACTGCAGACTAATCTTACCATGATGTCTCATGTGGTCCCTCAGAATCCCCCCCCCCCAGACAATACTTACCATGATGTCTCATGTGGTCCCTCAGAATCCCCCCCACTGCAGACAAATCTTACCATGATGTCTCATGTGGTCCCTCAGAATCCCCCCCCCCACACTGCAGACAAATCTTACCATGATGTCTCATGTGGTCCCTCAGAATCCCCCCCCCCCCCCCACTGCAGACAAATCTTACCATGATGTCTCATGTGGTCCCTCAGAATCCCCCCCCCCCAGACAAATCTTACCATGATGTCTCATGTGGTCCCTCAGAATCCCCCCCCCCCCCCCCACTGCAGACAAATCTTACCATGATGTCTCATGTGGTCCCTCAGAATCCCCCCCCCCCACTGCAGACAAATCTTACCATGATGTCTCATGTGGTCCCTCAGAATCCCCCCCCCCACTGCAGACAAATCTTACCATGATGTCTCATGTGGTCCCTCAGAATCCCCCCCCCCCCCCCCCACTGCAGACAAATCTTACCATGATGTCTCATGTGGTCCCTCAGAATCCCCCCCCCCCCCCCACTGCAGACAAATCTTACCATGATGTCTCATGTGGTCCCTCAGAATCCCCCCCCCCCCCCCCCCCCACTGCAGACAAATCTTACCATGATGTCTCATGTGGTCCCTCAGAATCCTCTCAGAACCAAACCTGCTACTACAGTGGGAGCATTCAAACTTGAGAGCTGGGGGGAGAAGGTAGAAACATGAAGGGGCTGGGGGGGGGGGGGGGGGGGGAGAGAGAGAGAAGGTAGAAAGAGTAAAGAGCAGTACATTGCTATATAGGTAAAGAAAATAATTTTTAATGTCTTCTGTTGAAAACATTATCATATAAAAGCTTCTTATTGAAAGTTTTTATTTTTTAAGAACACAATGCTTTAAGAATTTTAACACAGTATTGACTAAAGAAACAATTGCAGACCAAATGAACACAAACAATGTGCGTAAGTAAAATAGCGGGGGAAAATATTACTTTATATAGGAAACCTTAGCTAATTATTAAGAATTAATTAGCATCAATTAAGAGAAATTTGATGTCACACTGCACGGTCATCGGATCTTGACCCACGCGCCAAGTATGAAAGAAATCGGTCTATTAGAAGTGATCGAAATTTCGTTTTCGATTCATGACGTACGATGACAAAAGCACGACAGAGGAAGCAAGTTTGGCCGAAAAGCTCGCGAAAATAGTCTTAAGTACGCGCACCGAAAGGCACAATATTAAAATGCAAAATTGGTGACGTGAACAAAATTGTACCAAAGTAATCTAGACTAGAAGCCTCTTCTAAACTTCGTCTATGTGACTGTATAAATCAACTTGGACTAATGCAAACATGTTTCCTAGAGTTAGTATCTCTTCAAGATTAGCATAATCTTGTTGTTTTTTTAGACCATTATAAATTACATTATAGCGTCTTTAGAATGTATGGAATAAAATTTGACAAGTAGAGATCATGAGAATATTTCTTATTTAATTTTAATGTTACAAATTTAATAACGTGACGCTTGACATTTATGGCGGTCTAAATTTCCACATGCAAGCTCTTGTATAAAAACATGGACCACAATTCATGTTGTGCTCTTGTCTTATGTACATTCTAGTTATGTGACAGATGACAGAAGCTGTACACAACTCTGGCTGAACATACGTACACATCTGAAGCTTGTAATGTACACACTAATGTAACACCTCTAGCTTAACATGTACACACTTTTAGCTTATAATGTAAACCCACTAGCTTAGCATGTACACATATGAAGCTTATAATGTACACACTAGCTTATTATGTACACACCACTAGCTGTAACATACGTAGTAACATCTTTAGCTTAGCATTTACATATCAAACTTTGCTATATATAAATATTTTATATTTGGAGCGCACACAATTGACATGCTAATTAAAAGAAAACTAATTGAAGCGATGACGCGTGCTAATTGCAAACATGAAGCTAATAAAACAAAGGCGTGGGTTAGTGTCACCTAGCAACCACTGGCATCAGACCTCCGGCACTGACTCTGGAGCCCCATCTGTCAATCACACCCCCCCCCCCCCCACAAGACACGGCCGCTGCACAAGGGGAGGGAAGGCGGGACTACACGTCAGGGGAGAAAACTCAGCCTCGTCGATGAATGAAACGACGGTGTAGCTATTTGAGCGGCGAGCGGGGTAGGGAGTGGCGAGCTAGTTTTCCGGCTTGAATAAGCTGTGTTCTCATACGCTTGGATAAGCCGTGTTCCCACATACGCTTGGATAAGCCGTGTTCCTACACACTGGTGGTGGCTTTTCATGGATGTAAACTACTATCTGCCAGTATCCAGTCTGTAGGTAAGATGATGTTAGACGAGGATGTTTATGTATGAGAGGAAGCATCACGCGACAGGGCTACCGTCATGTGTACGACCGTCTGTGATACATGGGTGGCCAGTAAGACGCCGTGTTTACATTCTCGCTGTGTTGGTTTAACGTACAGGGGCACATTCCTAAGTGCTTCACTAGACACATTTGGTCGTCATCATACTATACGATACACATTTGGTCGTCCTCATACTATACACTAGACACATTTAGTCGTCATCATACTATACTAGACACATTTAGTCGTCATCATACTATACTAGACACATTTGGTCGTCATCATACTATACGATACACATTGGGTCGTCATCATACTTTATGATACACATTTGGTCGTCATCATACTATACGATACACTAGACTAGACACATTTGGTCGTCATCATACTATACGATACACTAGACTAGACACATTTGGTCGTCATCATACTATACGATACACATTTGGTCGTCATCTACTATACGATACACATTTAGTCGTCATCATACTATACGATACACATTTGGTCGTCATCATACTATACGATACACATTTGGTCGTCATCATACTATACGATACACATTTAGTCGTCATCATACTATACGATACACATTTGGTCGTCATCATACTATACGATACACATTTGGTCGTCATCATACTATACGATACACATTGGGTCGTCATCATACTATACACTAGACACATTTAGTCGTCATCATACTATACACTAGACACATTTAGTCGTCATCATACTATACTAGACACATTTGGTCGTCATCATACTATACGATACACATTGGGTCGTCATCATACTTTTTGATACACATTTGGTCGTCATCATACTATACGATACACATTTGGTCGTCATCACACTATACGATACACATTTGGTCGTCCTCATACTATACGATACACATTTGGTCGTCATCATACTATACGATACACATTTAGTCGTCATCATACTATACGATACACTAGACTAGACACATTTGGTCGTCATCATACTATACGATACACATTTAGTCGTCATCATACTATACGATACACTAGACTAGACACATTTGGTCGTCATCATACTATACGATACACATTTAGTCGTCATCATACTATACGATACACATTTGGTCGTCCTCATACTATACGATACACTAGACTAGACACATTTGGTCGTCATCATACTATACGATACACATTTGGTCGTCATCATACTATACGATACACATTTAGTCGTCATCATACTATACGATACACATTTGGTCGTCATCATACTATACGATACACATTTGGTCGTCATCATACTATACTGTCTCAGTAGACATTTGGTGATCCACTCCCAGTACACACATTAGATAATCCACATACGATAGACCCTCTCTCTTTATGACATATAAGACTACCATGACATGTCAATTAGCAGTACCGTCTTCCTCCAAAAGTATATAGACTAGTGACTATCTAGATCTAGCAGGTCTACGCCAAGATATCAAACTTACGCCTAACTCTGTACAGAAGAAACTCTTACTCATATGATGGGAAGACGTCATTACAAGATTGTCTTTTAACCTTACTCTCTAGTAGTTGCTAGGTTAAGGGAGGAATTGAGTTTCGTCACTGGGAGAAGTAAAGTTACCAATACCATCATTAGCAAAAACTCCAAGCATCGAATAGTTCTCAACCCAACTTGACTTGTAAGGTTGTCATATAAACATTACCAGCCAGACGAGCCAGTACCAGGAAAACTATCGTCGACCAAATGAATAGATGTAGGACCAAATCAACAGATGACCTACCTAAAGATATCAAGCGACCAACTTAAAATATGTCACAGAGAAATGTACCCAGCATGAAGATCACGAGTTACAAAGTGGATCAATACAGTCGTAGTGGGCTGGCTTATTACGGTTATCAAAATAAACAATGGTTAAATAAACACATGACTCATATTCAAAGACCATACCATATGTTCTGTGGACTTTGATATGACCATATATAATCCAGAGAACACACAAAGCACCACCACAAACCACACATGACCCACACAACGTACCACCACACAGACCACACATGACCCACACAACGTACCACCACACATGACCCACACACATGACCCACACAACGTACCACCACACAGACCACACATGACCCACACAACGTACCACCACACATGACCCACACACATGACCCACACAACGTACCACCACACATGACCCACACACATGACCCACACAACGTACCACCACACAGACCACACATGACCCACACAACGTACCACCACACATGACCCACACACATGACCCACACAACGTACCACCACACATGACCCACACACATGACCCACACAACGTACCACCACACATGACCCACACACATGACCCACACAACGTACCACCACACAGACCACAGATGACCCCACATAGCATCATCACAGACCACACACACCATAGATCGATAACGAACCACCTGATTGCCAACTAATCTATCAATTACCCCCCCCCCCCTCCCCGCCAGACCAAAATGGAGCTGTGTGCCGTAATCGTTGGCTGTTATCTGGGCTGGGTTGTGCTGGCTATATGGCCGAGAAAAGTGGTCAAGTTGTCCCCCAGAATACTTCAGGTGAGTCTATGGGCTATATGGCCGAAGTAAACCGGGAGTAATCTCCCCTTAACTTTCTTGAATATTCTTATATAACACTACGGGGGAGGGCAACTCGGGATATAGACATGCTTTTTAATCCATGTTTAATTACTTAAACTTTTAAAAATAGAATAGAATCTCGTAGAAAAAAGAGTTGCGCACCAAGTAAACGCCAAATAATATGCGGAATATACTTTATAAATTTACATGCGTTTTTTGAGAATACAATCTTTTATTTACATGTGAAATTTCATTTATCTATCTGAAACAGTACTCAAGTTATAGGCTTTTGGAAAAGTGAAAGTAGAATAAGTTCCACTTCCGGTTATCGGAAATCGCCAAAAAGTTGATACAGAACTACAAATTTGATATATACTTATATTTGAAATTTCATCAATCTAGCTGTAACGGTATTCAAGTTATCGTGTTCACAGACACACACATACGAACAAGATTGCAAAACTAAGTTTTTTCTACTCAGAGCGGTGTAAAACGTCGAGATTTCTAAAAATCTCGATTTTTTAAAAGCAAGATTACAATACTTCCTCTATTCTTCGTATAGAAGAAAGTAAAAAGTGGCCAGGTTGTCAGAATACTTCATGTGAGTGCTTCCATGCCCTTTACAGTCAGTGACAGGTTGTTTTAAAATGTTCAGGATCTGCTGGTACTGACTGGCTGTTCCTTTTGCCTCCCCCTGCTGGGCAGTGATGTACAGACGGCTGTGCTGACGACGTTGTTTGCGCTGATCATGTACAACGATCTACCCAGTCCTTGGCTGGGGGTCAACGACCGGGCAGTGCTTATTACTGGTAAGTAGGGGGGGGGGGGTAATCAGTCGCCTAAACAACCAGGGGCATGAAAAATTTCCAACCAGGACAATCTTCTTCTTCGTTCTTAACTGGCATAGGGGGGTGATTTCCTTTGTCCAAGAAGAATCTGCAAAGCAGCAGTTGTTTGATCTTGGAGTTTTCTCCAACGAGCCTCATCTACCCTAATTTTCTCTCCTAGACGGGTTGCTGTCCCCTATCCAACGAGCCTCATCTACCCTAGTTTTCTCTCCTAGACGGGTTGCTGTCCCCTATCTAACGCCCCGCATATGCCCGACCACTCCGACCCCTCGAGCGGACAATGATCTCAACGATTTATTTCAATCAATCCCGCCTTGATCCTGATCTAAACAATCGACTGCTCATATCACGAAGCCAATAAAAGATCGATAAACATGTCGAGACAAATATTTGATTTCATGGAGGAAAGCCCCTCCCCTCCCCCACACAAACTACTTAAACGATTGAAAGCCCCACCCCTCCCCCACACAAACAACGTAAACAACCGCCACGCGAGTGTACTAAGATGACCCGAGCACAGCGCCAAGCTAACTCAATCAGTCAACAAACATGGCTGACCAGTAAGCTGCTGGTCAAACAACATCGAGCGCCACAAACATGGCGGCCTGACTCTGCAGACGATTAGCGCATGTCCAACGGTCGGCACGTGACTGGTTAAACAGGTCGCGTCATGTCGTCACAATGTTGCCGCGTGGCTGGTTCATTGATGGTAGGGTGGTTTGTTCATTGATGGTAGGATGGTTGGTTCATTGATGGTAGGATGGTTGGTTCATTGATGGTAGGATGGTTGGTTCATTGATGGTAGGGTGGTTTGTTCATTGATGATAGGATGGTTGGTTCATTGATGGTAGGATGGTTCGTTCATTGATGGTAAGATGGTGTCACATGACTTAACTTTGTGCCACATGACTTGTGTCACATGACTTAACTTTGTGTCACATGACTTAACTTTGTCACATGACTTAACGTTGTCACATGACTTGTGTCACATGACTTAACGTTGTCACATGACTTGTGTCACATGACTTAACGTTGTGCCACATGACTTATACGTCACATGACTTGACTTTGTGTCACGTGACTTATGTATCACATGACTGATCTGTCCCACAGGCTGTGACCAGGGACTGGGCCACGCCCTAGCTCTCAAGCTGGATACGATGGGCTTCCAGGTCTTCGCTGGCTGCCTCTTGATGGGCGGGGAGGGTGAGAGGAAGCTGGTTGAGAAGGCCTCCAGCAGGCTGACAACCCTCCAGATGGATGTCAGCAACCAGGAGCAGGTCCTAAAGGCTGCCAACACAGTGGCTGAAAAGTTGGGCACCAAAGGTCAGCCCTCCATGGTGTCACCACCAATGTTCTTTGTTTCAGTCCTCCATGGTGTCACCACCAATGTCCTTTGTTTCAGTCCTCCATGGTGTCACCACCAATGTCCTTTGTTTCAGTCCTCTGGGTGTCACCACCAATGTCCTTTGTTTCAGTCCTCCATGGTGTCACCACCAATGTCATTTGTTTTAGTCCTCCATGGTGTCACCACCAATGTCCTTTGTTTCAGTCCTCCATGGTGTCACCACCAATGTCCTTTCTTTCAGTCCTGCATGGTGTCACCACCAATGTCCTTTGTTTCCGTCCTCCATGGTGTCACCACCAATGTCCTTTGTTTCAGTCCTCCATGGTGTCACTACCAATGTCCTTTGTTTCAGTCCTGCATGGTGTCACCACCAATGTCCTTAGTTTCAGTCCTCCATGGTGTCACCACCAATGTCCTTTGTTTCAGTCCTCCATGGTGTCACCACCAATGTCCTTTGTTTCAGTCCTCCATGATGTCACCACCAATGTCCTTTGTTTCAGTCCTCCATGGTGTCACCACCAATGTCCTTTGTTTCAGTCCTCCATGGTGTCACCACCAATGTCCTTTGTTTCAGTCCTCCATGGTGTCACCACCAATGTCCTTTGTTTCCGTCCTCCATGGTGTCACCACCAATGTCCTTTGTTTCAGTCCTCCATGGTGTCACCACCAATGTCCTTTGTTTCAGTCCTGCATGGTGTCACCACCAATGTCCTTACTTTCAGTCCTCCATGGTGTCACCACCAATGTCCTTTGTTTCAGTCCTCCATGGTGTCACCACCAATGTCCTTTGTTTCAGTCCTCCATGATGTCACCACCAATGTCCTTTGTTTCAGTCCTTCATGGTGTCACCACCAATGTCCTTTGTTTCAGTCCTCCATGGTGTCACCACCAATGTCCTTTGTTTCAGTCCTCCATGATGTCACCAATGTCCTTTGTTTCAGTCCTCCATGGTGTGGTCAACAACGCTGGCATCCTACTGGCCGGCAACATGGAAATCATGGCCTACAGCGACATCCGCAAGGTGATGGATGTCAACTGTATGGGGGTCATCAACGTGTACAGGGCCTTCATGCCACTCTTAAGGCGGCCCAGGAGAGGGACGGCCAGATTGGTAAATGTGGCCAGTAACATTGGTAAGACCCACTGATCCATGTTCATGTGTCATAACAGTGTCATTAGATCTATTGCCAGTTACATTGGTAAGACCAACTGATCCATGTTCATGTGTCAAAGCAGTGTCACTAGATCAGTTGTACAACAGATTTGTTTTCCATTATATCAATGAGTTCAGCTAATGATCTGCAAGATGCAGCTCTTTGTGTTGTCCTACTAGTTACATGTCTGGAGCAGAATGTAGAGATTTTGTTTTAAACCTGAAGGTTTGGCGCCATCAGCCTTGATGGGGGTGTACGCAGCCTCCAAAGCTTCAGTGGCCATGCTGACAGAGACATGGAGGTATGAACACAAGCCCATGGGTATAGATGTCTCAACAATCATACCAAGTGGTTTTAAGACAGGTCAGTCTACCTTCAATCACATAATAAACCGGGAGTGATCTCCCCTAAACTTTCTCGAACATTCTTATATAACTCGGAATATAGACATGATTTTAAATTACTTTTAAAAATGGAGTAGAATCTCGTAGAAAAAAGAATTGCGCACCAAGCAAACGCCAAAACAAAATGTGCATAATAGTGGGCATTATTAGTACTTTATAAATTTACATGCGTTTTTTGAGAAATCGAAAATAGCGTAAATTAGTACTTCCGGTCAACGGAAATTACTCAAAATTTGACAGAAGGCAGAGAATTAGATCTTTTACTTACATGTGAAATTTCATTTATCTATCTGAAATAGTACTTAAGTTATAGGCTTTTGAAAAATTCAAAGTAGAAAAAGTACCACTTCCGGTTATCGGAAATCGCTAAAAAGTTGATCAGGATCTACGATTTTGATAAAATACTTATATATGAAATTTCATCAACCTAGCTGTAACGGTACTCAAGTTATCGTGTTTAAACACAGACAGACAGACACACAGACAAGATTGCAAAATTATGTTTTTCCGTATCAGTGAGGTGTAAAACGTCGAGATTTATAAAAATCTCGATTTTTTTTTTCTGCACGATTACAAGACTTTCTCTATACGAGAAAGTAAAAAAGACACATTTTCAATTGATCATCTTTGACAGGAGTTATAGCCCTTTTGATCTGAATTGTCCCCCAGAAACTGATTTAAGATTAGTTATTGCCCTTTACTTCTGTCTATGTATGCCAATTTATACTTGAGTTATTGCCCTTTACTGCTGTCTATGGATGCCAATTTATACTTGAGTTATTGCCCTTTACTTTTGCCCTGTCCTTAGAAACTGATTCTGATAGTAGATTTATTAGTGGGGTCACTAAAATAGTTTTATAGGCTAAGTATTAGAATAGCGTTATAAGTAAAGTATTAGTGGGACCATCACATGAATATAACTGTCAGACAGCTGAGATAAGAAACAAACCTCTACCAATGTCATTGTGTCACCAGGTATACTGGAATACAACAAGGAGGAGGTGGGTGACAGATGGTGGAAGACAGCAACTCAGGAGGTCAGGGACTACTTTGGCAGGGCATGCTTCACACCCAGTCCCAAGAGAGAGAGTAAGTTCCTTTACTAGGGTCATGTGGTCAAACTTCACACCCAGTCCCAAGAGAGAGAGTAAGTTCCTTCAGTGGGCTCATGTGGTCACACCCAGTCCCAAGAGAGAAAGTAAGTTCCTTCAGTTGGCTCATGTGGACAAGCTTCACACCCAGTCCCAAGAGAGAAAGTAAGTTCCTTCAGTGGGCTGATGCTTCACACCCAGTCCCAAGAGAGAGAGTAAGTTCCTTTAGTGGGCTCATGTGGTCAAGCTTCACACCCAGTCCCAAGAGAGAGAGAAAGTTCCTTCAGTTGGCTCATGTGGACAAGCTTCACACCCAGTCCCAAGAGAGAAAGTAAGTTCCTTCAGTGGGCTGATGCTTCACACCCAGTCCCAAGAGAGAGAGAAAGTTCCTTCAGTTGGCTCATGTGGTCAAACTTCACACCCAGTCCCAAGAGAGAAAGTTCCTTCAGTTGGCTCATGTGGTCAAGCTTCACACCCAGTCCCAAGAGAGAGAGTAAGTTCCTTCAGTTGGCTCATGTGGTCAAGCTTCACACCCAGTCCCAAGAGAGAAAGTAAGTTCCTTCAGTAGGGTCATGTGGTCATGCTTCACACCCAGTCCCAAGAGAGAGAGAGTAAGTTCCTTCAGTTGGCTCATGTGGTCACACCCAGTCCCAAGAGAGAGAGTAAGTTCCTTCAGTTGGCTCATGTGGTCACACCCAGTCCCAAGAGAGAGAGAAAGTTCCTTCAGTTGGCTCATGTGGTCACACCCAGTCCCAAGAGAGAGAGTAAGTTCCTTCAGTTGGCTCATGTGGTCACACCCAGTCCCAAGAGAGAGAGTAAGTTCCTTCAGTTGGCTCATGTGGTCACACCCAGTCCCAAGAGAGAAAGTTCCTTCAGTGGGCTCATGTGGTCAAGCCACATATTTCTCTAACCCCCAACAACCAAGTATTAAAATGTCTATGAGCCCACACAGTTTTAATTGATTCCTGAATAGAGTTTTTGGTGAGCCCACCCAGCTCTAATTGATACCTGGCAAGAGTTTAGGAGACAAAATCAACAAAGAGCAGTCGTGGCCATATGTTGTCTTATGTGATAGAAATAAACTCAGGAGATTGTGAGAACTTGAGTAATAGTAAAGACAAAAATCTTCAACCTTGCCAGTTAGACATGTCTTAAATATTTTATTATGTCTCCTGCCCCCTACATGTTATTACTCCTCTCTCCCAGATTACAGGGATTATCTGAATGTCATGTTATTACTCCTCTCTCCCAGATTACAGGGATTATCTGAATGTCATGTTATTACTCCTCTCTCCCAGATTACAGGGATTATCTGAATGTCATGTTATTACTCCTCTATCCCACTACAGATTACAGGGATTATCTGAATGTCATGTTATTACTCCTCTCTCCCAGATTACAGGGATTATCTGAATGTCATGTTATTACTCCTCTCTCCCAGATTACAGGGATTATCTGAATGTCATGTTATTACTCCTCTCTCCCAGATTACAGGGATTATCTGAATGTCATGTTATTACTCCTCTCTCCCAGATTACAGGGATTATCTGAATGTCATGTTATTACTCCTCTATCCCACTACAGATTACAGGGATTATCTGAATGTCATGTTATTACTCCTCTATCCCACTACAGATTACAGGGATTATCTGAATGTCATGTTATTACTCCTCTATCCCACTACAGATTACAGGGATTATCTGAATGTCATGTTATTACTCCTCTCTCCCAGATTACAGGGATTATCTGAATGTCATGTTATTACTCCTCTCTCCCAGATTACAGGGATTATCTGAATGTCATTTTATTACTCCTCTCTCCCAGATTACAGGGATTATCTGAACGCAGACTTCTCCGGCATCACAGACTGCATGGCTGATGCCCTACTGTCCACCTACCCCAAACCTTACTACTACAAGGGGTTGATAGCCAGGTCCATCCCATTCCTGTACCTGCACCTACCCCCATGGATGTGGAGCCTGGTCATGCCTTACTTGTCAGATAACTTTATATTCCCTTTTGTGGGACCTCCAAGGTAGATAACTGCTTACAGTAACCAAGGGAAGACAACTACCAAAAACAATTTTGTTGCATTTTACTTTTACTGAGCCTTATGAAGAAACATTTCTGCCAAATGAGCCAAGAACAAAGTGTACAAACACCACTCATAATAACTTGACAATATTTTATATGTACATACGTGAAATTTTCAAACAACGGTGAAATCTGGGTGAAGTTACATTCTAATCTTACTTAATGGCTTTAAGGAATGGAATAATAAGTATGACATAATAACCTGTAGGTTAGTGTAATGACATAATGTCCTTGCATATATACTGATGTTGTAATGTCCTAGTATACTAATGTCATAATGTCCTAGTATACTGATGTCATAATGTCCTAGTATACAGATGTCATAATGTCCTAGTATACTGATGTCATGATGTCCTAGTATACTGATATGCTATATTGTCCTAGTATACTGATGTCATAATGTCCTAGTATACTGATGTCATAATGTCCTAGTATACTGATGTCATAATGTCCTAGTATACTGATGTCATGATGTCCTAGTATAATGATGTCATAATGTCCTTGCATATATACTGATGTCATAATGTCCTAGTATACTGATGTCATGATGTCCTAGTATACTGATGTCATGATGTCCTAGTATACTGATGTCATAATGTCCTAGTATACTGATGTCATAATGTCCTAGTATACTGATGTCATGATGTCCTAGTATACTGATGTCATAATGTCCTAGTATACTAATGTCATAATGTCCTAGTATACTGATGTCATAATGTCCTAGTATACTGATGTCATAATGTCCTAGTATACTGATGTCATAATGTCCTAGTATACTGATGTCATAATGTCCTAGTATACTGATGTCATAATGTCCTAGTATACTGATGTCATGATGTCCTAGTATACTGATGTCATGATGTCCTAGTATACTGATGTCATAATGTCCTAGTATAATGATGTCATAATGTCCTTGCATATATACTGATGTCATAATGTCCTAGTATACTGATGCCATGATGTCCTAGTATACTGATGTCATGATGTCCTAGTATACTGATGTCATAATGTCCTAGTATACTGATGTCATAATGTCCTAGTATACTGATGTTAATGTCCTAGTATACTGATGTCATAATGTCCTAGTATACTGATGTCATAATGTCCTAGTATACTGATGTCATGATGTCCTAGTATACTGATGTCATAATGTCCTAGTATACTAATGTCATAATGTCCTAGTATACTGATGTCATAATGTCCTAGTATACTGATGTCATAATGTCCTAGTATACTGATGTCATAATGTCCTAGTATACTGATGTCATAATGTCCTAGTATACTGATGTCGTAATGTCCTAGTATACTGATATCATAATGTCCTAGTATACTGATGTCATAATGTCCTAGTATACTAGTATAACGATGTCATAATGTCCTAGTATACTGATGTCATAATGTCCTAGAATACTGATGTCACAATGTCCTAGTATACTGATGTCATGATGTCCTAGTATACTGATACGCTATATTGTCCTAGTATACTGATGTCATGATGTCCTAGTATACTGATGTCATAATGTCCTAGTATACTGATGTCATAATGTCCTAGTATACAGATGTCATAATGTCCTAGTATACTGATGTCATGATGTCCTAGTATACTGATATGCTATATTGTCCTAGTATACTGATGTCATAATGTCCTAGTATACTGATGTCATAATGTCCTAGTATACTGATGTCATAATGTCCTAGTATACTGATGTCATGATGTCCTAGTATAATGATGTCATAATGTCCTTGCATATATACTGATGTCATAATGTCCTAGTATACTGATGTCATGATGTCCTAGTATACTGATGTCATGATGTCCTAGTATACTGATGTCATAATGTCCTAGTATACTGATGTCATAATGTCCTAGTATACTGATGTCATGATGTCCTAGTATACTGATGTCATAATGTCCTAGTATACTAATGTCATAATGTCCTAGTATACTGATGTCATAATGTCCTAGTATACTGATGTCATAATGTCCTAGTATACTGATGTCATAATGTCCTAGTATACTGATGTCATAATGTCCTAGTATACTGATGTCATAATGTCCTAGTATACTGATGTCATGATGTCCTAGTATACTGATGTCATGATGTCCTAGTATACTGATGTCATAATGTCCTAGTATAATGATGTCATAATGTCCTTGCATATATACTGATGTCATAATGTCCTAGTATACTGATGCCATGATGTCCTAGTATACTGATGTCATGATGTCCTAGTATACTGATGTCATAATGTCCTAGTATACTGATGTCATAATGTCCTAGTATACTGATGTTAATGTCCTAGTATACTGATGTCATAATGTCCTAGTATACTGATGTCATAATGTCCTAGTATACTGATGTCATGATGTCCTAGTATACTGATGTCATAATGTCCTAGTATACTAATGTCATAATGTCCTAGTATACTGATGTCATAATGTCCTAGTATACTGATGTCATAATGTCCTAGTATACTGATGTCATAATGTCCTAGTATACTGATGTCATAATGTCCTAGTATACTGATGTCGTAATGTCCTAGTATACTGATATCATAATGTCCTAGTATACTGATGTCATAATGTCCTAGTATACTAGTATAACGATGTCATAATGTCCTAGTATACTGATGTCATAATGTCCTAGAATACTGATGTCACAATGTCCTAGTATACTGATGTCATGATGTCCTAGTATACTGATACGCTATATTGTCCTAGTATACTGATGTCATGATGTCCTAGTATACTGATGTCATAATGTCCTAGTATACTGATGTCATAATGTCCTAGTATACTGATATTAATAATGAACATGTCATAATGAGCACCCAGCATTTTTGTGTGTATATAAGGAAGTGTATATTTTCAATGGGAACGTACAGTAGGGCATTATGCCTCAGGGTTACTTGTCATATCATAAAGCAAGCATTATGCTTTAGAGTTACCTGACATATCATAAAACAGACATGTCTTAAGGTTACTTGTCATATCATAAAACAGACATTATGCATCAGGTTTACTTGTCATATCATAAAGCAGACATTATGCCTTCGGGTTACTTGTCATATCATAAAGCAGACATGTCTTAAGGTTACTTGTCATATCATAAAGCAAACATTATGCCTCAGGTTTACTTGTCATATCATAAAGCAGACATTATGCCTCAGGTTTACTTGTCATATCATAAAGCAGACATTATGCCTCAGGTTTACTTGTCATATCATAAAGCAGACATGTCTTAAGGGTACTTGTCATATCATATAGCAGACATTTTTGTCATATAAAGCAGACATTATGCCTTAGGTTTAGTTGTCATATCATATAAAGCAAACATTGCCTTGTAATACTTGTCATATTATACTCATGCATAATATTAAGTGTAGAAACCATCAGTTTCAATGTATGTATGTCATTAACGTCAACATTGATAAATAAATGAATACAAAATTTTTAAAAAATTGGTAAGTCTTCAGTTTGTTGTTTATAATGAGAGACCTAGCAACCCTCATAGAGACCTACCAACCCACCCACAGACCTAGCAACCCTCATAGAGACCAACCAACCCACCCACAGACCTACCAACCCTTATAGAGACCAACCAACCCACCCACAGACCTACCAACCCACCCACAGACCAACCAACCCACCCACAGACCTAGCAACCCTCATAGAGACCAACCAACCCACCCACAGACCTACCAACCCACCCACAGACCTACCAACCCACCCACAGACCTAGCAACCCTCATAGAGACCAACCAACCCACCCACAGACCTACCAACCCACCCACAGACGTAGCAACCCTCATAGAGACCAACCAACCCACCCTGATACAGACTAATCCACCCCAAACAGACTTACCCACCCCAAACAGACTAACCAACCCTCCTCAGAAAGACCAACATACAATGTGCCATAGAAAAGCTTGTCAAATTTGAAAGCCTCTGCTGACACCTTAACAGGATATAAACAGTCAAGACCCTTTACAAGCAGGATTAACTGTCAAGGTCTAATATCAACAGGATTAACTGTCAAGGTCTGATTTAAACAGGATTAACTGTCAAGGTCTGATTTAAACAGGATTAACTGTCAAGGTCTGATTTAAACAGGATTAACTGTCAAGGTCTGATTTAAACAGGATTAACTGTCAAGGTCTGATTTAAACAGGATTAACTGTCAAGGTCTGATTTAAACAGGATTAACTGTCAAGGTCTGATTTAAACAGGATTAACTGTCAAGGTCTGATATCAACAGGATTAACTGTCAAGGTCTGATATCAACAGGATTAACTGTCAAGGTCTGATTTAAACAGGATTAACTGTCAAGGTCTGATTTAAACAGGATTAACTGTCAAGACACTAGATAATAGACTAGTTTGTTGACAATGTAAAAACAATAGAAAACCAGAAGAAAGAGTTTTTTACACAGGCGTATAACAATGGTAAACCATCCAGGACAGACAACTCAGAGCAAGTAAAAAATGTAAACTTACATGCTTCAGGGCCCTGCCTCTTGAGGTGGTCAATGAAGCGCGTGTTGTTGGCGAAGAGGCTCCCACACTGCGGGCAGGCCACCACCTTGGCTTGTGTGTGAGAGCGCACGTGGTCCTTCATTTTGTAGATGGATTTTGTGACGCTAGGGCAGCCTACAGAAGGTAACAAGAAATCTCAACATCACAAAAAACACAAAATATTCTTGGATTTCACTTACTATTCTAAAGATAATCAAACAGAATGTTTTTAAACATCAAATGATTTTATTATCTTAATTAATTAGATTGATAAGCAAAATGTTTAATATAACATGATAACTATTTAACAACTCAGGTGTAAAATAATAATTTAAGCTCTGATAAATTGTGGAAGATTCTTGGTTCATAAATGAAAGATAAATGGGAAAAATGTTGGGTCAAGGGTATGTGGAAAATTTCTTTAAAAAAATTATTCATCTCTTATTGGCATCAACATTTTCTTCAAACAAATTAAAAAAATTAAAAAAGATAAGTTTGAAAAATATATGAATCAAAAGTTATATATATATAGATCTATTTATAACAATAGAAGGGATGATATAAATCTTGTGTATAGACTATAGCAGGGGTCTCCAAACTACGGCCCGCGGGCCGGATGTGGCCCGCGAGGTCATTTTATCCGGCCCGCGACCATCTTTTTGTCCACTGAATAAATGTTTGTTGGAGGTGGCTGAGAAGCTTTGCACAGAAAATTCAAAACTATTTGAAAATGTAGCTTTGTGTGCAAATACAATTACTCGCCGTGTTGCAGACATTGGTGAAATTATTGCGACTCAAATAGCAAAAAATTCAAGCAAGTTTCGCCATTTTTTAATTGCAATAGATGATTCGCTGGACAGCTGTTCCACCTCTCAACTTCTTGTGCTCATTAGAGGTGTGGATGAAGACCTGAACATAACACAAGAGCTGGCTTCCCTACCCTACGTATAATGTATGACTCTGTTACCGAAGAGGATATCTAACCATAGATAGTTCAGAGACAAACACAAAATCGCAAGATTTACTATACTTAACATCAGTAAGATTGCTAATTTTGCGAGAAAATTCTGAGCAGAGTATCTAAGAAAAGAAATAGGTGACTTCCTGATAGTAAAGGCAAGTCACAGCCATTATTGTCTGATGAAGAGTGGGTATAGAAATTGGCCTCTGCTGCAGACATAACTAGTCATTTAAATTTTCTGAACCTAAAACGGCAAGAGAGTGAAATCTAGTTTCTGATCTATACACCTACCTAAAGGCCTTTAGATACAAACTTGTCATGTTTTTGGAACAAGTACAGGCTAACAACTTGACATACTTTCAGCAGTGCAAGGTCTTTACGGCTGAAGCAACCACTGAGTTCCCCACGTCATTTACATACAAGATCGTTAAAGACCTACAGCTGCAGTTTCAGTAGCGGTTTTCTGACTTGGATTCAAAGACAGAAGAAGTGAGACTGTTTCAAATGTGGCCAGTTGCAAAGATGAACTGCAGCTAGAAGTCATTGAATTGCAAGAAAATGACTTCCTTAGAGACACGTTCAAAGAAGGGCGGATGGGTTTTCATACGTTTTTGCACAAGGAAGAATTTTCTAACATTAAAACTTTTGCGTCAAAGTACCTTTCAAATTTTCGAATGAAATACGTGAATAAAAATTTGAGAACAAACGTGGACCTTGGGGAGGGGGGTGGGGTGTGTGTGTTGGGGGGTGGGGGGGGGGGGGGGGGTGGACACTTGAAATTTGTATATATTTCTATATAAATTATATTTCATTGGGGGGGGGGGGGGGGGGTAGATGTTCTTCAGGGGGGGGCGCCACGACCCTGAATAGATGCCTTAAAGAAACTCTGGCCCCCGAACTGATATTGATAGTTAATGCGGCCCTCGGGCTGAAAAGTTTGGAGACCCCTGGACTATAGCAATAATTATGCCTCACCTTCCCACTTGCAGGGAAGTTTTACATTTCTTCCTTTAGGGTAGTCCTCACAGTGGTGTGTCACGTGGGAGTAGAAAATATAGGGGTTGTCATACACTAGCTGAAAGTAGACAAATATAAGGGGTTGTCATACACTAGCTGAAAATAGACAAATTTAGGGGTTGTCTTCACAGTGGTGTGTCACGTGGGAGTAGAAAATATGGGGGTTGTCATACACTAGCTGAAAGTAGACAAATATAAGGGGTTGTCATACACTAGCTGAAAATAGACAAATATAGGGGTTGTCATACACTAGCTGAAAGTAGACAAATATAGGGGTTGTCATACACTAGCTGAAAGTAGACAAATATAGGGGTTGTCATACACTAGCTGAAAGTAGACAAATATAGGGGTTGTCATACACTAGCTGAAAGTAGACAAATATAGGGGTTGTCATACACTAGCTGAAAGTAGACAAATATAGGGGTTGTCATACACTAACTGAAAGTAGACAAATATAGGGGTTGTCATACACTAGCTGAAAGTAGACAAATATAGGGGTTGTCATACACTAGCTGAAAGTAGACAAATATAGGGGTTGTCATACACTAGCTGAAAGTAGACAAATATAAGGGGTTGTCATACACTAGCTGAAAATAGACAAATATAGGGGTTGTCATACACTAGCTGAAAGTAGACAAATATAGGGGTTGTCATACACTAGCTGAAAGTAGACAAATATAGGGGTTGTCATACACTAGCTGAAAGTAGACAAATATAGGGGTTGTCATACACTAGCTGAAAGTAGACAAATATAGGGGTTGTCATACACTAGCTGAAAGTAGACAAATATAGGGGTTGTCATACACTAACTGAAAGTAGACAAATATAGGGGTTGTCATACACTAGCTGAAAGTAGACAAATATAGGGGTTGTCATACACTAGCTGAAAGTAGACAAATATAGGGGTTGTCATACACTAGCTGAAAGTAGACAAATATAGGGGTTGTCATACACTAGCTGAAAGTAGAAAAATATAGGTGTCATTCTTTAGATGAAAGTAGACAAAATATAGGGGTTGTCATACTATAGCTGAAAGTAGAAAAATATAGGTGTCATTCTTTAGATGAAAGTAGACAAAATATAGGGGTTGTCATACTATAGCTGAAAGTAGAAAAATATAGGTGTCATTCACTAGATGAAAGTAGACAAATATAAGGGGTTGTCATACAGTAGCTGAAAGTAGACAAATATAGGGGTTGTCATACACTAGCTGAAAGTAGACAAATGTAGGGGTTGTCATACACTAGCTGAAAATAGACAAATATAGGGGTTGTCATACACCAGCTGAAAATAGACAAATATAGGGGTTGTCATACACTAGTTGAAAGTAGACAAATGTAGGGGTTGTCATACACTAGCTGAAAGTAGACAAATATAAGGGGTTGTCATACACTAGCTGAAAATAGACAAATATAGGGGTTGTCATACACTAGCTGAAAGTAGACAAATATAGGGGTTGTCATACACTAGCTGAAAGTAGACAAATATAGGGGTTGTCATACACTAGCTGAAAGTAGACAAATATAGGGGTTGTCATACACTAGCTGAAAGTAGACAAATATAGGGGTTGTCATACACTAGCTGAAAGTAGACAAATATAGGGGTTGTCATACACTAACTGAAAGTAGACAAATATAGGGGTTGTCATACACTAGCTGAAAGTAGATAAATATAGGGGTTGTCATACACTAGCTGAAAGTAGACAAATATAGGGGTTGTCATACACTAGCTGAAAGTAGACAAATATAGGGGTTGTCATACACTAGCTGAAAGTAGAAAAATATAGGTGTCATTCTTTAGATGAAAGTAGACAAAATATAGGGGTTGTCATACTATAGCTGAAAGTAGAAAAATATAGGTGTCATTCTTTAGATGAAAGTAGACAAAATATAGGGGTTGTCATACTATAGCTGAAAGTAGAAAAATATAGGTGTCATTCACTAGATGAAAGTAGACAAATATAAGGGGTTGTCATACAGTAGCTGAAAGTAGACAAATATAGGGGTTGTCATACACTAGCTGAAAGTAGACAAATGTAGGGGTTGTCATACACTAGCTGAAAATAGACAAATATAGGGGTTGTCATACACCAGCTGAAAATAGACAAATATAGGGGTTGTCATACACTAGTTGAAAGTAGACAAATGTAGGGGTTGTCATACACTAGCTGAAAGTAGACAAATATAAGGGGTTGTCATACACCAGCTGAAAGTCAAAAAACAATGGTCATTTAGGTTACTAAAAAAAGTTCAAACTACAAAGTAGTGATGCATTTTTTTTTAAAAAGGAGTTATCTTCTAAAATCAAGACATAATTAACTTGGATACAACAAGCTATACTTTTAACGAACTATACTTTTTTGTAGCAAATCTTGAAACTCAGTTTTGACCCAGTCCTGATACAGTTATTTTATTGATAGAGTGAGTTGTTTTATTTTCTTTCTTTCAGTGCATTTAAAAGTTTGTAATTATAAAGGTTTATATATTTGTTTTTTTTAATATCATTAAGCTCATAAATATCAAGTCACTGGACAGAAACTTTGAAACAAAATAAATTTTCACTATCAACAGTTTAGGAAAATCAAGTCGTAATACTGAAATAATAAAACTAGATTTAAATACCTAAAAATAAAACAACCCCCATAAACAAGTAAAGATACATAAAAATGAAGTTTTTATAAAAATGTTTTAGAAAATGGTGTTCCAATACTGAAGGTAAGAAACCCACCCCACAGTCTTGCCAGCGACACATCAACTTCTCTGGCAGCTCTGGGATGACATTCCTGGACTCTGTCTCCAGCTGACAGCCGTGGAGGTTCTCCACCTTCTGGATGTGCTGGCCCATGTACTTGAGGTACTGGTGGAAGGTGTGGTAGAAGACGTGCCGCGAGAAGTCATCCAGCTGGCCCTCAATGTTCGCATCACAGCCCTGCCACTGGCAGAAGAAGACGTACACCCCTGGGGAGCAGATGGGCACAAATATTTATAATCTAATGAAGACCACAGGGGAGAAATCATAGCTGTCACATTTTTCTATTTTAAAGAAAATGAAATGTTGACCACACAATCTTTTTAAATGTTGAATTAAGAGAAACAAATGAAGCTTATAAAGTAATGATGTGTATAGTTTAAAAAGGTATCTACTAAAATCAAGACACATCATTAATTTTGAATACAACATTTTATACTTTTTCAAGCTTTTATTTGGTTTGTCTGTTTGTTTGTTGGTGGGTTTGAAGCAAATCTTGTAACTCAATTTTAACCCATTTCTGATGCAGCGATTTCAATCACTTTCCAGATACATTCTTCTTCCATAACAATGCAATGCTCTATATTTATTAATCTAATTAATTACTAAATTCAATAATAAAAAGGGAGATAACTAGCTAGATGTAATCGCCCAACTAGTCTGCTGTGCTAGCATTACCACTACACAGCAACCACAAACTTACCTTACCAAGCAGTGCTAGGAGAACCACTGTAAATCAACCACTGACTTACCTGTGCTAACTGTATCATCAGTTCCTATGCATTCTGTGTATCCACGCCGATGTTGATCAACATGGTGATTAAATTCGTTCATACTTGATGATGTATGTTTGCAGTCATTCCATTCACAATGGTAAGTAAACTGATTATCTGATGCTTTTCTTAGGTTTTTGTTTGGTTTCTTTGAATCTGAAGTTGATGAACTGTAAAAAAATTTAAACATAATTATAAGCGAATATAATACCATTTGGATGGGAATAGCCCTAATACGGCAATGTACAATCTGCTATAATTTGACACAAATAGGCCTATAAGATTGAGAATAATAGCTGTGGAAGAGGGCAAATTTAGAGAGCAGTGCAATTTATTATTGTTATATTTTTATAAGAAAAAAAAAGAGTGGTTTAAATTTGTCTTCATAACTGTAGCCTATTGACAAACTATTGATCCATGTTACGTAGGTTAAACGATGTAATAATTATATAACTTTAAGTAATATATCTAGTCATTTTAAATTTAAAACTGCACATCACTTGCATAGGTCACAGTGCAATCTAATTATGATTTCTAAATTGTAATAGAATGAATGTTACGTAGACTAGCATGTCATACCCATCCGCTTATCGCTGTGGGATGACGCAATATTTTAAGAGGATTTCATCAATGTGTTCCCAAACGTATTTTAGGCATGTGACTATGTTTTCTAAAGCTGAATTATAAATGTAATACCAAATAAATGGTAACAAATCACATCCCTGCTGGGGAGCTGTAGAACAATTAGCCACTGAAAATTTATTCTTTTTTTCCCACAGAAAACTCCCCAGCAGTAGGGCCCTATTCTCAACCAATTTTTATCTCTTTTCATTGCTGACAAAATCAAAAATGTAAGCGAAATTTTTTTTTCTCTCTCTACAAATATGCTTGCAATCACGTCACAAGCACACATAATATCATAATTAGGCTACACAATTAGAATTTTTAAAAGAAAGTAAAGTCATCCTTTGGTGGATTTCGTCAAAAATAAAGTTGAAATTTGGAACAGCGAATAGCCAATTTAACTTAATCTTAAAATCGACAAATTTAGATCTAATGAACTATTACTAAAGATCTAATATCAAATCTAAATAATTCCAAATAGCTGAAATCACAAAAATAAATGCTTTGATTTGACTTGTTTTCCTTAGGCCCTAAAACTTATATTTAATATATTGAATTATATTGGCTAAATCTTTGATCTAGCCTACTGAGTAGCCTACATTTTAAAATCCCTAGGCCTAATAATTAGGCCTACTTGATAATTAGTTTGTATTCCAATATTAGGCTAATTAGAAATCTACTGATAGATCTAATCACTAGCTGTAAATCTGTAGAATTTGAATAGAAAACTCATAAAAATTTCACATGCCCATCGTCATAATCATCGTCCTGATCATCAGCATCATCATCGACTTCATAGTCGAAATCTGAAGTTTCTTTTTCGTCCTCTTCGGGTAAGCTATCACTTGAAACTGCACTGTCGTCGTCTGCTGCCATGGTACAAGCAAAGGCATAAAAGATCTAAAAAAATATTGTAAGTCGAATTAGTTCTACGGAGATCGATATGAATTTAATTTAGAATCTAGATCTAGATAGTATCTCGGTCTAACGGCCTTCATGGATTTTCGTTGTCAAAAAGTCGGTTTGGATATTTTATGTTTACTATTTTTAGTTTATACATTAAAAAATATATCGCACTTTAAGTCTAAAATGATTAACAATCAAATTAATCTTACACTGTAGTGTAAAATCCAAATTAATTCTAGATCTAGTTAGATCTAACTAAAATTAAAATATTTTAATAGATTCTAGATCTGATTTAAAACGATGGTCGCACAAGATATCTTTTCAAACACCCAACGTGTTTATGGTCGCTGTTTTTACTAATAATAATTAGGCCTATAGACTAGAATTTCGACCAGTGTTTCTTCCAGACTAGTTTCTCCGGGGGGGGGGGGGGGGGGGGGGGGGGGGGAAGAGAGGGGGTGGGGCACTTAAAATTTTCTGGGGGGGGGGGGGGGGACTAAAATTTCCGGGGGGGGGGGGGCGGACACTGTTGAGCAGGGCTTCTTGTTTCCTGGTTTCTTTCAGACATTTTTTTTTCTATTTCCCCCTCCCCTCCCATACAGAAGGGATGCTTAGGAAAAAAAAGAGTGTGAATGATTGAATACACTAACAGAGTTTCTTCCAGGCATCTCTTCGGGGGGGGGGGGGGGCTGCGACATTTTTTACCGCCCCCCCCCCCCCGAACGGAATGAAATTTATATAATTTATATAGAAAATATATACTTTTAACAGTGTCCGCCCCGCCCCCCCCCCCCCCAAGAAAGTTTACCACCCCCCCCCCCCCCCCGAAAATTTCAAGTGCCCCCCCCCCCCCGGAGAAAAAAGTCTGGAAGAAACACTGTACACTAACTATGCTAACCTACTAAAATTGTAAAAATTCTCATCTCCATTAACTTATTCGTGTGTGTCAGAGTATATGTCTGTCTTTCCCGCATTGCTACATCTTTCACTTTCATCTTTGGGAAGTTGTTGAGATTTTTTTTTTGGGTATTTTTTTTTTAATGGGCGGCGCCCAGCATGGTGCGATTTGGCGCCCGGGCTCCCCCGTGAGCACGATGGTGCCTACATTAGTTTTAAAAGCAGCCTGCACTAGGGACACGGTGGCACACGACATTTAATGATTAAACACTATATATATATATATATATATATATATATATATATATATATATATATATATATATATATATATATATATATATATCAGAGGCGTAGCGAGGGCGGGGAGGGGGGTGTGGACCGCACCGGGTGACACCATTTAGAGGGGTGACACCAGGGCAAAAAAAAAAATGCAAAGTGTGCAGGAAAGAAAGGCCCTTTGCCAGTTCCATTAATGATTAATGAAAGTTAAATAATTTTTTAAGTACAAATCGACAATTATTACAAGAGGGTGGGGATGACGCCATGACGTAAACATGCTCACTATAGAGTATATATATATATATATATATGTATACATATATATATATATATATATATATATATATATATATATATATATATATATATATATATATATATATATATATATATATATATATATATATATATGTGTGTGTGTGTGTGTGTTTGTGTGTATGTGTATACTTTGTTTCTTGGGGATAGTGACACCACGAAGTGCCGCGCCGGGTGATACCCGACATCTGCTAGTAATGGTTTTTACCCCCCCCCCCTCCCGTTATTCTCCCCTCCCCACGGACTTTATTATAACATGAAGTTCTCGAGTTTATTTCAGCTATTGATGACTGGGTTCAAATATTCAACCGGTATCGATTTAACTGGCTTGATTCTATTTTTACACTGTCACATTAACCCTCCTTCACCTGTATGGTGGACAGCCATAACTTTAATTGATGTTGATTGATTGATTTTTAGTTAAATGCTAATGTGGTTAAATATTACGTGTAAAACGGAACCATCTTACCCACATTGAAAGCAGCCACCAGAAACCATCTTACCCAACATAGATGTAATGGCCAGCGGCCAGCACTTAAGTACCATAACAAGCACCATTTTAAATACCAGTTTATTTTATGGTGAACGGAAAAAAAGTCACAGGAAAAAAAAAACAGAAAAAAAGTCAGTTTTTGCTAGGGAAAAAAGTCACAGAAAAAAAAGTCACAATGGAAAAATGTTATCGAAAAAAAAAAGTCACAGAAATAAAGTCACAGAAAAAAAGTCACAAAAATCTTTGTCAGAAATATTTTGATTTGTTTCTTGAAAATTGTAAAATTCTGTATGTTTATTGTTATGGGTTGTATTATTTGATAGCATATATTATTTATAGACGTTAAAAGCATTATTGTTTATAACAATTGTAAGTAAAAATAAACCGGGAGTGATCTCCCCAAAACTTTCTCGAATATTCTTATATAACCTGGAATATAGACATGATTTTTAATTACTTAAACTTTTGAAAATAGAATAGAATCTCATAGAAAAAAAAAATTGCGCACCAAGCGAACGCCAAAACAAAATGTGCATAATAGTGCGCAATATTATTAGTACTTTATAAATTTACATGCGTTTTTTTTTTTTTGAGAAATAGGAAATAGCGTAAATTAGTACTTCCGGTAAACGGAAATTACTCAAAATTTGACAGAAGGTAGAGAATTAGATCTTTAAACTTACATGTGAAATTTCATTTATCTATCCTAAATAGTACTCAAGTTATAGGCTTTTGAAAAAGTCAAAGTAGAAAAAGTACCACTTCCGGTTATCGGAAATCGCTCAAAAGTTGATACGGATCTACGATTTTGATAAAATACTTATATAGGAAATTTCATCAACCTAGCTGTAACGGTACTCAAGTTATCGTGTTTACGCACAGACAGACACACAGACAGACACACCGACAGACACACAGACAGACACACAGACATACGGACAAGATTGCAAAATTAAGTTTTTCCGTATCAGTGAGGTGTAAAACGTCGAGATTTGTAAAAATCTCGATTTTTTTTTTTTCACGATTACAAGACTTTCTCTATACTTTGTATAATAATATACGAGAAAGTAAAAAATACTCTAAGATAATTTACAATCTCAACTTGTGTTACGAATTTAGTTAAATACGCGGTAGAAAAGTTAATTATAATAGAAATTTAGACATATCATTGTGTTTTACATATGTTTTGCCATAAGCTATTCTCTGGTCGGCCTCTCCTAATTCGGCCAAGAACATATCGTGTGTTGTTGACGTTTTGTGTCAATGACAGCCTTTGAACCTTATCGGCTTTCTGTTTTGATCCTAAGTTTTGTTATGTAATGAGCGTGATAAATGTGGGCAGTAAAGGTGGTTGAACTAAACATAACTATTGTTGCGATGAGTTGAGGGCGGCAAGTTAGATGAACTTACCATTTCACGGTAATTTAGTGTTAGTATTTTAAAAAAAACCCGATGAAAACCGAGGACGTTGGAACATTCTATTAAATGCTATTAATATTATGTTTAACATAATTACAATATACATAATTCATACGAAATATGTTTAGATTAATTATAAAAATTACCATTTGTATAAAACCTACACACATAACATTACATTTAATTAATCCTAAGTTAATTTGCATTATCTGAATATATAATTCATAAAAGTATTAACAAATTCCATTCACATACATATTTGTGACTTTTTTTCCTGTGTTTTTTTTCCTGTGACTTTTTTTCCTGTGACTTTTTTCTGTTTTTTTTCCCTGTGTTTTTTTTCTGTGACTTTTTTTCCTACAATCTATTTTATACACTGAACAATCGTGGTGGTATATTAAAATAATTATTTTATTTCATGCAAACACGCCCATTTCATAAATAAACAATTGAAAACTTCAAACGCCACTGTGTACAACCTAAAAACCACATTAATTCTCATATGTATGGCAATTCAAACATGTTTATCGTAAATAAATAGATTGAAATAACAAGCACATTTATTCAAACTTTCAGCAACCAATCACACACTTCCATGCGACATTCTATATTTACGCCAACCAATCAAAACGCTGCCCGACAATTTCAAAAAACTTCTCATTGTAAGGTACAAAGAAATCGATAAGTTTACGTTTGAAATCTGGCTCGATGTCAACGTGTTCACGTCCCTTGCTCTTCCCCAGACACTTGGTTTCCCCGGTCAAGCGCACCTTCATGCAGTAAAAACCTTTGGCCGTGTCGAAGTAAATGTCCTCCTCTGTGACCTCGTGACCCAGACCGAGGAAGGTTTCTACACGCCGGACCTGGGAGAGTGGGTCGGTCACCAGCTTGTCCCCGTCCACGATCAGGACCTGAGGACAGGGGTAGGACATTTTATTTTAGGACATGGGATAAGGAAAACAGTAGATTGAAGTAGAGATAAGGACAGGGGTGGTCGTCCATACATGATATCAAGCATTTTAATCCCCCCCCCCCCTTTTCTAAAAACTGCCGTCATTCGCCATAAAAAAACATCGGTAATGACGTCATGTGTTTAGGTTCATATCCGTCTGCACACTTTTCTTCCAGATTGACGTCATACGCCCCCCCCCCCAATGAACCAACTGACACCAGCACCCCCCTCACCCTCTTGTAAGGCAGACACAAAACACTACATAGGGAGGGCGGGGATGTCAACATTTGTTACCCCACCCGCACATGGTCAACACACACACATTCACCACCATTGTATGATACTAACATAAATAGGCCTGGAGTGGAAGGTACTCCATTTTTGTATGATACTATCATTGATATGCTTAGACGACCATTGCATGATGTTATCATTGATAGGCCTAGAAGGTATATTACCATTGTATGATACTATCATTAATAGGCCTAGAAGGTACACGATCATTGTATGATACTATCATTGATAGGCCTAGAAGGTATATTACCATTGTATGATACTATCATTAATACGCATAGAAGGTACGCGATCTTTGTATGATACTATCATTGATAGGCCTAGAAGGTATATTACCATTGTATGATACTATCATTAATAGGCCAAGAAGGTGCACCATTATTGTATGATACTATCATTGATAGGCCTATAGGTAAATCATTATTGTATGATACTATCATTGATAGGCCTAGAAGGTACACCACTATTGTATGATACTATCATTGATAGGCCTACAAAGTACACCATCATTGTATGATACTATCATTGATAGGCCTAGAAGGTACACCACTATTGTATGATACTATCATTGATAGGCCTACAAAGTACACCATCATTGTATGATACTATCATTGATAGGCCTAGAAGGTACACCACTATTGTATGATACTATCATTGATAGGCCTACAAAGTACACCATCATTGTATGATACTATCATTGATAGGCCTATAGGTACACCACCATTGTATGATACTATCGTTGATAGGCTTATAACTATAGGTACACCATCATTGTAATATACAAACATAGATAGGTCTAGAAGGTACACCATTATTGTATAATATTATCATTGACAAGCCTATAATAGTCAACATGCCGTGGACACGTCGATATCGAACTTATAAAAGCCCATTAAAAACAAAAGTTCACTGATTGATCGATAGCTGAATATCCGAATACATGCACATGTAATGAAGAAGCTTCAAACGTTGATTACACATGTAATCATAAAACTTCAAACGTTCGTTACACATGTAATGAAGAAACTTCAAACAGTAGATACACATGTAATAATAAAACTTCAAACGTTCTTTACACATGTAATGGTGAAACTTCAAACGATCGTCACACAAGTATGAAGGCAAGTTTAAATGTTAGAAAGAGGTTTAGAAAATTAGAGTTTAGTTTTATCGACAAGGGGGTAATTTCCTGGGACAGTATTTAGGCAATGGGTAGTAATTGACCCTGGGGGCTAAGTTGTGGAGGGAAATTACCAGAAAGGGGGAGGGGGGGATTGTCAGGGGGATTCCTTGCTCCAGGGCTAGTGGTCTTGTCAGGTTTTGGGGCCGCATTATTGCTGCATTATCACCGTCACAAGTCACAAGCATGTTAATCTAGAAAACCGATGATCAAATATTTCTTACCTGGAGAAGTGACGCGTGAATATTTCTTACCTGGAGAATTGATATGAGAATATTTCTTACCTGAACAATTGATATGAGAATATTTCTTACCTGAACAATTGATGCGAGAATATTTCTCACCTGGGCCATTGGTACGTGAACATAACTTACCTGGGCCATTGGTACGTGAACATAACTTACCTGGGCCATTGGTACGTGAACATAACTTACCTGGGCCATTGGTACGTGAACATAACTTACCTGGGCCATTGGTACGTGAACATAACTTACCTGGGCCATTGGTACGTGAACATAACTTACCTGGTTACGAGGGAACACCTTGAGGAGGTGCTCAAAGTGAGGCGTGTAGTTGCCCACTTTGAGAATCTGCGTGGCGCGGAACTCGCCCGTCCTGTCGTTGTAGACACGCTCCTGGAAGGTCATGGCCGGTCTACCCCAGTAGGTCTCTGTGGCGTAGTAGTGGCCATACTCGGACAGCAGACGTGTGATGGGGTCACGGACGATGACCATGACCTGGGGGTCATGACATGTTTGTGACAAATTTGTGACAACTTTGCGACAAGTTTGTAACATATGTTACAAGTCTGAACATTTTGCAACAAGTAGGTACCAAATGTATAACAAGTTGATAACACGTGTGTTATTTGTTTGTAACAATTTTATAACAAAAGGGTAACAAGTTTGCAACAGCGTATAAGATATACAAGATACACCATGATACAAAGATATACAAATATATAATCACGCCAGACACATAAGATTTTAATCACATATAGACATATAAACACACAAGATCACATTGGTGGTACTAAACACAATCACACACAATCAAAAACGACACAACTACACCTTGCGAAACCATGCTCCACACAACCGCCCACCCCTACGCATCCTACCCACCCCTTACACACATCCCACCCTCTACACAATCACTCCACCCCTACGCATCCTACCCAGTGTTTCTTCCAGACTTTTCTCTCCTGGGGGGCACTTGAAATTTTCGGGGGGGGGGGGGGGGGGGGGGGCGGTAGACTTTCTTCGGGGGGGGGGGGGGGCGGTAGACTTTGTTCGGGGCGGGGTGCGGCGGACACTGTTAAAAGTATATATTATCTATATAAATTATATAAAAACTTCATTTCGTTCGGGAGGGGGGGGGGGCGGTAGAAATTTTTCGGGGGGAGGGGGCTTAGCCCCCCCCCCCCCGAAGAGATGCCTGGAAGAAACTCTGATCCTACCCACCCCTTACACACACCCCTCCCCTACCCTACACGACTACACCACCCCATACATATCCACCTCTACCCATACTACTTTTTCCCTACACAACCACCCTATTCACTACACAACCGTCCCAACCCTACACAGTCACCCCACCCCTACCCCCCCCCCCATCCACCCACCTTGAGTGAGCTGTTCATGGCATGCATCCTTAGATGTGAGTCATGCTCCACGATGTAGCAGGGCGATTTCTCTATCGTGATCTGGTCGGAGAAGGATGGAGGCATCTTCTTCACGTACCTAAAGGGTTAAAACAGTCACCAGAATCTTTGTTTGTTAAATTCGTTTAGATGGGGTTGGGGGAGGGGGGGGGGGGGTCGCCAATTAGTTGTGCTAACTCTGGCCTGGTAAATACGAATACAACAGCGTTTCAGGTGTCACCTTTGTGATAACTAATAACGACAATGAACACTAAAGACAATGAAACCCAAATTCGATGTTTACTTAACGCCATTAAACTCTGGCCTGGTAAATACGAATTTAAATTTTTTTTAAGCGTTTTTAAATGTCACCTTTGTGATAAATAATAACGACAATTAACACTAAAGACAATGAAAGCCAAAGACGATGATTACTTAACGCCAATAAAGATTTATAGTAACGAAAATTACCATTACAGATTTATAATAACGGTAATTACCATTGAAGGTCGTATTTTTGGTACATTCGCTCGCAGAAGTAATCAGGCTCCCACTCCAGGGAGACGATCTTGGGGTGAAGGTCAAGGAATTCTAGCAGAGCAGACGTTCCACATTTTCCAAAACCTAAGAGGATACACTGTGGCGGTCTGTGAGCCGGGAGTTCTGAAAGTTGTGTCAGACTTTTTAAAGTTTGTGTTCGCTGTTATTTTGTTGGCAAGATGGAAGCCGACAGTGACAGGTATTCATTTATACGTATTGAGGGTATTTTGAGATGTACAAAAAAATGTGATATATGTAAATTGTGAATGGTAAGGGATTTAGTGTTTGCATTATATACAAAAGTAAAAAGTAAAGAATCCTCTTTAGAGATAGTAATCCATTGTGCAGATGAAGTAGGGTTCACGTTTCTTGACCTCGGCATATGAAGAGATAGCGTGGTCAGCACTAAGTCCAGCCGCTTTTACTTTCCCTAACTTGATTTAGGAACCTATCAGAGCTGGGTGGACTCAGGGACGGTCGACTGTCAGGTACCCATCAGAGCTGGGTGGACTCAGGGACGTTCGACTGTCAGGTACCCATCAGAGCTGGGTGGACTCAGGGACGTCCTACTGACTTAAACCCGGATTAGAAAAAACTTGAGACGTTCGGGTTAGCAGCCGAGCGTTCTACCGTTTAGGCCACGCAGTCCCCCATTTGTATTATATGAGTTTAAATAATTCAAGGGAGTTTGTTGTTCTTAACTGATCCAACCAGTTGTTCTTGTTGTAGTTGAGTAATTGTGAAATATTTTTTTAAGTTTTAATGTTCATTTTAATTAAAGTTACGTCATAAAGTTCATTGAAAAATATGTCTCTATCGATGTATCGCACAGACATAACACAAAGCTATGGATATGAAAGGTCGTGAAATGACATAAACAAAATGGCGTTACCTTTTAGGCCCAGAGGGGTCAAGGACACGTTGACGATCCTCTCGATCGGCTGCGGGAAAAGGTCCTTGCCCTTGGGGCGCCGTATGAGGATGACCTGGTTGTTCTCGTTGGTCGTCTGCCGGGGGGCGTACAGTGCCGGTAGCATCCCGTCTGGGAACTCAGCCTCGTTTTGGGTGAACCCATCCCCTGTGAGGTCAAACAGAGGCTGCATTATGTCAACACCGGGAGGGTGGGGTGGGGTCAGGATGTTTTATAACAAGCATGAGAGGGTGTTAAGGTGTTTGTGTACTAGCAGTGGCGGCGCCAGGTAATCTAGCGGCCTAGGCAAAACTTATTAAAACGCCCCCCCCCCCCCCGCCGCAATTTTTTTTTGAGCCCCCATATATATATATATATATATATATATATATATATATATATATATATATATATATATATATATATATATATATATATATATATTAGAAGTCTGTCTCACTAAATTCTAAATTTAAACATTTCATCGCAAAGTATGCCCATCATGAGACAACAAATCACACACAGAGATAGGCTCGAACTCAATTTCTGGCCTGGAGTAATCAAGTTTTAAAATTTCTCATTTACGCCCAGCGAAGATTTTTGAAATTGTGTCACAGTTCTTATAATAAAGGAACTTTGTGGCCGTCCACTATCAGGTACTTAAAACATTGGCCGTCCATCACACTATGTTTAAGTTATTGGCCGTCTAAAAACTGATATTTTACCGTTGTCCAGTTTTATGTTACTATTTTTATCTTTGTTTTGTGAGAACTGTTCTAGATTTACAATTTTTTTTTTCTGACGTGTTCTTACAGTCACATTTGTGAATATATTAATATATACATTCTAGAAAACGTCTAGGTTTCATTTATTCACTCCAGACAATTGAAATGATTTGTTAATTAATTGTTAATTTGATGTCGGAAGAAGAGGGATGAAGTTAAGAAAGGAATCATCTCATAAGGAAGGGGATAATCTCGTAAGCTGGATCAAAAAATGTGCAGTGGTAATTTTAATATGATAGTACCCGTTTAGAACATAATAGTAATACGCTTAAATGATTGGACACAAAAACCCAAATGCATCAATCCAAGTGACTTATAATTAATTTAATTTTAAAGTCTAAAAGTAAAGTATCTGTTATATCTATGGGTTTTCTATTTAAACTATATTCAAAAACAATTTTGAAATTTATACAATAGATATTATTTACTAATTTTTAATGGAAATATCATTATCTCTATGTTGCTATAAAAAAATAATGACATAAAATTAATTAAACAATTTGAACAATTTATGTTTCGGCTTGAGAGAACAAAGCTACTAGTTGTATCTCTTGGTTATTTAAAACTTTTTTCAACATGATTAAAACTTTTTTCTTTTTTTCTTTACATAGCAATGTGAATATTTTTAAACTTGTTATACAGGGTTATTTTTTTACGCCTTTGTATATAGTTAATTTGATCTAATCAAAGTTATAAATTATAAGGTACTTTTTAATAACGACGATTTCACATTTTTACGCCCCCCTATGGACAGCGCCCTAGGCGACCGCCTAGTTCGCCTTATAGGTAGCACCGGCCCTGTGTACAAGTGGTGTGTTATTTTCTTGTTTCTGGTGTGTTAATACGTGTGTCAAGTGTGTGTAAATGCGATGTGCTCATGTTTTGATGAATGTCTGATTTCTTATGTAAAGAAGAACCAATATGGTTGCCAATGGTTGCCATAGCGACCCCCTCACCCACCAATATGGTTGTCATAGCGACCACCCCACCCTACAATATGGTTGCCATAGCGACCCCCTCACCCATAATTCTGGTTGCCATAGCGACCAACTCACCCACCAATATGGTTGCCATAGCGACCCCCACCCATTTTTCTAGTTGCCATAGCGACCCACTAACCATCATTCTGGTTACCATAGCGACCGACTTACCCACGACGCCTGTCCTCATCAAGTCTACCGAGGCCAGTAGACGAGGGAAGAGGAACCTGGAGCTGACCCACACCGTGGTCAGTGCGGTCAAGCCAATCAGCAGGCAGCTGACGGGCAGGACCTTGGACCAGTAGACCTTCACTGACCTCATGCTGACCAGCCGCAGATCTAAATATAGAACAGGGCGGGGGACCTAATCAATAACACTGGTATTTGAAACAGTTGTTTTATCACGATAAAGTAGACATTACAACGTATATTTACCTTTATACCTGATTACCTGTATCCCAAAATAATTGTTAAATTGATAAAAACAATATTTTATTTATGCACTAACAAAAGTAGAACATCGATATGCAATAATGAACCATTAATCGTACAGTTTGTAGCTATGACCTAAAGAGAAAGGATTTCGTTTAAAATAAAATCAATAACGCTATTCTCGTTTACTTGCGACATTTTATATTCAATACACTTTACAAGATCGTTTGATTGCTTAGTATCTTAAAAGCCAAGTAACAAAATGGTCTTCTTTAATTTATGATGATTTCAAAAGCACAACAATTGTTTATTTAACATCCCCGACCCACGAGCATTATGATGTATTCACTGTCTTCACATCACCATCATCTAACGTTACTTTTGTTGAAGTATGGGCCAGCGTTCTCTGTCCTGCTGTAGTATGGGCCACCAACTACAGCTCTCCAGAGTTCTCTGTCCTGCTGGAGTATGGGCCACCAACTACAGCTCTCCAGAGTTCTCTGTCCTGCTGGAGTATGGGCCACCAACTACAGTTCTCCAAAGTTCTCTTTCCTGCTGTAGTATGGGCGACCAACTACAGTTCTCTTTCCTGATGGAGTATGGGCCACCAACTACAGCTCTCCAAAGTTCTCTTTCCTGCTGTAGTATGGGCGACTAACTACAGTTCTCTGTCCTGCTGTAGTATGGGCGACCAACTACAGCTCTCCAAAGTTCTCTGTCCTGCTGGAGTATGGGCCACCAACTACAGCTCTCCAGAGTTCTCTGTCCTGCTGGGGTATTGGCCACCAACTACAGCTCTCCAGAGTTCTCTGTCCGGCTGGAGTATGGGCCACCAACTACAGTTCTCCAAAGTTCTCTTTCCTGATGGAGTATGGGCCACCAACTACAGCTCTCCAAAGTTCTCTTTCCTGCTGTAGTATGGGCGACCAACTACAGCTCTCTTTCCTGCTGTAGTATGGGCCACCAACTACAGCTCTCCAAAGTTCTCTGTCCTGCTGGAGTATGGTCCACCAACTACAGCTCTCCAGAGTTCTCTGTCCTGCTGGAGTATGGGCCACCAACTACAGCTCTCTTGAGTTCTCTGTCCTGCTGGAGTATGGGCCACCAACTACAGCTCTCCAAAGTTCTCTTTCCTGCTGTAGTATGGGCCACCAACTACAGCTCTCCAGAGTTCTCTGTCCTGCTGGAGTATGGGCCACCAACTACAGTTCTCCAAAGTTCTCTTTCCTGCTGTAGTATGGGCGACCAACTACAGTTCTCTTTCCTGATGGAGTATGGGCCACCAACTACAGCTCTCCAAAGTTCTCTTTCCTGCTGTAGTATGGGCGACTAACTACAGTTCTCTGTCCTGCTGTAGTATGGGCGACCAACTACAGCTCTCCAAAGTTCTCTGTCCTGCTGGAGTATGGGCCACCAACTACAGCTCTCCAGAGTTCTCTGTCCTGCTGGGGTATTGGCCACCAACTACAGCTCTCCAGAGTTCTCTGTCCGGCTGGAGTATGGGCCACCAACTACAGTTCTCCAAAGTTCTCTTTCCTGATGGAGTATGGGCCACCAACTACAGCTCTCCAAAGTTCTCTTTCCTGCTGTAGTATGGGCGACCAACTACAGCTCTCTTTCCTGCTGTAGTATGGGCCACCAACTACAGTTCTCCAAAGTTCTCTGTCCTGCTGGAGTATGGTCCACCAACTACAGCTCTCCAGAGTTCTCTGTCCTGCTGGAGTATGGGCCACCAACTACAGCTCTCCAGAGTTCTCTGTCCTGCTGGAGTATGGGCCACCAACTACAGCTCTCCAGAGTTCTCTGTCCTGCTGGACTATGGGCCACCAACTACAGCTTTCTAGAGCTCTGTCCTGCTGGAGTATGGGCCACCAACTACAGCTCTCCAGAGTTCTCTGTCCTGCTGGAGTTTTAGCCTGGTGATGTTGGTAGGTCCTTTATGTAATGTTGAATAAGACGCCACTTCACTGAACACGGAGCTGTAGTAGATCCTTTGGTTAAACTAGGATGTTCTAAAGCTGCACTAACCGTGTTAATTAAGCTATATTAGAAGGAAGCAGATGTTGGTTGTTTATTATTGTTAACAAAGGAATTTAATTTTCAAAAAAAACAACACTTTGCTAAAGGCTATTATTTTTTTAAAGTAACACCAGCCCGTTTAACTTTCGATCTTACTTGAGTTTATGTTTGAAGTAGCAGTAATCTAGATCTTATTAAAATGGCATTTAGCCATCTTTTTTCTTCTTCAATATACAGAAAAGGTTAAACTACTCGAAAAAGAAATGACTTGTTCCTACCTTTCTCGTGGGAGAAACAAAGCCCTTCTTCAGGCAGATGTCACGACCCCAAAAAGATGGTGATGTGTAGAGGCGACTGGTTGCTTGCCGTAGACTAGACGTATTACGATAGGTCCTGGGCCTAACCTAGATAGCCAAGTTTTCACACCCCGACCATCTAACGTTCTCACGGGGTAAATAAGTTGAGACGTGAGTTGATCAGAATTGATTTTAGTCCGGATATTTTTTTAAAAATGCGGTTATTAAACCTTTGACCGTGCACAGTTCGTAGCCCGTGATTTTTATAGCCACGGGTGTTTTTAGGCTTAAACGTACAGATACATTAGAAAGTTATTTGTAGCCCTCGAAGTTTTGTAGCCCTCGAAGTTTTGTAGCCCTAGAAGACAGTAAATAGCCCACAGCGGATTAAAAATATGTAAAATATGTAAAGATCAAAGCGAGGAGAAATATAACAATCAACCCTGATCCTTTGTTTAATGAAGAAAGAAACAACTGTGGCTAGATCTAAATGCCTTCGTTCAAGAACTCCAAAAACTATCGCCCCACTATAGCTGCATCCAGGCAGGAAGAACGTGGTTCCTACACATCGTGAAGGACGCTGCGGATGAAAATCTTTTCCTCCATCTGCTGTCAAAGCCCCGCGTACAAGTAATTAGGCTGTCAGTACACGCAGGGATAATGAAACCATGTTAAAGCGTATGGTAGACCGATGCAGTAAATGTTTAACCAACTCAAACCGATACCGCGACAAATGTTAAAATTGTTTGGGAAAATACTGCTGAACCCCTTAAAGTCAAGAGTTTTTGGAACAGTAAAACCAGGGACCAGAATTTCTTTCGGACGTTTCTTCGGGGGGGGGGGGGGGGGGGGGGGGGGGGGGGGGGGGCATTGTCTCCACCATCCCAGCCCCAACCCCCGGAAAGAAATAGAAGAAAAAATTATTTTTTTAGGGGTCATCCATAAATGACGTCACGCTTTTTAAACGATTTTTACCCCCCCCCCCCCTCCTCCCCTCCGTGTCAAACATCATCACAAAAGAAAAAGCCAGCCCCCCCCCTAAAATGACGTCACACCTCAGCCTACAACCCCTTCAAAATTGCAGGTGAATTTTTCTTAAAATACGATATTTTTCCAAAATCTTGTCTGAACTCTGTCAGCATAGAGTATTTTAATCAATTCATATAACAATTTATTAAAACAGTTTTCTAAAACGCAAAATAACTGCTTAAATTCGTTTTCTAACATTGCTTTTTTATACTGCAAAACGTGTGACGTCACACAATCTGCCCCCCCCCCCCCCCCTTCATCACACACCGTCCCAAAATTACGGACCCACCCCCACCCCTTCCCCCTACGAGTGTGACGTTTTTTATGGGCGACCCCATATAGAAAATATTTTCTATAACCAGTGTCCGCCCCCTTTTCCTCGGGAAACTTAGTCCGCCCTACTGATTGTTTCAATGCACCCACCTCGCCCTTCTGAGAAAAATGTCTGAAAGAAACACTGCGTGGAACTCGCATTTTCAGAAAAAGGGAAGGAGTAATGTTAAAAATAAAGTACAACACAACCGTGGTCATAACACGGATGAATAGAGCGATCGTTAGTGAAAACAGAACAGTTTAACTCAGCACACAACAGCTGTAACACGATTCTATATTTATCATTAGCATTCGTGTAGGTCTACGTGTGTTGCCTAATTGGTCTACTAGATGAAGCTAAATTTAGATCTTGATATTAGAATGTTTTAGTTTTCAATAAATCTTTATCAAATACCATCTGTGATCCATATTTTTTTTTTAAAGCGTCGATTACACCCATTTCACGTAAATTAAAATGTAAATGCTTGTGACACTTTGTTTTGAGCGCTTTCGCGGGATAGCAGGTGACGCAGGTCCCATCAGAGTGGGCAGGTTTTTGGGTGGTACTCGGTCTGTGACGTGAAATTCGGCCCTTTGAACGTCTGCCTTCCAGAGGCGTAGCGACCCTTCCCGGCGCCCGGGAACAAACTTTTGATTTGCACCCCCTCCGTCAAACTTTCGATTTGCACCCCCCCCCACTCAAGGATTTCGATGTGCACCCCCCTCAACCTATCAATTTATTTATTTATTATTAATATATGTTCCCTAAGGTCGGCGCCCGGGGACATATGTCCCCCCCCCCCCCTCGCTACGCTACTGCTGCCTTCCCTTATCTGACGTCCTTAAAAGGACCATCTAAATCTAAATATAGAACACAAAGAAAAGTAACGTTTTAAAATATTCATTTTTTTTCTTATTAATGCGAAACTAACAGTGGACTACTTTTAGCATAAGCTCTAGGCCTACTTTCGACAAGGTCTATTCTTACTAAGAATTTCTTAGTAAGCAATCTTAGGTCCACTTTCAGTTTCACATGCTTACAACTAGCTAGATCTATTAGATCTAGATCTAGATCTTTGACACTATAATAATGAAAGCGTCAAGAGAAAATTTGAAAGAAATACGAGTGTCCGGGCGACATACGAGATGGAAATGTCGTATGTCGGACACTTATATTTATTTACCATTAACTATTAAGTATTAGGCCTAGAGAATCTAGATCTATAGTTATAGGCCTATTACATTATTACTATTATAATTATTTAATTAATAAATATTATATCTAGATCTAGAATCTAGATCTCTATTTCTATGTCGAGATATCCACTGTAGTCTATAGATTCTATAATAATATATTAGATTATATATTTTAATATACTTAGGCCTATAGATCTAGATTCTAGATCTATTTCAAGGCCTAGAAAATCGCACATTGTCCCATCTCTGAGCCACCAGGTTTGATGTAAAGAAAAAATATTGTGTCAGCAGTTAAATGTTTTTATTACAATGGTTTTCCGTCTTATTTGTTGTTTTTTTTTTTACATTTTCAGGGTGATTAAAGACAACTAAAAATATGGCAGCAGAAAGTATTCTTCAAGATCAGCAGTTTATTAGAGAGGTTATGGATGCATGTACCCATGACATTGTCACTGAAGTTAAATATGAATACATAAGGGGACGGATCCTTCCTCTGTTTTCATCTTTGACATTACAGAGAGCAGAGGTATCAGCTTTATTATTCTGTTTTTTGCACTTGGTGATACTTACTAATTAGTATAATAGCTAGTATCATTGACAATATCAATCATGCACTAAATTTAACCACCCACCAATACCTAAGCTTTGAAAGTTAAGCAATAGGTTGATCATCTGTATAAAAATGTGTGTTAGTTAATCAAATATAACCCTAATTAGTAATTCTCAATAGTTTTTGTGATATTAAATGTATTTACTTAGCCATATATGAATAAATGCTGTTTATAAAATTATTTTTTAGTTTGCTAAATTGTGACATCACACCTCTCCCCCCCCTCCAAAAAAAACAACCTCCAACCCATTCTCCCCCCCCCCCCCCCCCCCCCCATCACCACTTCCACTGTTGCTACTGTATTTATAGTCAATAGCCCTTGCCACTATTTTTAGGTTTGTTATATAAAATCTCAACCAAAACAAAGTCAGCAATTGGAATTGGAAACATTGATTTTAACTTGAGGCAAACTGCATTTTTAAAAATTTCCTTATTTGCTTAGACAGATTGTTAGCTAATTTTCAAATATTTTGTTATTTTATTTTATCTTATCAAATTAAGCAATATCCTTTAGCAGAAAAAAAAGGTCAAAATTCAGTTCACAATTATTTTTATAATAGGAAGAATTTTCTATTTAAAAACCTATTCCACAAAATCTTTTTACTAATCTACTTTGTATCTAACAAGTTGGATTGAGTTTGAACTATGAAAGTATACATTAATAAAGAAATAATTATTGAAAACTTTCAATTAATTTTTTTTTATTTCAGGGAAAAAATCGGGGTAATCCAGAAATAATGCAAAACATCTGTAGTAGTGTGAAAACATTATCACATGAAAATTTTGTCAAGTTTGTTCAAGCAGTGGATGTGGATTATGGTCATGTGGCTGAAACTTTGCGCTCGGAATATAAAAAAGTGTCAGGGCGGCAACTATCTGAAGGTGGCTTGCAATAGAATGAGGTAACCTTAGTGCACCTGTCTGACATTTTTACTAAATTACAAACATAATGATTTAACCTGACTAAACTGACACAGCTAATGATTTTTTAATCCCCAAATTGTTATCAACAGTGCTAACTTTAAGTTTAGTTTGTAGGCTATGGTTAGTTGGTAATTAAATGCAGCATTAATTTAAATTAGTTAACAAGTTTCTAGTACACTAAATGGAGGTGTAGATTCGAGCAGTTTAAAAACTTGTTTTTTAGAGAAACAAAGATTAGTTTTACTTATTTGATCAGTGAAGTAAAATTTCATTTCTTTTTAGAAATGAATAAAAGAAAGTTGATTACACAGGTTAAAAATTCAAATTTTTTTTAATGATTTTATGGAAAAACATGTATTTATTGACAAGTCAAAGTGGCCAAATCTCACTAGCAACCCATAACTTAGCCACTTTGTATTTTTTTTTTACACATTTGGTTGGCTGCTACCAAAACCTGGCAAGCTAACATTTTCTTTCACATTTGGTTTTCTGACCTAAAAACTTGACCTTTAACCCTCTGTGTCGACCTACTCTGGTTTATGTTTTGAACATTTTATTTTGTTCAGTTATTTGTGGTGGAGCCCGGCGCTCTATTAGGGTAGAACCAAATGTGGCTCTTTACTGAAGTAGAGCCAGTCTCGGCCCTCTACTGGGGTAGAGCCCGGCATGTCTCTTTACTGTTTGGCTTACTTTACTTGTCTTGTTTAGACCCTTAACAAATTTTATACTTAGGCTACCTGTTGAGTCATAGAATGTGAAATTCCCAATGCATAGGAAATAAATTTGATACTTTGATTCAGTTTGACCATAACAGCAATAGTCAACCCTTAATCACCTATGATTTTCTTTAACTTTAGTATTAATAGGAAATAAAATATACTAAACATTTAATTAAAAATGTTCTTTTATTTGGTTAAGTTTTAATGTGGGTAGGCCATTTACCTTCAACGGGCAATTATTTTTTTGGATTATCTTCATACATTTTACATAATGTTGATGTATTACAATTTTATCAACAGAGCCCTCTGTTATTATATAAAAAAATTGATATTTGTTGTTGATTTTACTTTATAAAATCTGCTATACTTTACTGGGCTCCCAAAATTTGGCCTGTGTGTACACTGAATTGTTAATAGAAACATTCTACAGGCCCATAACCTCAAGTGTCAAATTTCTCCATCCTATCTATAACAGATAGATCCATTGTCCCATCATTTAACTCCAACATTTTATTAATGAAACTTCTGACATTTAATGTTGTCAATAAATGGCTAATTTAGAATGAAGTGAAATTCAATATTTTTGTAATAAAGCCTATCAAATTGACATTCCTTTGTCAATCATTTTTTTATTAGAAAAAAAATCAATCCATCCCATCTTAGGGCCAGTTTGTATGGGTAACTTTAAGTCTCAACTAGTTGTTATGTAACTGGAGCTCTTTGTTTACAGAAATCAAAGTTAGTAATTGAATTGATATAGAGACAATCATTGAAGTTAGATCAGCTTCATGGTTTGCTGTTCATGTCCCTTCAATGTTTGTTGTTTTAGTGATATCAAACAGCATTCAATGCCCCTTTGGTATTTTTTGTTTTAGTGATATATTAAACAGCATTCATGCCCCTTTGGTATTTTTTGTTTTAGTGATATCAAACAGCATTCAATGCCCCTTTGGTATTTTTTGTTTTAGTGATATATTAAACAGCATTCAATGCCCCTTCAGTATTTGTTGTTTGTAGTGATATATTAAACAGCATTCAATGCCCCTTCAGTATTTGTTGTTTGTAGTGATATATTAAACAGCATTCAATGCCCCTTCAGTATTTGTTGTTTGTAGTGATATATTAAACAGCATTCAATGCCCCTTCAGTATTTGTTGTTTGTAGTGATATATTAAACAGCATTCAATGCCCCTTCAGTATTTGTTGGTTGTACTGATATATTAAACAGCATTCAATGCCCCTTCAGTATTTGTTGGTTGTACTGATATATTAAACAGCATTCAATGCCCCTTCAGTATTTGTTGTTTGTAGTGATATATTAAACAGCATTCAATGCCCCTTTGGTATTTGTTTTGTAGTGATATAAAAAACAGCATTCAGACTGTACTTGTCAGTGTTTGCTGTTTGATATAACAGACCACTTGTATTGTTGCAATAAGTTCAGACCACTGATCCTAGTTCAGGTCTGCCTGGCTTAATTAGCATTGCTCAAACTGGCTATACTTTTAATATAAATGAAGTATAAAGATGGTGTATTAGAAAAAAGTATTGATGTTTGTTTTGAATTTTGAAACTTGTTGAAAAAAAATAGCTTGTGTTTTGAAATACAGACCCAAACTCATGTATAATTTGATAAATTAAAAATTGAATTGTGTCAGAAAGAGAGTATTGTAATTGTGTTTTATAGACAGAGAGTATTGTAATTGTGTGTCAGAAAGGGCAGCCAAGTACTTGGTTTTCAGCCTGTTTAAAAAACATGGTTGCTTCCCTTGGTTGTGATCACTTGTTGACTGACTGAGTGATGTAGGAAAAAATGACAGTTATGGCCTGATATGTTCATGGATTTACAATAAAGCAAACCAGCGTGTATGCATGTTATAAATTTGTACTTGGTTACACAAGACATACAGAGATATATGTTTTTAATTGTTACATTCACAATGATATTCTAAGGCATAATTAAACAATTTAACACACATAATAAAGGCAAATTTTATTACCTTTGTTTTGTTTGTTTTTAATAATTTTAAACACAAACACAATCATGGCATAAACTAGTGTTGCATAAACAAAGGTAAAGCCAGAATACTGACAACTACACCCAGTGTTAATTTATGACATTAATTAATTCTGCAATTTATTGTGTACATAACACACATATACATAACGCATTCACTCACAATATATTTAAGAACCAAAGTGTTTGGTTTATTTAAAACAATTTTTTGTATATTAGTTATTGGTAAAATTAAAAGGAGTAACTGGCATATTTCAGCATTCACCATAAAGTTATAGAATATTATCAGACTACAGAGATATATACATGTGGCAAGACCCAAGCAGGTGGTAAATCTTCTTGTTCACATCCATCACATGATAATATCACATGACTAGGTTTTACAAAAATAAACTAAAGCTATTTTTAGAACATTTTTTTGTCTATAATACTCTATAACAATGAGAGTCAACATTTTAAAAAAATTCTCATGTAATATCAATGAGCTAATACCTAAGTTCTTAGCTTGTACCTTTGCCTAATCTTCTTCTTCTATGTTCTTAATTTTTAGTGTTGGAAGGGATTGAGCCTTATCTGCCAGAGGGTTTGAACTTGAAACTTTTTCAAATTTATCAACCATGAGCTTTCCTTTGCCTAATGACTTCTTTAAATCTAATTCAAGGTGGGGATTTTTAAAAAGGGGGGGGGGGTGAGTCTGGGGAGGAGTTAATCCAGGGTTTGGGTATGAGTGCAGATAAAATTAATTATTCAGGTGCTTTATGGGTGGAGAATTTCTACCACAGGTAACTACAATTTTTGTTTGATTTCCTTTAAATTAAAAAAAAAGTTTTAATTTTAAAACCATTAAAAAATTTTGATTAAATAATAATTGACAACACTAAGATGTGGGACTTGGATGCAATTCTTATTAATTTATCTCTTGTAAAGATTTGAGAGTTCCCATTAGTGGTAACCGGGGATGTAATTCATCTCTTCCAGTAGGAAATGCAAAAATAAGGTTATCTTCCCTGTTCATTCTTTTTAAAAGAAGACATTTTTTATTTAGCAAGTTTATTATTTCAGACGTTCCAATTATTTTGATTTTAGGATAGAATGCAAAACAAGTATACATATATTTTAAGAATAAGATATTACAAGTTAACTTAGTTGTTTTGAGAAGATATTTGTTAATCATTATGTTTGTTTAGTAATCGACATGTCTCGACACTAAGCTATCGGAATAATTTTAAACTATACTCATGGCAGAGGCGGTTTTAAAAATAAGTAAAAAAAATCGATGTGATTTTCAGATTATAGGCCCTAATATAATTTAGATCTAAATAATATCACTAATTGTTCGGTGGACACAAACATTATCTATTTTTAGAAATAACTTTTTCCATGTCCCAACTCTTCGTCCAATCTAGAGCGTTCGTGTTTTGTATATTTTTTAATTGGTCGACCAAAGTCTCCTCGTCGTAACCAAAAAGCTTAAAATCTGGCATGTAAATCTCCTGCAGCTTAGAAATCTGGCCATGTGTCAGAGTGCTGAAGGCTTCCAGTTTGGCCTGTTCTTTTTGTAGAGCGAGCTCTTGCACGTCAGTTGACGCCCCTAGCGATTGCTTCAAAATATTGATGTAATCCTCGCCTTGCATGGTTTCTACGTATTTAGGGTCAAGGTCGAAGTTTCGCCTCCAACTAATCAAACCTCGGATCTGAAGTTTGCGCCAAATCCGCTTAGCGACGCCGATTTTGTCGGTACATTTTAAGCTGGAGTTGAGCCACGCCTCGCTCATGGCGTCGTTGACCGAGTCCTCGACAGCGTCTCGCACAACGTCGTCGTGGAGCCTCTCTAAGCCCAGCCGGCTCTCGTTCAGCTGTAAGTAGGTCAGCAGGTGGCGCGTGTCCCGCCGGAAGGTCTCCATCTTGCCGACGATCGTGTAGTTGACCCAGCACGGGGAGCACAGTCTAAAAATAGGCATCACGTGAGGCTCGTACCCCCACTCGTGGTCCAGCGTGTAGCTCACGAACTCGCTGAATGTCACGTCATCACCACAACTGGAGCCGCAATTATTCCGGTAAAGCCGGACGGACGGAACGCCCCACGTCTCCCAGAAGACTGGGTTAGGCGCCAAAAGTTTGTCGACGTAGGCGGAGAAGATTCTGGAATAGGGGTCGCGGACGAAGAGCAGTTTGGTGGACAGGTCAAGCAGAAGCTGGAGGCGGGACTTCTTCTCAAACACCTGCAGGCGGTGTAGCGTCATGGCGTCATAGGCCGTCTTGACGCTCACGTCAAAAGGTGATCTGGAATAAAAGGGAGAATAAAATCAGGAGAATTGTAGAGATAGAGGCATGGTCTAGGGCAGGGGTCTCCAAACTTTTGAGTCCGAGGGCCGCATTAACTATCAAATTTCAGTTCGGGGGCCAGTTTCTTTCAGGCATGTCTTTGATTTTTCTGGACAAAGTTCCTCAGCCTTCACCAACAAACGTTCCATGGACAAAAAGATATCCGCGGGCCGGATGAGAGGACGTCGCGGGCCGCATCCGGCCCGCGGGCCGTAGTTTGGAGACCCCTGGTCTAGGGCGGTGATTTAGGGGGGGGGGGGGTAGCGAAGTAATAATCCCATGGACCCCCCCCCCTCCACAACAGCTGTCTGATATCTAGTTCAAGATTGGGTACGGTAGGTCTACATTCGTGTCGCTGCCTTCTCTATATATATATTAGCCGTCAGAAGGTTATTCTGTGTGATAGTCACAAGTTTATTCTGTGTTTATATAGTGCTTGGATAGCTGATTACTCAAGCCCCGTTCATAAAGCGATGTCGCTAAATGAGATGAACTTGCTCTAACTTTAACGCCTTAAGAAATGAAAGAAAAGTATGACCATAGATTATTATATACCACGTAATGTATGATGAAAAATAAAATAATGATGAGTTAAGTTAAAAGCGGACTTAAAGCGCTGATAAAGATATAGAACATGGAGGGACTGAAAAGAAACATGTGCCCGAATCATGTGTCATTTTTAAAAAAAATTCGATTTGTTGGTGAAAAAGGTGTGGGGTGTCATAAATCGTTATGGTAGTTCGAATAATTAATACATATATATTTTAAAAAAAACCATGTTGCTGAGCGTGACGTCATAGCTTACTGCATAGGGTCAGTGAACTCCAGCTGGTACAGGAAGCGTCTCCAGAAGGTCGAGGCCGTCTTCTCCACGGGGCAGTAGATGAAGTGGTGCATCCTGGACACGAGGGTGTGGTTGATGACCGGCTCCCTCAGGACACCCACCCCCCGGGCACACGTCTGCTCCACGAGTTTTCTGGATTAAAAAAAAAACACTCAGAAATTCTAGATCTAATACTTAACTTTTGAACCGTTAGATTATTTCCAATAATCACACGTCACGAAAGGCCGAAGCTCCCTCTTCCTTAAATCTACTTTTGTATTTTAAAAAAGCGAAAATTAATGCTGTCATATTTTCTAAACCCCTCCCCCTTCTAGCACTATCACAGTAGTCCGAACCTAACCATAAAACCACGAATGTTTTTATTCCAGTTTTTCTTCCAGACTTTTTTCTCCGGGGAGAGAGGGGGGGGGGGGGGGACTAAAATTTCCGGGGGGGGGGGGGCGGAAGAGAGGGGTGGCGGACACTATTAAAAATATATATTTTCTATATAAATTCCATTTAATTCGGATTTATTACCCGCCCCTAAGACAATTTTAAAATGTTATAATCATCTATGGTAATTAGGCGGCAATAAACTTTGGCTTGGCAATTGTCGATAGATTACTTGAAATTTAGGCCAATGGTGCTAATCTAACCCCCACCCCCTGCTTGCTACTCCACTTAACCAAAATGACACATTCAATGCTTAAAACAACCTGTCCAACTACAGCATTTAAGAAAAAGAAAGGCGTTTGTCTAAACAAATGTACCTTCTGCTGGACATGCTCTCCCAGACGTCAGCGTCAGTTTTGGCTGGTGGCGGAGTCTTGTTGGGTGCCTGGGTCAACTGTTTCATGGGTGGATGTGGCACGTTCTTCGGCCGTTGGGGCTGGGTCGTTCTCTGGTTCACATTGGGTGGTTTCAGCTTGGTCGTTGGATGTGGTGTTTTGGTGGTTTGACGTGATTTGGTAGTTAGAGGTGGTATTTCGGTAGTTTTTACATGGTTCTCATACGGCCGTGTTTTAGTCTCCATTTTCATGTTTTCTAGTTGATCGTCCTTGACGAAGGTCAGCTCTCCCTGAGATATACAACCACGTGACGTGACATACAAGGTTTATAAAACGTTCTCACCTTCACTAGACTAGAGCACCCTTGCTGATAACCTTTCTCTTAACACCAAAACTTTAATCCAGTAGTCTTTAACCATTTATTGGTAAAAGAATTTCTTAAAACTTACATAATAAGTTAAGTTGAACAAAAAAATATTTAGTTTTACTTAAAGAAAACTTAAACTGTTGATGAGGTACATTTAACCTTGCTTTTGACGCTAACATTTATAATTATATAAGCGACACTCGAACTTAATGAACAAAAACCTTAAGCAACGGTAGTTAACTGTGTAGCCACTACATGTAACGCGAACATTTGTAATTATATAAGCGACACTCGAACAAAAACCTTGAGCAACGTTAGGTAACTGTATAGACACTACACGTAACGCTAACGTCCAACTTACATGTTGGATATCGTCTGGGTGTCGTTTGACAAACTCCACGTAGAAAACTGGTCCTTGTCCTGGGCGAGAAAATATTTCATGTTTGATCTAAGCAGATTATAGGTTTGAAATCTCAAAATAATTGAGTTAATTTTTTTAGTGTATAAACTTGTCAGACTTAACCCAACACTACACACAACCTCATCACCCTACCCTACCCGGCACCACACCACCTCCACCTCATCCACACCAACCTACACAAAGTCTAACACAAAAACCTACACCTTACTCACACCACCATAAACGTCACCAACACCAACCTAAACACCACCAACACCAACCTACACTCTACCCTAAACTACGACTACCATCCCACCTCCCACCCCTAGAGCCGACTTACCGCTACTGTTGTACACCTTCACACCTAGCCCACAGACCACCAACATCACCTACACCCCCACACCCCCACCCCTAGAGCCCACTTACCGCTACTGTTGTATACCTTCACACCTAGCCCACAGACCACCAACATGACCTCACCCCCACAACCCCACATTCTCACACCCCTAGAGCCGACTTACCGCTACTGTTGTATACCTTCACACCTAGCCCACAGACCACCAACATCACCTACACCTCACCCCCACACCCCCACCCCTAGAGCCAACTTACCGCTACTGTTGTATACCTTCACACCTAGCCCACAGACCACCAACACCCCCACCCCCTACCCCTAGAGCCCACTTACTACTACTGTTGTATACCTTGAGACCTAGCCCACAGACCACCAACATCACCACACCCCCACACCCCCACCCCCACCCCTAGAGCCAACTTACCGCTACTGTTGTATACCTTCACACCTAGCCCACAGACCACCCACACCCCCACACCCCCACCCCTAGAGCCGACTTACTGCTACTGTTGTATACCTTCACACCTAGCCCACAGACCACCAACATCACCTCACCCCCACACCCCCACCCCCACCCCTAGAGCCAACTTACCGCTACTGTTGTATACCTTCACACCTAGCCCACAGACCACCAACATCACCTCACCCCCACACCCCCACCCCCACCCCTAGAGCCAACTTACCGCTACTGTTGTATACCTTCACACCTAGCCCACAGACCACCAACATCACCTCACCCCCACCCCCACACCCCCACCCCTAGAGCCCACTTACCGCTACTGTTGTATACCTTGAGACCTAGCCCACAGACCAGCAACATCACCACACCCCCACCCCCACCCCTAGAGCCCACTTATCGCTACTGTTGTATACCTTCACACCTAGCCCACAGACCACCAACATCACCTCACCCCCACCCCCACACCCCCACCCCTAGAGCCCACTTACCGCTACTGTTGTATACCTTGAGACCTAGCCCACAGACCAGCAACATCACCACACCCCCACCCCCACCCCTAGAGCCCACTTACCGCTACTGTTGTATACCTTCACACCTAGCCCACAGACCACCAACATCACCTACACCTACACCTCACCCCCACACCCCCACCCCTAGAGCCGACTTACCGCTACTGTTGTATACCTTGAGACCTAGCCCACAGATCACCAACATCACCTACACCTCACCCCCACACCACCACCCTCCCACCCCTAGAGCCCACTTATCGCTACTGTTGTATACCTTCACACCTAGCCCACAGACCACCAACACCACCTCACCCCCACACCCCCACCCTCCCACCCTTAGAGCCGACTTACCCCTACTGTTGTATACCTTCACACCTAGCCCACAGACCACCAACATCACCTACATCTCACCCCCACACCCCCACACTCCCACCCCTAGAGCCGACTTATCGCTACTGTTGTATACCTTGAGACCTAGCCCACAGACCCCCACACCCCCACCCTCCCACCCCTAGAGCTGACTTACCGCTACTGTTGTATACCTTCACACCTAGCCCACAGACCCCCACACCCCCACCCTCCCACCCCTAGAGCTGACTTACCGCTACTGTTGTATACCTTGAGACCTAGCCCACAGACCCCCACACCCCCACCCTCCCACCCCTAGAGCCGACTTACCACTACTGTTGTATACCTTGAGACCTAGCCCACAGACCACCAACACCCCCACCCCCTACCCCTAGAGCCCACTTACTACTACTGTTGTATACCTTGAGACCTAGCCCACAGACCACCAACATCACCTCACCCCCACACCCCCACCCCTAGAGCCCACTTACCGCTACTGTTGTATACCTTCACACCTAGCCCACAGACCACCAACATCACCTACACCTACATCACACCCCCACCCTCCCACCCCTAGAGCCGACTTACCGCTACTGTTGTATACCTTCACACCTAGCCCACAGACCACCATTACAGCCAGATAACGGACGATGAACTTTGGTTTGGTCCTTATGGCCCGAACTGTTCGAATCAAAAATCAAATCAGTTCCAACATTGTTACAACATGTTTTGGTAAAAAATCAAATCAGTTCAAACATTGCTACAACATGATTTGGGAGGTTAAGTTGGAGGAGTGGACGTTGACCGGTAACTGGCAGGGGGTAATGACTTGTTGCCGGCGAATTCATCTTGGGGTTTGATCGAGTTCTAAATGTCGTGTCGTCGCCCCCCCCCCCCCAACCGTAGATGTTGACTCGGTATGGGCAGGAACCATAAAACTTTAAAAATAAATTACATACGCCAAGTACAAACACCCTCCAACTTTTAACAGTAAAACTAGTCGCGTCTAGTAGGCGGAAATGTTGAATTTTAATCAATGGGCAGCATTTCATTCACGTCTTTTCACCTCTTCCACCCCTCAAACTTCTTGTATTTTCTTGTGACTTCATTAAAAAAAATGTTTGCTTACTTGTGTACCTCACATTGTAAGTTGTCACTGTACGCTACCAATATAGCAACTGTGTACAAAGGTACGCTCTGACCCATCTAGTCTAATATTTGGTTCTATTGACTTGTTTGCTCGCCAGATCGTATAAAGTATTAAGTAGTACCCCACATTGTGAGGGGATTAATCCGCGCCCCTAACACAAGAAATTCACCTCGTAAGAAATAGGGTACTGTACTTTAAGATCAGGACAATACCAGCACCCCCCACCCCCACCACTCACCACACCCTGCTTTGGACGGGTACATGTTTACTGGTGAAGCTTACGTTTTCCTCCGTCAAGTTGTCTCGCTGATATTAAATACATTTATTTTAAAATAGATCTTAATGTGCGTCATGTATTTCAACGTGCGCCTAGTTTTTTTTTTTTTTAAGAACACCAAGACATGCGGCAAATAGAATAAAATAAAAATGAGCTGTATAATTCGATAACAATTCGGACACATTTATACGGGTGATGTTTTGACCCCACTACCATACCTTACTGTTTGAGTCGGGTGTCAAGTCATATGTTTAAACTCAATTTTCTGACCGGGTGTCTCCTACATTGTGAACTTTATTTTTTAACCTCGTCCCAGCCTCGTCAGCCATAACATTTCACGGGTAATTAGTCAACCGTTTAACGGCAATTTCCCTCTTCTCATTGTAACAGATTATTAATTTAAAAACGTTTTACAGTAATTACATTCGCGCCTGGACTATCGACCAGAAATAATTGTTGGGATAATTATTTTTTTAACAACGATGAATTTGTGAAGTGAGTCAGGTTAGGGATAAGGATAAGGATAACACTAAGGGAACGGATATGGGTATGGCTAAGGATGGAGTATGATAGGATAAGGGATAGTGTGTTGGTTAGAATTACTGTTAAGGATAGGAAGCTGTATATGGGGATATGTATGTATGACATGTATTCTAAAGCGGTTAATCTGGGAGCTATTGGCGGGGGGGGGGGGGGGGTAATGTCCTAGACTGGAGTAAAACCTGTCTCATTTGGGTTCAATTTTAGGTTGAATTTCAGTTAATTTTTTTGTATTCTTATATATATAATACATCAGACTTTGCGTTAGGTTTTAATATTGTTGTTCATACATTATATAACGTTTAATGTGTTGAAATCAATGTTAAGTTTTGTATTTTTTTCGTTTAAATCAATGTTAAGTTTTGTAAATTTTTCGTTTAAATCAATGTTAAGTTTTGTAATTGTTTCTTTTAAATCAATGTTAAGTTTTGTAATTTTTTCGTTAAAATCACCGTTAAGTTTTGTATTTTTTTCGTTGAAATCAATGTTAAGTTTTGTAATTTTTTAGTTATGGGGTGAATAAATCTTCTAGATGTACGCTCTACCAAACTACCCCAGATATACTGGCAGACAAACAACATACATTTTTTCTGTTTTTTAACCTAACACACGACGTCAGATATTCTGGCAGACAAACACTATTTTCATACGAAATATGATACGTCATGTCGCGGTTATATGTGGTCCCAGATTAAGTAGGATAAGAATAGATACATAGTTCACCGTGACCTTCAAAAACACGGATTTCATAGCAATCTGTCACACCACAAAATGTGTTCTTGGTTTTATTTGGGGCGAGGGTGGGGGGGGGGGGGGGGGGTCGCATAATTTCATTATTGTTGTATTTTGGGCGAGGGTGGGGGATTGGGGGTCGCATCATTTCAATTATTCTGATTGGATGAAATAACGTACGTCATTTAAACAAGATATTTTTTTAATAATTTTGGGACGGCGTGGTTGAATGGTAGAGCCCACGACCACTAACTCGAAAGTCTCTTGTTCGCTTACTTATAGGTGTATCAGCACACAGCAGACGGTACACCTCCCTCATGTGCCGAGATCAGAGAAGCATCACTGAAGGCGCTTTTATCGGGAGCCATGTTGTCGGGATATTTTTGTAAAGAAAAAAATATTTGTAGGGGAGACGGACGGGCTTTTTTTTTTTTGGCCATATTTCATATTTCAGCAAGGGAGAGTACAACTAAAATACGTTGATAATTTTATACTTTGATCAAAATTAGCCAAATTCTACTCACCTAGACGTTTTAATAAAGGCAACATAACACTCCTTTACACCGTCCCCGAGAGAAATCCATAAAAAATATCCGAACAGATATACGGGATTAGTCCGGGTGTAGGATATCCGTTTGTGGCGAAACTGAGTCTGCGCTGGGAGTTGATATTTGATCTACGTGTGTAAAATTGTATCAGTTCTGTAAAATTGTATCAGCTCTGTAAAATTGTTTCTGTTCTGTAAAATTGTTTCTGTTCTGTAAAATTGTTTCAGTTCTGTAAAATTTTTTCAGCTCTGTAGAAGATTGTCGGCATCATTTCTCATCACTATGTTGATGTATGCGTATGTAAACTTGTTCACCAAACACTCTATAAACGTGATGTCATTTGCAGGTTCGTAATAAACACAGACAGCATCATTACACAATCAGTCATGCGTGATGCTGTCCCTACAATATGCTAGATCTGTTTCCTTCAGTACAATATGCTAGATCTGTTTCCGTCAGCACAATGTCTTTTAGTGAAGATGCCGCGTCATTTCTATAGATAGATTAACACGATTAGTCAGCAGTATTTGGGGAACAAAAAATATATGTAGTTTCGGTTGAATTGGCTGAAAATGTTCATCATTTGAACTTTGTTTGCTGTGTGAGAACTAGGGTAGTTGTGTGAAAGTGAGGGTGACAGTGTGAGGGTGAGGCTGTGTTTAGTCTGCTCATCTATTGTCTTTTAATTTCTCGTATACGATGCGCCTATAGAGAAAGTATTGCAATCGTGCAAAAAATCGAAATCTAGATGGTCACAACTCTCGGTTTTACGCTTCCCTGTGTGGGAAAATCTTAGTTTTGTAATTTTGTCCGTACGTCCGTGTGTGTGTGTGTGTGTTTGCGAAAAAGACAACAGGAAAAAGAAAAAAAAGGAAATTAAATTAAAAAACGTCAAAAAAGTTTAAAAAAAACAAACAAACAAACAAGACTTTAAGTTACCAACTTTTGACATAGACCTTTCATAAAAAAATAGCCTAGGTAGCAACTTACTGTAACAGTATGTCAATAAGCCACGTGGAGACCTGACGACTGCCAAACACAGACGCCAACATGCGAGACAGCAATACGGTATCAAATTGACTTAGTCCCCACACCCACACCCATGAATGTGGTACCTAAGTGGCGAACAAACACCCTTCACAACGGACGTGAAGTGGATGTGTGTGATACCCCGCTACTCGCTGGCAGACAAACATCCTGGTGACAGAGTCACGTCTGTCATGTTGTTGTCGCAGTAGTGGTGGTGGTGGATGGTGTCACTACACTAGTGGTGACTGGTGTCACAATACCAGCAGCGGGTTGTTACAAAATAGGTCCCCATTCAAGACGTCACGGATTTGAAAGACTTGCACGGGTGGGATAACTCCCCCCCCCACCCCACTGTATCTGCAATAAAAACAGTTCCAACTTGACCGCGTGAATGACAGACGGTTCGATAGCCGGTAGATCACTGTGAAAGTTCGTTCAATAACCGGTAGATCACAGTGAAATTCCCTCCTGAAAAGAATTCTAGAATTGTTTTTCTCCGTAAGTATCTAGGTCAGCGGCCCGTCATTTAGCCACAACTTTCTTCAACAGCCAAACAAGGTACCCACACAAACAAGGTACCCACACAAACAAGGTACCCACACAAACAAGGCACCCACACAAACAAGGTACCCACACAAACAAGGCACCCTCACTAAATGGCAGTTGGGGGGAAAATCTTGGTCAGACTTTCAAACAAAAAGCGCATGATGAAATAACAAAACGTGCTTAGTATGTTGGTTGTTTGTCCTCAATAAAGTTGAAAACACAAACACATCTGTACAAACACAAACAAATATACCTCAATAACAACATATTTCATAGGATAATTTTTGTTAACATCCCCCCCCTCCCCGTCGTACCCAAAAAATTCCACCAAAACAAGCAGCCCCTCCCCCCACCCGACAGGTTGACCTAATTTCTGGCGGGGCGGGCCCGAGGGTTAATCCCAAGTTATCAGATGTTCTCAGTCTACCCCCAGGGGCGGGAATGGGGGAGGGGTGAACCGTGACCGCAATGGATTGTTCAAACATGTGTCAGTTACCTGTGACAGTGTGGCAGTTACCTGTGACAGTGTGGCAATTACCTGTGACAGTTACCTGTGACAGTTACCCGTGACAGTGTGGCAGTTACCTGTGGCAGTGTGACAGTTACCTGTGACAGTTACCTGTGACAGTGTGATAGTTACCTGTGACAGTGTGGCAGTTACCTGTGACAATTACCCGTGACAGTGTGACAGTTACCTGTGACAGTTACCTGTGACAGTGTGGCAGTTACCTGTGACAGTGTGGCAGTTACCTGTGACAGTGTGGCAGTTACCTGTGACAGTGTGGCAGTAACCTGTGACAGTGTGACAGTTACCTGTGACAGTGTGGCAGTTACCTGTGACAGTGTGGCAGTTACCTGTGACAGTGTGGCAGTTACCTGTGACAGTGTGGCAGTTACCTGTGACAGTGTGGCAGTTACCTGTGACAGTGTGGCAGTTACCTGTGACAGTGTGGCAGTTACCCGTGACAGTGTAGCAGTTACCCGTGACAGTTACCTGTGACAGTGTGGCAGTTACCTGTGACAGTGTGGCAGTTACCTGTGACAGTTACCTGTGACAGTGTGGCAATTACCTGTGACAGTGTGGCAGTTACCCGTGACAGTGTGACAGTTACCTGTGACAGTGTGGCGATTACCTGTGACAGTGTGATAGTTACCTGTGACAGTGTGGCAGTTACCTGTGACAATTACCCGTGACAGTGTGACAGTTACCTGTGACAGTTACCTGTGACAGTGTGGCAGTTACCTGTGACAGTGTGGCAGTTACCTGTGACAGTGTGGCAGTTACCTGTGACAGTGTGGCAGTAACCTGTGACAGTGTGACAGTTACCTGTGACAGTGTGGCAGTTAACTGTGACAGTGTCAGTTACCTGTGACAGTGTGGCAGTTACCTGTGACAGTGTGGCAGTTACCTGTGACAGTGTGGCAGTTACCTGTGACAGTGTGGCAGTTACCTGTGACAGTGTGGCAGTTACCCGTGACAGTGTAGCAGTTACCCGTGACAGTGTGGCAGTTACCTGTGACAGTGTGGCAGTTACCTGTGACAGTGTGGCAGTTACCTGTGACAGTTACCTGTGACAGTGTGGCAATTACCTGTGACAGTGTGGCAGTTACCCGTGACAGTGTGACAGTTACCCGTGACAGTGTGACAGTTACCTGTGACAGTGTGGCAATTACCTGTGACAGTGTGGCAATTACCTGTGACAGTGTGGCAGTTACCTGTGACAGTTACCTGTGACAGTGTGGCAGTTACCTGTGACAGTGTGGCAGTTACCTGTGACAGTGTGGCAGTTACCCGTGACAGTGTAGCAGTTACCCGTGACAGTGTGGCAGTTACCTGTGACAGTGTGGCAGTTACCTGTGACAGTGTGGCAGTTACCTGTGACAGTTACCTGTGACAGTGTGGCAATTACCTGTGACAGTGTGGCAGTTACCCGTGACAGTGTGACAGTTACCTGTGACAGTGTGGCAATTACCTGTGACAGTGTGGCAATTACCTGTGACAGTGTGGCAGTTACCTGTGACAGTTACCTGTGACAGTGTGGCAGTTACCTGTGACAGTGTGGCAGTTACCTGTGATACAGATTGCGATAGGACGAGAGTAGGACTCCGGGTAGGTGGCTTTAGGGATACTCATGGTAGGACAATTTAGGGTACTCTAGGGATACTTATGGTAGGACAATTTAGGGGACTCTAGGGATACTTATGGTAGGACAATTTAGGGGGCTTTAGGGATACTCATGGTAGGACAATTTAGGGGACTTTAAGGACAACTCACAGATGAAGCCTACGACAGTAGCACCAAAGAAAAATCTCGGGCGCATTAGGTCGCGTATGACAGTTAAGAGGTTAGAAAAAACAACCTCCCTCACTCTCGGTATGGTGGGGGCTGGGTTGACCCCCCCTACACCACACTATACAACTAGCGACATCCGTCTTTACTTCGAACAACCAACAGCCAGTTTTAAAGCCTAAATCGTTTTTATTTTTAATTAATACAAATCCTGTTTTCGATCTAGAGACCTGTTAAATTCAAATTAATTTAAAAAAAAATTTAAAGTTAAAAAAAATAAATAAGCAAGCAGAACTAACATGCGGCAGTGCAATAGAAATATAGGTGGATACGTCAATAGAATAGGGTCAGGCGTTTAGTTTAGTCGTATCAAACGTCTTGTCACATTTGTCATTGTCTCTACCGACTCGCTGACAACTCCGTGACGGAAACCTTTCAATTCAAGTTGACGTTTGCTTTTATAAACACACAAATGTCATACACTGTCGTTTAACAAATCTTTTCAAAGTTTGAAATCGTGTTGGTATTGGTTTTGCATACGAATGTATGAAATGTAACGAATGGTTTTATTGTGATTTTAATCTACCTTTGGTTCTCTTAAAATAGCTTGCACATATTTTGGACTAAAACACCACTGAAACTAGTCTAGGGCCTAACGCTAGCCACTTGCCATAGTAGTCCCTACGCTAGCCACTTAATTTACTAATATTTGTAGTCTCTGGACCAACTTACACTAACCTAACCCCTACGCTAAATGAACCACTACCTTAACCCCTATACTAATCGAAAACACTACACTAACCCCTACACTAATCGAAAACACGACACTAACCCCTACACTAATCGAAAACACGACACTAACCCCTACACTAACCCTAGTACCAACACAAGCCGAGTTAAACTAACGGTTTGGTTGAGCTATTGATCTAACCCAACAAGTCACAAAAGAATTCCTACCGTGTTTGGCGACCGCTGACAGGCATTCGACGATCTAAACCCACAGCGTCCCCACCTACCCCGCACCCCCTAAACCCACAGCGTCCTCACCTACCCCCCCCCCTCCCACCATAAAACTTAACGGGTACCTGCCTTCACTTGACAAGACCCGCCCCTCTGTCTGACCACTCAACTGATCCATCTGCCAGGTGATTCAAAAACATACGGTCACAGTGTGTAAGGGTGGGGTAAGGGGAAGGGGCTGGAGGGGAAAGGATAATAAATGGGGATACGACGTAATTTCTCAACAACACCACCACACAAACAAAAACACCGTTACAGTTTAAGATGTTTTTCACAACACACAGGTCTGGAAAAAAAAAAGAAATCACGAATTTTATGGTCTGAGGAACTAGAGCAACAAAATTTTTTTTTACCATTGGTCGCCACTAGGGTAGAGCAATATGTTTGTTTCATTTCTCTCTCTAGTACACATATACTGACACAAGAAAGACAAACACAAATACACAGAGACTTAAACAAACTCAGAGACAAATACACACACTTTGGGGTAATACCAGAAGTATACCGTATCCTAAGACGACATGGTTTACAGTACAAAAATCTTGAAGATTGGCAACTATGCTGTGTCTAAATGGTTTTATGCTGTTTTTTTATTCCTTCAATTTATGGGTTTATTGCTTTATTGAGTTTAACATAGTTTATTTGTGCATAAAATTCAGTTTATCTTTTGAGAAGGGTTACCTTCCCTGACTTGCTTTATTGTTAGTCTTGGCTAGTTATTTGATAGTCTGATGTGTCGTGTATAATGTGGGATGTCAGATGTGGGATGTCAGATGTGGGATGTCAGATGTGGGATGTCAGATGTGGGATGTGGGATGTCAGATGGAGGATGTGTGATGTGTGATGAAACTTTTTTTGTATATCAATTGATTACATATAACATTTTTTATTTCACCTGATACTACCATATGCTCAACAAGTATGAGCCAATTTATGGTTTTATACTCATACAAATATAAGACAAATACTTATGTTTTTATACTCATACAAATATCAGACAAACATTTATGTTTTTATACTCATACAAGTTTGAGACAATTTATGTTTTTATACTCATACAAATATCAGAAATTATTTATGTTTTATCTTATAGCCAACCAAACTATTTATATAAATGACTAACATTCTAAAAATAAACCCGTACGTGTAAACACATTTTACTCTGCCTACCTGTCTTTATGAATGGAAATATTGATTTCTGCCGAACTGCCGCTAATTGATTGAGATTTGATCTAAGCTTTTGATAAATCTGCTGGGTGTAAAGCATACAGACAGGGCGATAAGCAAGAGCTTAATAAAATAAAAAGTGTTTTTTTGGCTTGGATTGTTTCCCCTAAAGGGCTATAACTCTCCGCAGCTATGATATGTACACCATAATTTTTTTTTTAAAGCAAGCGATCTTTTAATCCTTTTAATCTGTCTGTAAGACAACTCGTTTGATCTTAGATTAGAGAGTACATGGACGGGGGGGGGGGGGGGTGTGAGTGAGGGTGAAGTAGTTTCCATGTTTTTTGGTGACACTTATCTTACTTAAAAATTCAGAACATGTTTTTTTTTTGCCATATCAGGAGGTCACTGTCAGTGTACGAAAAAAAAGTCATTCTGACACAGAACAAAGGTCAAAGGTCAGTGTGAGATAAAAGGTCAATCTGTCAGAGGTCATTGTCAGAGGTCATTGTCAGAAAAAGAAAAAAAAGGTCATACACATCATCTGTCATCATGCCAGAACAACTAAGGCCATAGTAAAGGGCGCGTCCATAAATGACGTCACACTCTTAGAGGGGGGGGGGGTGTTGAAAGTCTGTGATGAGGGGAAGGGGTTCAGATAGTGTTAAGTTCCTTTTTTCATTTTAAAAAGGTAGTGCAAGTCACTGAATTTCCGCCGTTATTTCGTGTTTTAGGAAGTTGTAATAAAAGTCGATTTAAATACTCTATGACTACCGAGCTCAGTCGATACTTTTGAAATAAATCGATGTTTAAAAAATATTAGGCTGCAATTTTGAGGGGAGGTTATTTGTTGATGTGTGACGTCATTTTAGGTCGGGGGGGGGTCTGGCTTTTTATGACGTTGTATGACTGTGGGGTAGGGGGTGGGATAAAAATCGAGACGTCATTTATAGATGACCCCTAAACTGTAAGGGACCAACAAACCAAGATCCATGTTGTTGAGCTATAAACTCAATGGTTTTTATCAAAACACTTTTTTACTTGCCAAAAAACACCGTGTTTTTATTTTAGAAAATAATATTTTGGTTGCGGACATGTTTTTTTTTATTTGCAAGAAACAAACAAGGTATTCGAATGTCTGGTTTATTCGTTATTGGATTATATACTAATCCCTTTTCACAAATATACGTGTACACTTACACATAAACATAGGCCTACCTACCTACCTACACACTCACACACATAGGCCTACCTACCTACACACACACACACATAGGCCTACCTACCTACATACACACACACACACACACATAGGCCTACCTACCTACATACACACACATACATAGACCTACCTACCTACACACATACAAGACGTGGTGTGACGTGTCTCGTTAGATACCCGGATGTGACAGTTGATATTATTTTTACGTCATTCTCGTGATGCGAGGTTTTATGTCACACTGCGAACTTCGTCAAAGGGAATAATCCGGGTGTTTTTTTTTGGGGCCACAGCTTAGATAACGACATGCTAGCTAGACTAATGTGAGAGTTTAATCTTCTCTAACGTCGCTCAACCCTCGCCCTAAACATAACTCTATCCCCTACTCTAAATACGGTAGATTCTGTCTCGGGCTTAATCATAATCCTTCTAAAAATAGACGTGACGTAACACGAGTATTTTTAAAACAAGTAGTTCACAAAGAACTGCGTTATCCTGACTTACGTGAATGGTGCCATGAAAATATCAGCCTGGTGTGTATGTGTAGTATAACTGTGTAGGTAATTAGGTAATAAGTACACATTAGGGAGCCAGTGGTGCTCCTGGTCAGTTGTCGGTAAAACACAAGCGGCAGGAATGTCATGGACCGAACTTGAAAGAATCGACAAAAAAATTTATGGATAAGTGTGGGCGCGTTCCTATGCTTGGTTCACGAGGTACACAGGAGTGATGATGTTGGTGATGGTGATGGTGGTGATGATGATGATGATGATGGTGATGATTATGATGATGATGATTGTGGTGATGATGGTGATGATGATGATGTTGGTGATGGTGATGATGGTGATGATGATGATGATGGTGATGATGATGATGATGATGGTGATGATGATGATGTTGGTGATGGTGATGATGGTGATGATGTTGGTGATGTTGGTGATGGTGATGATGATGTTGATGATGATGGTGATGATGACTACAATGATGAGGTTAAGTAAGTCCTTGTGCTCTGCAATGAATCCACAGACGATAAATGTGGCACATAATTAATTGCACACACATATAGGTACACAATTAATCACACCCAGTTGCTGACACATACACATACAATTTAACACACATGCGCAGAACACATTTGTTTGGTTATGATACAAGTCACAAGTGTTCTTTATTCGAAAATAAAATAATCTCGCACACAACTTGCAATCTAGAACAGACACGACAACACAAACACACCTCACTTACAAGATCGTTTCACCACATACTCCAACACCCATTTCGCCACACACGCGCACACACACTACACCAAGACTGACGTCATATCCCAATTTTTCCACCAATCCAAAGCGCCGGTGATTTTGATTGGCTGCGCTGAAAGCAGCGCCTCCATATTTGGCTCGTATCCGAACATGAGAAAGTCGTTTTGATAAACTTTTTTAATCTTCTCCAAGTGAGAGCTCTTTAGGCTGGCGAAGGCCTCTAGCATGGCTTGTCTTTTCTGTAGCTTGAGCTCTGTCAGGTTGGTGGATGTTGACATCACGTTCTCCATGTGGGCGATCAAAGAGCTTCTGGTCATTGTCAAGGCTTTGTCGGGGTCAAGGTCGTAGGGAATCCTCCAGCTGATGATGCCCCGAATCTGCAGCTTCCTCCAGATCCTTCGGATGATATTTTCTTTTTTGATACACCTGAGGGTGAATTTCAGCCAGGACGGGTCAAGAGCATCACCAATGTCGTTGCTGCTAGCATCCTCCGACCTTCTCTGGAACTCCATCTGTTTCTCTGTGATGTTCAGCAGGGCCAGCAACTGTAGCGTGTCTCGTCTGAAGGTCTCCATCTTGCCGATGATCGTGTAGTTGACTGCGCATGGCGTGCATAATCTATTTATAGGAGTCAGGTGATGGTCGCTCTGACCTAATTTTGTGAGCGCGAAGTTGACGAATTGCGGGAACGTGACGCTGTTGGCGCATCTGGTGGCCTTCGATGCTGTGTTGTTTTTACCTGCAGGTTTTGGTAGAGCTGGGACACCCCACAACCTCCAGTAGTAAGGGTTGGGCGTCAGGATTTTGTCGACGTAGGCTGAGAAAAGTCTGGAGTAGGGGTCCCGCACGTAGAGCTGTTTGATTGATTGGTTCCAGAGTTTCTTTAGCGCGTCCCCTTTTTCTTTGACAGTGATGGTTTTTTTGAAGATGTCGTAGATGAAGGTGGAGTTGATGTCGAATGGAGATCTGGAAAAAATGGAAAAATTTACGTTGGGAGAGAGTTGATGTTTGGTTTTAGTGAGGGAAAAAGCGAATCTTTGAAATAACCTTGGTTTAACCTTATATTTCTTTGTTTTCTTTTGTCACGGGGGGATAATGACATT